TTCTTCCAGTGAATAGAACGGAAAGCTGTCCGACAGAGAGGGAAGAAAAATGCAGATAGAGAGGTAGAGCAGGGGACAAAGGAAGAAAAAAGACAGGAAGTTGAGCGAAGCGAGGAGAAAGGAACGGAACAGCCGTGAAGTGGAAGAAGAGGATGGAAAGCGGCTAACCCGGACAGGGACGCGGGGGTAGAGACGTAATCACAGGGGCGTTGAATTAGGGATGCATCCGAAGGGAGTGGGGAATCCGACGATGAAGGGGAAGGGGGCAGTCGACGGTAGAGGACCGGGGTCACCGCCATATTATATTTAGCGAGACGCAGCCGTGTGAATGAACTGCATATCCCAGGGACGAGAGCGCGCGTTCTAGCAGACTCTTATTTCGCGGGATATTCGGAGAAATTGATTATGCGAGAGCCTAGTAAGTCCTTGGAACGATTCTAAATTCGTTACGATCTCCGAGCATGGATCCTAAACCAGCAAGGAGTCAACTCTGTCTGGTAAAGACCACTTCTCGGTGTTTATTCGCGTTCGAGTCGGAACAGTCATCGACAACAGCGAATGAGAGAAGCTGGACCAATCTCTGGATCGCGTAGACGCAAGCAAGGCCGCTAGCCGTGTCTATGTTGTCTTTTCTGTTAAACAGACAATTGGCAACTATCTGTGCAAGCTGTAACAGCGGCTGGACTTTTCTATCCTATTAAATAGATGATCGCAAACATGGAAACAGGGACAATGGGAATACAAAATGGCGCTCGATAGATTTGAAATCCTTCAACTTAGAGCAAGTCGAAGGGCTTATAGTATTGAAAGGGGCAGATGCGTTAATGGGCATTGTTTCCGCATCAAATGTGCTAAAATGTTTAGGTTCAGAGTTCCCGGGAGGCTGATTCACCACAGTGTAATTCAGATTGACAGTTATAACTTATAACTGACGGAACGGTCGTAACGTCCGGTGGGTGCAAGCTGCGACACATGTTCCGATAAATGTCCATTGTTCCCAGCGTCACCCTATAAACAATGCACGCTGCCTGCTCTGGAGCGAACTGCAAGGACCTAGCAGTGCTAATTTGAAACGGTCCTCTCTGGTACAATGTTCTTCGTCGCCTATTACACTTCGTACAAGATTGCCAACGTGCCTGTTCATTGCTGTCTATTTCCACTTGTTGTAGGAACTAGAGTTCTATTATCACTCGAGAGCCATTAAATCGACAGAGACAATGCTATCGGTAGGACAGATCATTTAAGATTTTGAAACTAAAGCTTCAGCTGTGGCTTCAGTTGGAAACGATTCTACTTGGAATAGTTCTATAATAATACAATTACTATTTCCGATTCGGTGGAGGGTTCAGGCTGAAGAAGACAAGGTCGACGACTGATAGATAATGGACTCAATTGGATCGAAAGTGGCTGAACAGGTGGAAGTGCAACCTGGCACTGCAGACGACTGACGCCACTGTGGCGTCATTCGGTGGTTCGACATTCTAAGATTAGCTCTCTATTATTAGCCAGATGGTACTTTTACCTTCGTATAGGCTTCTGAAATTTTATGATGCTTTCAGCAGGAATCGTCACCGATGGAGATCATCCCTGGGAACAATATTCAGGGGCCTCAGGAAATTCAGGAACGAATTTCCGGCGATCGTGAGATCTCGGCCGACTGCACGCGCTCTAATACCCTAATCTATCGACGGAGATAAGCCGGAGAAGCGGTTTATCCTGAGAGAGAAACAAAGGAAAACCTCGGGGAGAGTAGATTGCGGTGAGGAGAGACATTGCCACGGCACATTTGAATATCCTGGCGAGCTCGCATCGCCCGTAGAACTGGTCAATCCTGTCCTGCGGGGACGAGAACCACGAACCAAAAAGGACTAGCCTGGAAGCGTGTACTCGTGTCCTGAGAAGCTATTGGGCTAGCTGTGTGTATCGGCCGATGTCGATGCCGATCTGTACATTCTAGAAAACCTATAAATCGGATCGAGTTCATGCTTCACAGGAACCTGAAGGAATGCGAGAGGTAGACGATTTTGAATCGCAGATATACTAATTTATTGCTCGGAGAATTCTTCTACATTCCTAACGAAAAATATTACCGTATACAGAGTAAACTATTTTCAACTCCGCTCCATTAGCAGGTTGTTTTAGGGATCAGGCTGTCTTGGAAATTCTTGTCATCGTTTACCGATGTTTACCGGCGACGTAACGCGGGTTTGTCACGCCATTAGGAACTTGAAGATCTCCATCTGGCTGTTGCAATGCAGACCCAATTCATAATACCATGGTACTCGTTATTCTCAACGTTATCGAGAAGAGACAGGATTAAGAGACAAGATTAAAGAATTGATCATAATGACCTTATACTCGATTGTTTTCTGCAGTTTTATTTAAAATGGTAAGGGCTTCCATGCAGTTATCATACCGATAATTTACTTTCTATGAAGCTATTTAAATTCAGAAAAATTAATGATGCAAAGAAGTTAGCTCAGGAAATGCATGCGTTGGACAATGTTCGTCACTCACAATCAGGAAATCAAACGATGTTGAACAGAGAACGAGAAAGAACGAGAGAGAGAGAGAGAGAGAGAGAGAGAGAGAGAGAGAAAGGGGAAGGGCTGAATGAAAGCAAGAGGGTGGGGAGCGAGCGAGAGAGGGGATCCCGAGAAAAGGATAGAAAAAAAGGGACACCATAGCTCGATTTAGTACTCCCATACGCCTATCCCCGCCCACCACATAGAGCAAACCGACCAATCGCCGGCACGCGTTCTACTAGAGACCGGCTAGATCGAACGCACGTTGTGTGCACTCTCTCTCCCTCTCCTCTCGTCGCTCACGAATTGCAGGCCTGGATGGGTCCTCGATGTGCACGGTAGCTAGCCTCCTAGAGAACCCAGGACGGTTCGATAGCTGCCCCCGTAACGATTTTTCAAAATTTCCTGGCTTCCCGCGCTTTCCTGATCTAACTATGACACCCTCGGAACCGTTCTTCGCCCTTAGAATTACATTTTAGTCGACTCTCCGAACATCTCTAAAATTCAGGAGATATTATTTTCTGTGAAAAAATGTTAAATAGAACTATCCGGATAGTTAAACATCGACTAAAACTATGCAGCAGGTTCACTGGATTCCTCTACTTTCAGCACAACGCTCCACCGTTTGCGGAAGCAGTGTTCTTTCATCGACGGCCAACAGCCATTGTTCTCCAAACCGACGCCATTTTTATTAGCGTGGAATATACCGCGCCTGGGCCACCTTGAGCGATTATTAAAAATAGTGATCAGCGAAAATAAGAGCTTTCTAAATTATTAAAGAATGCGAAGGTAGATTCTTGTTCGGTGAACTAGGTGTTCTAATTGGCGAACAAGTTTGAAAGTATTGGACAATCATTCATGGACAATTTGTTAACTAAATATTACTCGATTTCCAGGTAAAGGAACCAACTTGGAAGCACAGCGAAAGGTCAGAGTTGCGAGGCGAAGAATAGTATGGTTTTCGNAGAGAGAGAGAGAGAGAGAGAAAGGGGAAGGGCTGAATGAAAGCAAGAGGGTGGGGAGCGAGCGAGAGAGGGGATCCCGAGAAAAGGATAGAAAAAAAGGGACACCATAGCTCGATTTAGTACTCCCATACGCCTATCCCCGCCCACCACATAGAGCAAACCGACCAATCGCCGGCACGCGTTCTACTAGAGACCGGCTAGATCGAACGCACGTTGTGTGCACTCTCTCTCCCTCTCCTCTCGTCGCTCACGAATTGCAGGCCTGGATGGGTCCTCGATGTGCACGGTAGCTAGCCTCCTAGAGAACCCAGGACGGTTCGATAGCTGCCCCCGTAACGATTTTTCAAAATTTCCTGGCTTCCCGCGCTTTCCTGATCTAACTATGACACCCTCGGAACCGTTCTTCGCCCTTAGAATTACATTTTAGTCGACTCTCCGAACATCTCTAAAATTCAGGAGATATTATTTTCTGTGAAAAAATGTTAAATAGAACTATCCGGATAGTTAAACATCGACTAAAACTATGCAGCAGGTTCACTGGATTCCTCTACTTTCAGCACAACGCTCCACCGTTTGCGGAAGCAGTGTTCTTTCATCGACGGCCAACAGCCATTGTTCTCCAAACCGACGCCATTTTTATTAGCGTGGAATATACCGCGCCTGGGCCACCTTGAGCGATTATTAAAAATAGTGATCAGCGAAAATAAGAGCTTTCTAAATTATTAAAGAATGCGAAGGTAGATTCTTGTTCGGTGAACTAGGTGTTCTAATTGGCGAACAAGTTTGAAAGTATTGGACAATCATTCATGGACAATTTGTTAACTAAATATTACTCGATTTCCAGGTAAAGGAACCAACTTGGAAGCACAGCGAAAGGTCAGAGTTGCGAGGCGAAGAATAGTATGGTTTTCGACGCTTCTATTAATGAAACTCGATGGAATGAGTCGATGGTACTTTAAGCGTCGCGACGGTGACCCACGCCAGCCGATATTGAATTATCTTTCGACGAAATGACGGGGATCACACCGATAGACGGAAGTTTATCGCGGAAAGAGGACCGCGTACAGAGCGTTTCAGCTCGTTATCTTCGCTCGTTTATTTGTATCCTGTCGAACGTATAATAACTTGTATCTTTCAACGTTTCCTACGGTGTGCCGTGGACACCGTCCCGATAATCGTCCGGTTTTATTACGCTCTCAACGAGACGGACTCTCGAGAGCGGGATTATAACCGTAGGAACGTACGCGTGAAACGATACTCGGCCAATTGGCCGTCTAAGCCGCGTTAATTGCACCTGTTCTAGACATCGGCAGATATGTAACCGTGCACAACTGTCAATGTCGAGATCGGGTGATGGCTACTCCGACGAAATTCTACGCGTTTACTCTTTTATTCTCTTTCGAAATCGAACGGCCACCGTAAAAAATGCTCGGCTTGTCCGATGGCGAGTGAAAATCACAGCCGGGATTTTATGGGGACAGCGGGCATCGCTTTATGGCGCGTCGCGACGCCGATCGATTCCATAACGCGTTCCTTTTGTCTTCTTTGTCTGTGATAAATTTATAAAACGCACTTTTTCTTTCTCGTTGCGAACGTCTCCGGTAACGCCTACGAATCGTATCATCGTGCTGCGACATCGTTGTTCTCGATCGCGCCTTTGAGAACACGTTGACACTTTATACTTTATACTAATCGTTCGTTAATCAGTCACGCAGGCGATCGAAGTTCCTCTTTAACGGGAGCAGCGGTTTTCTGTGAAATTCGAGGAAACGAGATTAATTAAAGTGCAGGTCGCCCGGTGGTTGGTATCGACGGTACTGACCTGAGCCACTGTGCAGCTAGACGAGGGCTAGTTTGATATGTGTGCGAGAAGGAGAAGGAAGAGAGAGAAAAAAGAGAGAGAGAGAGAGAGTGATAATGAGAGAAGGAGAGAGAGATAGAGAGCGAGCGAGAGAGCTGTGTGCCCGTGACGCGGTTGGAAATCGTGGCATTGCACGTTGCACCGGTTTGCAGCGAGGCGTTGCACGCGCACAGGCCACACGCAACGCACAAGGCTTGCGCCAGACAGTCTGTTGCACAACTTAGGTATTGATCTTGCCCGGAACTAGTTTCCGTTTCCGTGTTCAGCCCGTCTTCATCGTCTTTCCGTGAAAACAACCGTCGCACCACCGATCCAGGATCGATCTAGAATCGCCGATTCAATCTTCCAAAGCTTCCACATGGTCAAGCTTGGAGCTCCGGTAGTCTGCTCTTCGAACAAATATTAAACTCTAAATTAACTTCAACTTCTATGGATGACTCGTTTAGGTCAAAGAGCAAGGTACTCTGGTCACCGAGCGAGAACCATTTTTAATGGAAAATTCAAACTACCAACGTTTAACGTACTTGGGTTACCATCGAGCTAGCATACTCAGCAGTTCGAGCAGGCTGTTGATGATTTCAATGGCAACCGCCCGACGCAGAGGTAAATCAATAGGTATTAAATAGCGAGATATTGTATCGCGGTAATGAATCAATCTACCGGGTCGCATGCGCGTTCAGCAATAATCAAAATCTACAACGAATCTATGCTGTTGGGCGGTCTAATTCCGCGGAACTATTTGCTTCCCGGCTCTAATACTATGTCGTGAATTCTCTGTTCTAGAACTAGGAACTGTTTTCGACCGACGCGGCGACACACAGGGTTTAGAGCGGAGCGGGTTGGAGCGGAGCGACGAACAATCGCGCTGCAACAGCGAGCGCGAGTGCATTGCACCGCTGAGGTATTGATCTCGGTCGCTCGTGTTTTTTTTCGGTCGGCTGTCCCTTCCTTGAACCTTCTCCCTTAAAGTTTCGCGGCGTCTAGCTTCTATCCTCTCGTTCTTTCTCGCGAACCGCATTTCCCTCTGACCCTCCTAGTCGGAAACCATTTTCAACTAGCTTCCGCTTCTGAAACGTTCCCCGGCGATCCCGACTGCTTTACAGGGCCTATGGAAAATCCTTGTGCGAAAATACTCTGCCTAAAACGTGTTAAGGATTTTTTAATACCAGGATCATTTTCCCTGATCCACAATCGAAAGAGATAAATGACTATTTTCTTTTTTTCTGTTTTAGACAAGCAAAAGTATAAGAGCTTTTATTGTTGTTAGAAGAGGAATAAACGGTAGAAAACTGCGCCTTTTAGTTGCTAACAATCGGGGACGGATAAGTTATCGCTCGCCGAACAACAATGATTGCCGCAGCGGTAAGAGCATGCCAATAAATCTCCAATTCTTGCACATTTATCAGTCGAACTTGATCTTTGTTTTGTCCAGCATTTGTCGTTTCTTTACGATTCATGCCACGTGCATTCTTCGGGAACTTAATTTTGTTATAGAAATTCGATTACCAAGCGAAAGTAACTTAAGATACCGATAAAAACTTCGTAGCAAGTCGAAGTAATTTAAAGCTTAAAGTTCCATGCTTTTAAAATTGCACAAAGTGAGACGGTGTTTGTCTAAAAGAAATATTTGTTTGCTGCCTTGTCCGTGGTTTGCGACACGCTCTGTTCAGAGAACTGTTTACAGAAACAGTGCCGGTATCCACCCACGATAAAGAGGCACACAATGGAATATCACAGTCGCTTCTCTCGGAATTCCAAGCCATTAAATCGAAATAATCGTAACGAATCCTCGTCACTGCGCGGAAGGACAAAAGCAATTGTGATCGACTGTCGGATTGGTCTCTCTTTCCTACATTCAAATGATTTTAAAAATGGCGGCCGGTGTCGGGGAACGGAGACGACTGCTACGTAGTTTCGAAACCATTAAATTTATCTAAATACGCGGATAGATTAACTATCGTAACTATAACTATATAACAACTGGTAACTAACGTATCGGGAGCTACAAATTTCTTTTCTACGTCTAATCGAAGAAATTTCATTAATTATTTACGATTTATGGTTTTTGCTTTGACTAATCGATAACCGAAAGTGGATATTTGGCGCGCAGGCAGCGTCGGCAACCATTTACATTTCGGAGGATCGCGAAAATTTTCCGTGTAATTATCGGTGAGAAAAGGTCAGACAATTATCTATAATGTTAAATGTATTCACAAAATTCTAACAAATTCAATATTCTAACAAATATTGATCGGAAAGCTAGCCCTTTGGGTTAACCGTTCAGCGTCTATTAGGCATTGGTTAGATCAATTTTTCTTGAATACATTAAAGGATTGCACCGGATCATTCAATTAAAAAGAAATGCAATTACTTTGGAACTGGGATACGTGGAATATGTTTGCTACTACAGTAAATTCTCTGAAATTGCCCCTCAGCATGTAAACAAAAATGAGGAAAATACGATTATACGTTTATATAGTGTTGTTGCTCGTATAATCGTATCTTCTCTCTCCAATTTGTCCATTTTTGTTTACAAGCTACGGGACAATTGAAGAGTATTTACTGTATTTCTGAATATAAATTATCTACAAAAATCCTCGAAACTGCGATCGAATATTACAGGTTAGAATTCAGTGAATCCTCAAAGATGAAATGGTCGCAATTAACAGAAATAAATGATATTTACTGATTCAGATTGTGGAACACGAGAAATCGTTGTATATTATGCGTTTCGTTGAAGGAGAGAGGGAGAGATAGAGAGAGCGAGAGAGCGAGAGAGAGAGAGAGAGAGAGAGAGAGAGAGAGAGAAACACCGTTGACTGTGCACGGACCTGTCAAAATCTGCGCATGCGCGGTGCGAGGCGACGCAACAACAGGGGATGTCATTGACCCCAGCCGTATGTATTCAGCGAGAGAGGTTAAGGTTAATTTTATCGCTGGATGGCGAAAAATACTTCCTTCCTCTACTCACCAACCGGGATTTTGTCTGCGAAAATCACTGCGAGAGGATCGAGGACTGTTTCCATCGACGAGAAACAGTCCGATCTGCTCTTGAACCTAATCGCTCCGTAAATAACGCGTAAATACGCCTGATAATTCGAGGCCAGTCCCGGTTCACAGAACGATACGAACACCACTCCGTTATCGCGATTGTTCCTCCACGACAAGTACGTCCATTTTTTGCGCGCCAAACTGATTTTTTCCACCGTATCCCCCCTCCCTTTGAGGTTAGGTATGAATATGCAGATTTACATGCTAAACATATTTTGCTTGAAACTTGCAGGAACATGCGAATAGGGAAGGAAACATAGGCAAGAAAGAACGACTAGGAAAAATAAAGTATTGATTTCCCTTTTATTCTACAAAAATGTACAGTGTGACGCTATCGAGAACAATATATGTAGCGAGCACCTACGTTTGCTGAGAGATAAACGTAATTTACCAAAGAGAATGCGAAGCTAGCTGGCAGGAACTTAGGGCCAAGAAAGTAGCCAGTTGTGGCCCCAGGGCCTAGGTTTAGAAAAACTGGAAAAATATTCGCGGTCGATACCACGTGCTGTACAACGCTAGGATAGATGGGTAATGAAATTTACACCGATCGTTTATTATCGAAGCCGGAGCGTTTCCCGATGCCGCGACGACCGCAGGGAATGGAAAACGATATCGCGAAACATCGACCGCAGAGACCCGCTGTCAGGATGATTCGAGGCGACGGAAAAATGGGAAATGGATGCCTTGTTAATCCCCGATGATTCGTTTCGAGCCCTGGGTCGATAGCAGCCAATCTACTCTACGTTTATCGTTACTCTCGACTATTGTAACTATTTTCACTATTTTTTATTTATGTCTGGCGGCATTTACTTATTTTAATTATCTACAGATACGGTACAGTCGCATTTTTGCAAGGATAATTGACTTGAAAACGCAAGGACCACCAAACACGGGAGACTCGGGTGACTATTTTGGATGTTTATTGTAAAATTCTGTCGCGATATCGCCATTAACTATGACTTACCTCGAGGACGCTACGGCAGAAGTTCCCCGAAGCTCTACGAATCGCATCAGGTATCCTGAGGTATCCACGGAGCTCCTGAAAGCCACAGGACACTACGAGGACACTGCACACTATCACAAATCGCGGCACACGATGCACAGTAGCAGCAGCAGTAGCAACAGTAGCAGTAGCAGTAGCAACAAGGGAGAAACGGTAAAACCCGTGTGTAGTCGTATGAATCCGGGGAGGCACTGCCACTTGGCCGTCGAGAGCTTCACTTCGGCTACGTGTAGTTCCTCCTTGGGCATCCTCGCGTATACAGCCTCGCGTCACGATAGGGCAGACGACAGCTCAGAAAATTCACCGGTGTGCTTTCCGGGATAGCCTTGAGAAAAATGAGCCTGTTCGAGAGTGGAGAGGGTCGCGCGGGGGTAGGAGAGAGAAAGGAGTGTACGAAAGAGAGAGAGGAGAGGAGGGGGAGGGAACAGTTTCTTTTCGGGGGAGAATGCAGCCGAGAATTGATAGGTGGCGGAGGAGAGCTTGGGCGGGCAGCGATTGGATCGGAGGTGGGTCGAGGGGCAGGCCGGGGCTCTCGAAAGGGCAAAGAACTCGACCGGCTGGAGCGCGTTCGAGGCCCGAACAACACTCTAACTTCTCTCTCTCTCTCTCTCTCTCTCTCTCTCTCTCTTGGATATAACCGCGCGCAAGACTCGGCTCTGCTCGGCTCGGCTCGGCTCGGCGCGGCAGGACAAGAATGGGCAAAACGCTACTCTTGCTCCCGGGGGCTGCACGGGGATGCTTATGGTGGCCCGAGCAAAGTGAACCCAACCGAGCTTTGGAACACTGTGGTCTGCTCTGGCTCCTCTCTACTTTTCTCTCTGATTCTCTCTGCTCTGAGTCTGCACGGTGACAGCGACAGACTGTCGGTAGGACGCCACGGGCAACGACAAAGCACAGCAGAGTTGAACAGAGCCGAACTTAACCGAGCAGCTAGCGAAAGAACCGATCGTTGGGATGGTGGAACGCGGACTAGAAGAACGAACGAAGCAGCTAGAGCTTGCACTTTCAGTGATCAACAGGGTACATTTGTAATCTGATTGTATCGTCGACTCTCGAGCTTCCCAATACGTCCTGAACAGAAAAATGTTTTCTGTACTTCTCTATACGTTCCGGTCTCAGCATCAGGCCTTACCTCGGCATTTCCTAAATATCCCCGACGAGGACCTAGATCGGCGAGGGCAGCGAGCGTAGCTGGTCTACGAAAAGAAATGACAGATATCAAAAGAATGATGCGAAGATCGTAGGGAAAGGGTGAAGGAGGCCTCCGGACCTCTCATTTTTACTTCCGGACGAGGTCGAGGCACCTCGTGCGGAAAAACCGACACGACGGGGTCAGACGGCCGGGTTCACTGACACGGAGAGAATTTGCTTTTCCGCGGGGGTGGAAAGTCGCCGGGGAAGAGATAGGGGCGGGGATTTCGGAAGAGGGGGCGGCGGCGGAGAGGGAAGCTATCGACGGGGTACATGTACTTACACGCTAGCACGAATTCGGCGCGAAGGAGAACTAACCGAAACGTTCCTGTAGCCGTGTAGAGACTGCCTCTCGGGCGCACATGGCTGTCTTCTTCGTCGCTCCGTCGCTGCTTCTTTTTCTCTCTTTCCTTCTCTCTCTCTCTCTCTCTCTCTCTCTCTCCCTCCCTCTCTCTCTCCCTCGCCCATATGCGCGCGCGCGTACATCGTCCTACGAACACACCGATGTGCGCTCGCAGACGTCGCACCCCGTCCATCTCTTCCTCTCTCTCTCTCTCTCTCTCTCTCTCTCGCTCTCTCTCTCTCTCCCTCCCTCACCCCCTTCAGCCGGTGGTCCGTCGCGTTCCATCCGTCTCTGTTCGCACACAGCTCTACCCGTGCGAAATTCACAGCCAGTGGCGTAACCAGTAGGGGATCGCCGACCCCTTACAGTCTCGATCTTGTACCCCTTCTACTGGTGAACAGCGTTGCCACTTGCCAATGGCGTTGCCAGTTCGTTGCAACGAGTGGGAGGCAACCCGTTAACCACCCTCTCTCTTCTCCTCTCGGAGCAGCTTTATCAAAGGTTGTCTTAGAAAATCAGCCAGCATGCAGCGAAAATGCCCACCAATCGTCTAATGTCTCTCTACAATTTTCAGTATTGGAAGAGGACTCCCATAGCTGGCTACCGCGATCCGGAGGAGACGGTGCAAATTTTCCTGCGGTAGTTGGTCGCCATTTGGAATTGCGTAGGATGACATATGAAATGGCGGGACGTCGGTGGAGTATGTATCGATACGGCGACGGGACCAGTTCCTTTCCACGAGGATCTAGAATGGATGCTAGGTATCCGCACGGCGGTGCGGAGCAGAGAGCGCGAGATCTTGAAAAGTGCAACGGATGATATCTTGTAGCCGGGCTGCATATAACGCGTTCCACCCGTGGTGGGGGTGGAGGCAGCGGAGGCCAGTTTTCTGGAACGTGCACCAGGTCTGCCATCCGGCAATTTTCTTTCTCTACCTCCAAATCTTTATCTCCTTGTTTCGTGCGAGGCGTCTCAGCTTCCCTCCTCGTCCTGCATGTTTCGCGGCGCCGATCTTGAAACGGAAAGGGAACGACCGGTGCGGCGAGCCGAGTCGAGTCGAGCCGAGCCGAGCCGAGTCGAGTCGAGCCGAATCGAGACAAGACGAGACGGTGGTAGAAGGCGGTCTCGAGATCGAAATCCAAGGAATCGAAAAAGTCTGGACTACACCGGAATTTTATTGATTTCGAAAAGAATCCAAAAGGATGACTCGGTAACCTCGTTGATCTAGATTTCCATCGAAACAGTCCAGCGAGTACGGGGTCTCGCGCGATGCTAATCGGCCGTGAACATCGGCAGTCGAAGGATCATAAAGCGAAGAGGCCGGCTACGTTAAATATTTGTCGTCACAGGCTTCATTACTCTCGAAAGGTTGATCAAGGGGCTGAGAGAACGCGGCCCAGGAGTCAATAAGCACGAGGGCCGAATGTTGGAGGTTTCGCACCGCTGAAACTTTGATTCGAGTGAACATTGCTCGAACGAACGTCTCATCTTGTCCAAAACGCACCGCCTCGGATCACCTAATTACAATGCTGATCGAGAATCGCGTTTAGAAATTATAGAGACCGTTTAACTTCTAAGTAAACGAAGCTCGAAGAATCAAAGAGAGAACGAAACGGGACAGAAACTTGTATTTTGCATGAAGCAGCAACCCGTACTAATAATATTCATTCTTTCTCGCTGCATTGTTACCCCCCGCTTCTCCCTCGATCACTGCTGTTCGACACTGTCACGGATAATCGAGGGTGAAAGAGCGAGCAGGCACGGAGGGGTCGAGGATCGGTAGAGAGACAAGCAGAGACGGAGAGAGAGAGAGAGAGAGAGAGAGAGAGAGAGAGGGAGAGAGAGAGAGAGAGAGAGAATGGGCGAGGGGCAGCGAGCGTGTGCAGTTCTCGCGATCCAGCGTGCGTTGCACTCCGCAAGAAAAAACATCGTCCAGGCGGGCCGAGGAAGGAGGAGGTGGGTCTTCGTGCATCTCCGGTCCGCGTCGCCGCTTATATTGATCACGAGAGAGTGCACGATATTCGAGAATACATTATACGCGGACTCTAGCCTAGCCGGACCGCCTATAGTCGCGCGGAGTATAGGCGGCCAGGCCGCTGCACTCTGGCTCCCCCGACCCCGTGGCCCTCTCTCGGCCGTCTCTCACCGCCATCTCACTCGAGTCTACCCGACAAACCCTCTCTCCCTCCCATCCCGCTCCGTCGTTCGTTCGTCGCTCCAGTCTCTTCACCCCGCTCTCTCGTTCTTTTGATTATCTATCCGTCCTTGTCCGTCGCGTTCTCATCCCCGCGTTTTCCTCCCTCGACCAAGACGGTCTCTCGGTTTCTGCAACTTTGTCTAGCGATGGGCGCCATCCGGTCTAGCTGTTGCGAGTCCCCGAGGAATATTTCCACTCTCTTGTACGAAATTCCAAGCGCATTAAGCGCCACGAACGCAAAGACTGGCCTCGATAAATCCTGTTTTCTGTTGTAAGATTGTTACCACGCGTATGGTTTATATTTGTGCAGCGTCGACGGAGACGCAGGGAATGTCTCGAACCCATCGCTACCTATGCCTCGCTCGACTCTCCCTCCGAAACACACAGCTAGACTGCTCGATCTCTTTCCGTCCCAGGCGCTCGGTCTTCTTTTTCTCCGTCTCGCATACTTGCCCCAACGTTGTGTTCCTCTCGTTCTCCCTTCGTCCACCAGTGCACATTGTCTTCCCTCCAGCTCGCTCCTCTTTGTCGTATAACTTCTACCTATCTCTCTGGCGCGGTGTGTTTTCTGTCGTTCTTTTTCTCCCTAGCTCCCTCTCCGTTTTTCTCTCTTCGAACCCTCTACCGTCCTCTTCCGCCGATCCTCTCTCGGTTTCTGCCCTCTACACCCCCGCCGGAGGGGCGATCGTCGAACCGAACCGAGCCGAGCCGAGCCGAGCCGAGCCGAGCCGAAACGATCTTCCTTCGACAATGTCTGCGCGCAGAGAACTCCTCTTTCTTCGAAATTTATCGCCCGAATCCTGCGAGAGGAGACCTCGAATAGAAAACAAACTCCACGATTTTCAGGAGTTCCAAAACTAACTCGCTGTCCTAAACACAATTCTTCCGATTGCAGGTTCCGATCGCAGTGTCCCATTGCATTGGCTCCACCGCTCTTGCTTGCTCCAGCTGCGACCAGATAGGACGCGGAGAAAGACGTCAGGAATCCTCCGGTCAAGAAAGTCATTCGAGGGACCATACTCTACCAAAACACGCGGGTATTAATCCAGAAGGTTCTTCGCAACATCCCCCGGGAGTCTCCCCACTTGTCGAGAAGACGCAGACACTGAGGACGGAGATGGAGGGGAACGAGAGGGCGAGGGAAACGGGCTAGGCGCGGGCAGGGGACTGTCGGGTATGCACGGTAGGGGCAGGAGAGGACCTTGGCCTTTTCGCGGAGCAAAAATAAAACCTGTTGACACCGAAGCCCCGCGGACGCAAAGGAACTTCTCCCTTTCTCTCTCTTACTCTCGTTCTCTTTCTCTCTCTTTCTCTTTGCCTCTCGCCCCTCGGTTGCTACTCATCGTCTTCCCCTTCTCGAAGCCTCTGTTTCCAACCTCTTGAGTGTATGTCTCCTCTGGCCGGGGTGCAATTTCAAAATTTCGCCGTGGGTTCTTATCCTTTTATTCCACAACGGCGCCCCTATTCTCGGGAAACCGAAAAATCGCAGAGCCATTTGTACCCCGAGTTTGAATTAACGCGCCCATCGTCGTCGCGTGATATCTACGCCCCCGCTTCGAAAACCTGGGGTTCTATCGATGAATAGCGGTCGCTTGAAATCCAAAGTACTGTCTCTAAATCGCAGGGCTAGATGTGTCCTCTTAGAAATTCTCTCTTCTCTCTCTCTTACCCCTATCAACTACGTGTTGCAGTATTACTGGTTGAATGCACGCCGTTCCGTCAATTTCCCCTGGAGGACTACCTTCTGGCTACCAGCTTGTTTGTATGTGCGCGCGTGCATGAACCCGACGCATCTACCTTGGCTAGACCAGACGACCGAGAGACGATGAGAAGCGCTCTGCGGCAACCTCAACCTAGCCTTCTTGCAGGGACCGTGGTCTTTGACCGAGCTCGCGATAAAATGCACGAGCACAGGAGCCCCGCGTTCGCGTTGTTGCGCTTCTTCTTATAAATCGACAGGCTTTTGCCAGAAGAAATGGAGCGACGAACACCTGCTTGCCACCATCGCGATGCGTTCAACGACGACCATTCCTAGATCGAAGCGGAAGGAGACAGGGCTGCATCGGAAAAATTCGGATTTGGCTTCGGACCAATGAGAGGCCAGGTGGGCAACCGATGAAAAACCGTGCCACGGGGAAAGGGCCACGCCTGTTGCCGTCCCGGGAACCTTAATGGGGTCCCATGAAGCGAACGGGGCCCCGGTGCATCTGCATCCGGGAATTACGACGCACTCGTTCGCACAATTGAAAACCGTCGAATATATACAGCGATTCTGTTTCCTCCGTTCCTGCTTGTTGCGAACGGTCGCAGTATCATCGATTCGTCCTGAAACACGTGTCCTTTACGCCTTAACTTCTGCTAGATGGCTGTCCATTGTTTTCGGCTGTCCTGGGCGAAGGATGAAAATGCGCCGGCTGCGAAAGTGGCAGGGATAAAGAGAACACCGAAGACAAAGAGAAACTGAAAAGGAGAAGAGAGAGAGAGAGAGAGAGAGAGAGAGAGAGAGAAATGGTGCGTCGGTTAGAAAGAAAAGAGAATAAGAAAGAGAGAGAGAGAACCTTGGCCCACAGGCCTACTGCAGCGCTAGCTGCAGCCTGCCTGGCTGCACACAACGCACCGTACCTCTGCCATTCATGTTGGAAACTCCCTGCGTGTTCGTGGGGTTGGGCCAACAACCGCCGGAAAAATTTCTTCTCTCTCTCTCTCTCTCTCTCTCTCTCTCTCTCTCTCTCCGGCAATGCAACTGAAATGGCCCCGCCCCGTCCCATCCCGGTACCGCAGTGTAGGGAGAAAAAGTTGATCGGTCGCGCTGCAATGTCTACCAACCGCACCGGCTTTGGTAACCAGGTACCAAAGTGAACCAATGATCTATTCACAGTGAGGAAAGATGCTTTGACCATGGAGCAATTAATCGAGTTTAAACGGTAGAATAAATATGTACACATATCGAATGTAGTAAGCAGAGATGATTTGTTTTAGCGGCAATTTACTATTTCAACGTGCATTTTTCAGCCACTGCATACGCGTCTAGCTAACGCGCTCACCTCGATGCAACGACGCCTGGATACAATGTGCAACGAATGAGGCAACGTTGTCGAGAATGGAAAAGCATTTTGGAAAAGCAAGAAACAGCAAGAACTTATTGGACAATCTAGTAGTATACGTCAGGTCGCCGCTCCCCGAGAGATCACTGCCCTCGTACGCACACCCGGTGTGTGCCTTTTCCCGTTCCTTCGTCGTTTGTCCCTCCATCGCGGGAGCCAGGGACGTAACGCGAAATTCGCGAAGCCAGCGCCGGCCACGGAAAAGCTCCGTTACGAAAAATTGATACCGGTACACCTGGCATACATGCTGCGAACGGTCTCGCTTGCGCAACGATTATCCCGTGCGAGATTCGACAACATATTTTCTCAAACACTCCAGAAATTGGCAACGTACTCCTTAAGGAACCGCCTGCGTATAACATTTGAACGTGTATGAAATCGCAAACGTCGAACCCATAAACAATCGTTGACCGGTCATGCAAAACCGTCGCAACTTCCAGAAGATAAATTACGTCTGTCGGGTATCTGTCAGCCGCGCTCACCGCGTGAAATAAATACCTTATGGAGTTACAGCTGATATATCGACGATCTGATTCCGAAAGAACGTCTGGATGATGATTCACAGACGAATTAGCACCGAACAGACACGACAATGATCACTCATGAGAACATCGAATTGGTGGACTCGTCGAACCGATACCGGTCGATTGAGACGTGCACTCGGTGTGTGTATTCGCGTAACAACTGTCTTCCCCGCGAAATCACAGTGCGTGCGGAGACTTAGGCGAACCGACAGACAGATCGCTGAAACCGTAGTCTTTTCGCGGGAGATCAGCCAGAGGGTTTCACAGACCCCTTGGCTCGAGACACGTGTGCCTGTGTACGTGACGAGGTGTACGTACACTGTACATACGTCAAACGGTACACATACGCGCGACTAGAGAACAAGATCTGGACGAGCCGGCGACGAGACGACGATTCCATTCGACCGGCGGCACGCGTGGCACCGCGACGACCAAACGGCGCAACGGCGCCATCTGTATCGCGAAGTTCACAGCGAAATTTAGAAGCGATTTGACCGACGATTATGGCAGTCTAAAAGGGATTGTTACGTCCGTGAATGCTGTTCCTTTGAGATAGAATATTTAGACAGAGGATCAATCGGTTGCAAACGTTTTCTCTTGGTTCCTTAACAATGCGTACTCGAAATTATTCTCAATATGTGCACAATAGATAGAGCGAGCAGTACAAGTATCGATGAAAGAAAATTCAAGATTGTCAAAGTACAATAATTCCGAAGAAATTTGTATTGTATAGGGGGCAGCACCTCCTTGATGATATTGCTGGCGCCATCTACCAAAAATTGCCCAAGTTTATCGACGAATTAGTTCCAAATTAATTTTGCTCTTATAGAGGATAGCAGCCTCGTTCTCAGAAATTTCTTGAAAATATTCCAAAACATTCATTTATAACGAAGTGATAATTCTACATAATTAAGATGTTTTTCTTTGGATATTACTTACATGATGCAATATTTAATATTCCACTTACTTCTTGAATTAATTTCTATTGGAATTATGATACAATAAAGTTCCCTCGAACTTTTCATGGAATGTTATTTAGAACGAGTGCATAAAAGTGACATTTGAGTGCATTTTCTTAGCGAGTGATTTCTCCTGTATTTGTTAATCTGTTTGCTATTTTTTCACTTCAATTATTGTAGTATACACTGTAAGAAATGCACCTGAACTCATTGCAGTTGTCAGTTATCTAACCTCTATAGAAAAGAACTGTTTATCCTCTAAGTTTAAATTTAATATCATTGAATGAGAATTAAAAAATGATTATTTCGTTTTGAGATGTTGTACCAAGATTCACCGTTTTCGACCATGTATGGTCAGGATGATTATGATATTGATGAAGACAACGAGGAGTATTTAGAAGATGATCGTGACGCAGAAGAACAAGATGAAAGCGATGAAGGTAATAATTATTAATATAAAATGTAAGCATCGAGCAAATATTTTATTATGATTTATACATACCTTTAGACACCGAAGAAGCAAGTGAAACGGATGTGGGAAAGTCCGAAGAATATACAGAAATAAAAGAACAGTGAGTAAAACGTTTAATGGATCTTAATTCGATGGTTCGATGATACAAATCATTTTTTTAGAGTATATCAAGATAAATTGGCCAGTTTGAAGAAACAATTGCAGCAACTGAAGGATGGTACCCATCCTGAGTATAATCGGAAGTTAAAACGCTTGGAGGCTCAGTACAAAGAAAGGTTGAAAGTTTATAAATATAATGTTGCAATTAGCTGTACATAAATTAGACTAAATAGATTTAATTCACACAGACTAAGGTTGAATACAATTTACCGGGAATACCTAACCGAATCGGTGGAAAGGGACTACATATTGGAGAAGAGAGCAGCAGTTAAGGAATTCGAAGAAAAGAAAATTGACCTGAAGGAGAACCTGCTAACCGACATGGAAGAGAAAAGGAAAATGATAGAAAGCGATCGTCACACTATGGAACTCACAGGCGATTCGATGGAGGTGTAAATAATAATAGAATTCTTTTTCAGTTGTCATTCCCTCTAGCGTATATGTACTAACTTTGCCATTTTTTAGGTGAAGCCTGTAATGACACGAAAACTGCGTAGACGTCCTAACGACCCTGTTCCCGAAAAGGTAGAAAAACGAAGAAAACCTCCTCCCGCGCAATTGAATTATCTCTTAGACGAAAAAGAGATTGAGAGCGATTTAAAAGCTATTAGCCGCGGTAAAGTACTGCCCACTGTTCGAAAACCAGGTACTGATTGGAAATTCCAAATCAATATGCATGGTTTAACGACATTCCTTTAATTTTAGCGGTTTTTCCACATTATAATACAGTAAATATGCCTTCGCAACATATTCCTCCAGCTTCCGAGACGCCATTAGTAGAGACTAGGATAGAAGATGGAAAACTTCTACACGAGAGGCGATGGTAATTTGTAATAGCAATGAAAATTTCATGTAACCGATAATATATATTGAATAATTACAGGTTTCACCGTGGTCAACCAGTCTACGTCGAAGGGAAAGATATGTCAAGATTCGCAGCAAATATTTCTGCCATCGGAACCGAGGCTGTAAGTAAATAATTGTTATCGGTACTCAACGAGCTAATTTATCCTTTATTATCATATTAATCTCTGTAATAATCTACTTGTTTGATAGATCTGGGTGAAGAAGGTTTCGGACGGGAGCAAAGTTCGGATATACATATCTCAATTGAGTCGTGGGAAGATATCGATTAAAAGAAGAGCGTCCTAGTGGGGAACTGATCGCTAATTAGAGCGGAAAAGTGTTCAGTTATTGTTAAGCTTGTGATATACTAGACTAATAGATTTGTACGTCTATTTTCGAAATCAAATAGAGTTTTTACTGTACTTGTCTTTTGCAACCAATAAAATTAAAGCTTTCGGTGACACTGGAATGGTAAGCATGAAGCTTTTTTTATCTAATCCTAAATAAGGAAATCCTGGATAAGGATTCTTCTTTACGTGTATAAAAATTTGTATTATGTTACGAAGAATACAGTTAAGTTAGCCGAATAAGATGATATTAACGCAATACGTAGTTATGTGCAATTTGTAATTAACTGCTAAGCTATAAACGAATCTGTATCACTCAGCCATCATGTCTACACTGAGACAATCTTCACCCATATTGCTGGGAGAGGTTTCCAACTCTCCGATTTCGTTAGATTCGCTGTGAGCAAAACATTATTATTACAGAATTTCGATAATTACTATGATACTTTCAGACAATTATTCACCTATCCAAGGAAGGATCATTGCTAAACATCTCTGTGGGAACTGTAGGTGGTGCTTTTTCCGGTACTAATTCCAAATAGGTCTGACGAGACTCTAAGTGCCTTTCCACTTCTTCCGGCGTCATGTGACCATCGGACATTAAAGACATCGGTACTATATTATTGGATGATTGTACCTAAACAAGTGCAGAAATATTATACAATTCTTATCGATGATATTATTATACTATAACTTACTATAGGTGTACTATTTGATTTTGTCACTTTAGGAGTGGGTTTCTTCTTTTTAGTGGCATTGAAAGATTTTGCTACTGTTGGCATGTGATGTGAAGTATGATTGCTAATGCCTATCTCCATCTTTTTCCTTAAAAAAAAAAAGAGAAAGGAAGGAAATATTAATTATTGGTGTAAGTAATTTAAAAAAAACAAAGTTTTTTTCAGCTACATACCTTTTCGAGGTATCCATACGAGCAACTTCTTCGTCGGATGACTCTGTTTCATCGCTTTCACTAAACGAAGCATCTACCTTCTCATACTGCAATAAACGATCCAAAAGAAAACTTTTGTCCCTATTAACTTTAAGGAGTTTCCTTTGTGTTGACCTTAAAGCTTCTTGGAAACACTCATTCTCCTAAATAGAGCATTAAATCATTCGATAAAATACTAGATAGTTTTATTATAATTATAATTGTAAGTGCACATACATAAATTAGAAATTTTAACTTCCTCTTAAGATTCCGATACTGATCCTTGTAATTGGGCACTTCTTCTTCTGGGCTATCCTCGTCATCGTCTTCGGCATCTGCATTGTTGTTTGCAATTGAACGACAATACCATCCTTCCAACATTGATCATCTGCAACTGAGATAACGCCGTAAAGTTAGAGAGTGATTGTTTACCAATCCGTTAATTACATTGGTGACACTTAACGAGTTCCCTCTTTGCTTTACAGTTATTAAAAACACTTTCACGCAATCGTATCAGCACGCGTAATAAATTAAATAAAATGTTTTCTGTCAGTATTATTCCAATACTACTTAAGGTTAAGTCCTCGGCGATAGAAGATAAGCCGTGAACGACGAAATGTATTTCCTGGAAAATCAGAGTACACTTGCTGACACTCGACAAAATTACAATTAAAATAAAATTTCAGTAATACCTTCGCGAAACTTCCGAATGATTTTTCCTGTGTCGTAAGTCGTAAATAGTTCAGGCGAACGATTATTAGGAAGATAAATAAGCTGTTTATGACTGGCTTCCATTCTGAACTTCTTTACCGATTCTACAGTAACTTCGAAAATGCTACCGTCCGACCGGAAATGTTCTATCACAGACTCATTATCGACCTTACACAGTGTTTTCGTTTAATCGTCAGAGAGTATGAGTACCATCTGTCGCCATCGGAGCGTTGTGGTATACTTAATGAAGTTTTCTATCTATATGAATGTGGTTTATGTACGAATATATTAAAGCAAAGTCGATAAAGATAAACTCTTAAGGCCACAGGTTATAGTGTAATATTTGTAAAAAGTACGTCGATAATAAATTTTCAGTTTTTATATTGTCAGACGCTTGGAATCTGTGAATTATTAAAAGAAGAACTTTGTGATCAAAATGGGTGTACCGAAGTTTTTTAGATATATAAGCGAGAGATATCCTTGTATCAGTCAAACGTTAAAGGACTACCAGGTAAGTGATGAAAAAAGGAAACAAACAAGGCTTTTCCTGTTGGTTTCTCGTACCTGTGGGATTTTTTTGCTCTTTTTTCGTAGCTTCATAGATTCATAGCTTTTATTCATAGCTGTTATTGTTTACTTTTTCATATGCTAATCAATCAGTTGTTATTGAATTGTGTTCCAATCGAAAATATTTCATTATACCATTTTGGTTGTGCATCAGTAACAAGAATAACGACTATCCTGTTATTTCCAGCTACCGATGTTTGATAATTTATATTTAGATGTGAATGGTATCATACATGGATGTTCTCATCCCAATGACTCTGATATCTCGTTTCATATCAGCGAAGAGACTATATTGAAAAATATATTTCATTATATTGAAATATTATTCCGTATGATACAGCCTCAAAAGTTGTTTTTCATATCAATCGATGGTGTGGCACCACGAGCAAAAATTAATCAACAGAGGGGTAGGCGTTTCAGAGTTGCGAAACTTACAGAGGGACAAATAGCTACGGCAAAGACCAAGGGTATCGAAATAAACATGGACGAGAAATTCGATTCAAATTGTATTACTCCAGGAACAGAATTTATGGCAAAGTTAGACGAACAGTTGAAATATTTTATTTCAAATAAAATTTCAACCGACGATCTTTGGCAGAAGTGCAAAATTATATTTAGTGGATCTCAGGTATGATACTATGCTGAGTAGGAATATGGATTCAGGCAGTAAATTAACATGGGAATACCATTTCAGGTCCCAGGGGAAGGGGAACATAAAATAATGGACTATATACGTTATATGAAGGCTCAGCCAGGTTACGATCCAAATACTAAACATTGTTTATATGGTCTAGATGCAGATTTAATAATGTTGGGTTTATGCACTCACGAAGCATACTTCACATTACTAAGGGAGGAAGTAAAGTTTGGTAAAAAACAAACGAAAATCCAAACTCCAGAGGAGACAAAGTTTTGTCTCTTTCATTTATCTCTATTAAGAGAGTATATCAACCACGAGTTCTCTTCGTTGAGGGAAAAACTGCCATTTCCATATGATATTGAAAAGATTATCGATGACTGGGTTTTAATGGGGTTTTTAGTAGGGAATGACTTTGTTCCTCATTTGCCAAACTTACACCTCTCGCATGGAGCATTATCCATATTGTATCAGGTGTATATGGACGTGTTGCCAAGTTTAGAAGGTACATACATGCTGTCTAGAATTTCAGAACACATAATGTTCGATGTAATTATACACTTCCCAGATGTTACTTAAAAATGCAGTTTTGTTGTAGGATATATAAACGAAACAGGAACGTTAAAACTAGACAGATTCGAAAAATTTATCGAAAGACTCAGTCGTTTCGACCTTTTACAATTTTCGACGCATTACGCTGATCTAAAGTATCTTGAAGGTAAAATGGAAAGACGTTTCCCAAATTCCGACATACCTATGTGTAAAAAGCCAGAAGACAGCAACAATATACCTACCCCGAAAAGAGTACAAGACAAAGAATTCGACAATTTGCTTAGAGCTGCCGCCGATACGGTATTTAGTTAGAGATATATTAAATGATTACCCACAGAACATTTTATTTAATATTTTTTAATGTAGACGCTGGGAGCATTGTTTGACGATGAAGAAGACGATGAATCTGATAGTGAAATTTATAATCTGGAATTTATCCAACATAAAAGGGACTATTACATGAACAAATTAGAATATGAAAATATAGATGAGTAAGTGCATGTGAATTCATAGAACGAAATATACTATATAGTCTATTAATTATGTACTCTTGTTGAAATATATTGTAGGGATTTCCTACGGTCTCAAGCTGAAGCCTATGTCAGAGCTATACAATGGAATTTAAATTATTATTACAATGGATGTTGTAGTTGGTCGTGGTTTTATCCACATCACTATGCGCCTTACATTTCAGACATAAAGGATTTCAAGGATTTAAAATTAGAGTTTGATTTAGGGGAACCATTTTTACCGTTCCAACAGTTATTAGCTGTACTGCCACCGTACAGTAGAAAGTTATTACCATCAGCATTTCAAAGGTTGCTAATCGACGAAACATCCCCTATAATTGAGTATTACCCGGTAGACTTCAAAACGGATTTAAATGGCAAACAGCAAGAATGGGAGGCTGTTGTGCTTCTCCCGTTCATAAACGAAAAGCTTCTTCTGGATGGTTAGTGGGAATAATTTTATAGAATTCATGCCCCGTCGAGAGAGCTAATCAGTGACTATATTTTACAGCCATGGCGCCACACTACTCGGAATTAACTCCTGACCAGCTTGCGAGAAACAAACATGGACCAATGTGTTTGTATTTTCACACAGAGGAAGATAGGGGCGTTTACAAGGCGCCAGAATATTTTCCCGACACTCTGCACAATCATGCAGCTGTAAAATTAATTAACTCCGAGGATATTATTATTCCACGAGAAAAATTAATCAGAGGACTACATCCAGAAGTAAAATTAGAGATATATTGCCCCGGCTTTCCAACACTGCAGCATATAGAACATACCGTCAATTTGGAGAAGGCCAAGGTAAAGTGTTCGTTTTATCGAGAACATGATAAAATATTTAAATATAAAAACATTTGATTTATTTTATATTTTTCTGTAGGTTAAAGTGTTTGAGCATCATTCGTATAGGGATAGCATGATTATATATATAAAATCGCCGTCGGAAACGGAATTCAAATCAGTGACGTCTGAACTGTTGGGAAAAATTGTTTATGTGGAATGGCCTTTTTTGACAGAAGCGCAAGTGATAGCTGTTTCAATAAGCAGCTCAAAATTAAGTTTAGTTGATCCTCAAACTGGTTATTCTCCTGAGAATGTAAAGGAAGAGGAATTGAAGGCTGCGCATCATACGCTATGGAACTCTCAGGCGAAACAGATCACTGACGTGTAGGTTTAGAAAGAAATTAAAATTTATATTTATTTAGTGTAATTACTGGTCACTTAAAAATTTTAATGGAAACATAATACTCGTTTTATTTTTAGACACAAAAGTCGTCTGGGTATAGATGTAGGCGAAATAAAAATATTAGTCCATGCACGTTTAATGATGGGAAGCAAATACATATTTAACCGTCATGGGAAATTACATTTCGAGAAACAGTGGTCGGACACGCTAACTGCTTATGCCTATCAAACAGTAGTACAAGATCTATCTGTACACAACTTCAACGTAACATTGTATAGAACCGTCGAGGATATTTTTATGCCAGGAACTGTGTGCTTCTTGATAGGACATCCTCACTATGGTGCAATGGGCACAGTACGTTATGCGAACCTGAATACGTTCTTCTGTCCATCGAGTATATGCATGTTAAGAAAAACATTCATTTGCGATAGGTAATTGAACCGGCAGTTTCGAAAAAATTAGGTAAAGTCAATGTATCGGTAAACGTCAGTTCAGAACCGTCATTGGAGGCGATGAAACAGACTCATCAGAAACTTCGAACTAAGTATATGCAAGGAAACTCAATTGCCCAGAGATTAGGTATAAGCAGTCATTTGCTGAGCAGAATCACAGGAACGATTTACGTAAAGCCAACGTCTAATAACTTCAGTCAAGAGGTGATTAAACACAATATTGGCCTGAATTTGAAATTCAATAGGAAAAACGAGGAAGTAAGCGATCAACTTGAATATTCAGAGAAGCAATGTCTCCAGTATGTATTTCACAGCACGTACCTCGTTACAGATAGTTGGTTATACTAGAAAAGAGAATGGTCATTGGCTGTACAGTCCTAAAGTCGTCAAATTGACCCGTAATTACATAAAGAAGTATCCTGATCTGTTCGAACGACTTTCACAGACTCTTGGAAATGTAATCCTAGAGAAAGAATTATTCGAGGAGGGGTAAGTGATTGATTGGAAATCAATTAGAATTTTTCAGTCTATTCCTTCAATGCATTCATTTCAGATCTGGAGAATTGAATGAAATCATGAAGTGGCTGAAAGAAGAGCTGCAAGGCTTAAAAAGCTGTCCTTGCGGAACAGAGAACGTCGAAGCTTGCTTGGTAAAAGAAATTGAGGAGACTGTCGACAAATTTCTGAAAGATCAACCTATCGAGAAGTCCGTGGTGATGAAAGTGAAGCCTCATTTGCTGTTCAAGCCCGGTTTGCATTTACGCAAGATGCAACCCGATTCAAATACACAAACCTATCTGTTGGATAGGGTGTGTTGTATCAAAGACAATTTCACTGTTCCCTTAGGTTTCAAGGGTACTGTAATAGGTATTCAGAGATCGGAGAACCCGTTGGAGACTATGTACGATGTTGTTTTCGATAAAACCTTTACATGTAAATGAAGTGTATCCATTTTAAGTAAGACTCGCCGATGACTTTGCCGGACAGAGTAAAGTTTACACGGAATCTCGATTGCTTTCAGGCGGACTGATTATAAACGGCTGCTCGGATCTTCGCGGGTACCGATTATCTGCGCTTGATTTCATAAACATCAGTCATGGAGAGAGAATATGGTGTAGCAAGATAAAGTTATCTGTGACAGAGGTAAACGCAGAATCCATGGTCTCCTGGAAATTTGCGTCCAATAAGGCGGCTGATTCGCGCGCAAACTCGAGCGCTTTCGCGTCTTACAAGAAGCGTCATCAATTGTCAGGCCAACAGCCAGAGGCTTGGTCGAACTCGCGGACAGTACAGAAGAACAATGAGACAGCCAACCAAGAGATTCGTTTAACATCGACGTCGTCGTCGTTCTCATCGAATCAGTTCAAATGGAAACAACGTGATTCTCGGAACGACGTCGTTGCGAGGACCGCAGAAGGTAATAAGATGATCAAGAGTACTCAGCAAAACCCTGCGCCCCCTGAGAACGCACAAAACAAGCAATCGACAGTGAAACCTCCGACGTTGGAGTTCCAAGCATTGTGGAACGAGTTGCACAAGTTGCAACTGAATAAAACGGTATGTACATGTTCAGTGGTTTTACCTATACTTTAAAGACATTGCAGCAAGGTTATATACAAGCTTATATATATAAGCCCGAACCCGCACGCGCGAGAACAGACGAAAGCAGCGCTGCATACTTTATTGGTTACGAAGAGAACTTACAAAATAAAATGATTATTGAGATTTCTCTAGGGGAAAAGTTCTTCATGATATTTTCAGTATGTTATTTTATATCCAAAGAATACGTTTGAATTTTCTCATTGAAAATATCCCGAATCAACATAATTAATTTTTAGTTAAACAAAAACTTTGGATTTTTTTTAAATCTTTTGTACTAACATTGCCAACTAGAGTACGAAACTAACAAATTGATGGGACTCCGACTGACATTTAACGATTTTGATCAAATTATGTTTTGAGTCCCCATAAATGCACTACTACTACTACTATTACTACTACTACAATTACTACTACTACTACTACTACTACTACTACTACTACTACTACTACTACTACTACTACTACTACTACTACTACTACTACTACTACTACTACTACTACTACTACTACTACTACTACTACTACTACTACTACTACTACTACTACTACTACTACTACTACTACTACTACTACTACTACTACTACTACTACTACTACTACTACTACTACTACTACTACTACTACTACTACTACTACTACTACTACTACTACTACTACTACTACTACTACTACTACTACTACTACTACTACTACTACTACTACTACTACTACTACTACTACTACTACTACTACTACTACTACTACTACTACTACTACTACTACTACTACTACTACTACTACTACTACTACTACTACTACTACTACTACTACTACTACTACTACTACTACTACTACTACTACTACTACTACTACTACTACTACTACTACTACTACTACTACTACTACTACTACTACTACTACTACTACTACTACTACTACTACTACTACTACTACTACTACTACTACTACTACTACTACTACTACTACTACTACTACTACTACTACTACTACTACTACTACTACTACTACTACTACTACTACTACTACTACTACTACTACTACTACTACTACTACTACTACTACTACTACTACTACTACTACTACTACTACTACTACTACTACTACTACTACTACTACTACTACTACTACTACTACTACTACTACTACTACTACTACTACTACTATTACTACTACTACACTATTACGGAAAAATTAATTTTTGCCCCCACCACTTTCACGTAGCAACCAATCAAAGTGTAGAAGAAAATCCCCACCACTTCAAGATTGCGCAACTGCCATCTGTTAATTATTGGCGGAAATTTAAACTCGTGTAGATGTCCCTAGTAGTTCAAAAGCTTCCTGCACTTGCACTGCTCCTACTATCAATTTAGTCTGAACCATTTTCGGTGCATTTGCGTTTGATAAACGTTTCGAATCGTAAACATGTATAAAGTGGATACAAATCATTGATACTTAATACCGTTCAGGGTTTTAAAACACAGAATTTAATTCACTTTGTTTTAACAAGGAAAATTAAATTATATGAATGTAAGAATTACTTGAATAGTATACAAAGACTAAAGAACGGAAACTATAGCTGTATTTATAATAACAATTAACGCTGTTCGTAAGTTTTAGGCTAAAGCCTTGATCCTTCCACATCCATCAATTTTTGAAATCGTATATCATTTCGTTTGACATAATTGTATCTAGCAAAAGGTGTGCTTGTATTGTGAATACCTGTCGTATAATTGAGTCTTATAAATAACCTTGTACTTCTCCAATAGAAACCATCAGAGCCAGTAAAGACTGTGATACAAGAACCGATGGATTCAAAGATGAAGCAAATGAATAATAGCTTTTCTGAAAGTACTGTAAGTTTTCTATTGTGGTACCGTTAGTTTTGTTTATTGTTTGATGCAGAGTTTCTGATCGGTATATTTTAGCCTCAAGATCCCAGCGCCTTCCTGAAGGCTGTTTTGAAAATTTCTGATGAAAATACACAACAGACTACACAATCCACATCACCGAAGATTCTTTCCAATAACACCTCAGTTCCTCAAAAGGAAAATAAGATGTTGGATACATTGCCTTTGGTGCAGCAGTTGTTTGATGTAAATAATTTAAGATAAAATTTTACTGTTTACAAATTAGAACTTAATTTTCATAGAAATCCAATTTATCACAGCATGCGCGACAAAGCAAAAATGTAAAGGACGAGAAAACACCGATTTGGTACTGCACACAATTATTGCATTATTATCAACTCACTGGGACTGGAATGCCTATTTACAGCTACTTTACCGATGGTGAAACTAATCTAATTCGAGCACGCATTGTTCTCCCAGATAAGAGAGCTTTTGTCAGTGATCCATGTGGAACCCATGAGCAAGCTGCAGGAAGCGCAGCAAGGAAAGTGTACACGGTAATATATAGTTGCGTTGTTCGCAGTGTCGCGTTATTTCTTCTCTATTTTAAAGATTTGTGATTTTTATTTCAGGAACTAAATTTGTCTAACGCAATGCCAAATATGAAGATTGTGCCGCCACTGCATTGGTACGCTACTCGACAAAACAACTCTTGGTCCCCGAACGTAAGACCACCAGGACCGCCATTTTTCCCGCCGAAAGCTCAACCTCCTCAACACCTTCCTCAGTGGACCTCGAAGGCGCAGCATAGTACTAATTATCACCAACCGTACACACAAAATAATCAGTACATGCATCACGCTCAACCAAAATTAGCTCAAAACGAACCGAAGTCTGAGATAAAGAACAATACATCTTTTGTTCCACTGCAAGCGCAAAAGAACAGCAGAAACATCGTGGCCAAACAGGCCGGTGCCGCTAAGGAGACGAATCAAAGTGCCAAAGACAATCTGCAACCACTAGTTCAGCAAAAGAAGAAAGAATTACCTGCCAAGGTAACACGAGAAGGCTTCCTCAGAAATTAATTCAGTGTGGATTAACTACTCCAGATGTTATTCTAAAACAACTGTATTTCTTTCAGAAAGCAGCACTTATCACGGCAGTTACAGAAAAACAGAAATCAACGCAAAGCTGCTCCAATCAACAAGTACAAAACACGCAAACTGCAGCGAAGCCTAAGAAATCGCGGATCGCTGCGAAATTTGGTATACCTTCGCAAACGGAGGAATCGAATCGCAGAAAAGATTCGGTTTAAACAGGCATTAGGGACGTAACGATGGACGAGTATGTCGTAAACTGTTAATACATATATAAATATATATATATATATAAATATAAATATAAATATATATATATATATATATATATATATCTGTCTCTTATACACATATAATATATATATATATATATAGATGTGTATAAGAGACAGTATATATATATATATATAAATATATATATATATATATAGATGTGTATAAGAGACAGTATATATATATATATATAAATATATATATATATATATAGATGTGTATAAGAGACAGTATATATATATATATATAAATATATATATATATATATAGATGTGTATAAGAGACAGTATATATATATATATATAAATATATATATATATATATAGATGTGTATAAGAGACAGTATATATATATATATATAAATATATATATATATATATAGATGTGTATAAGAGACAGTATATATATATATATATAAATATATATATATATATATAGATGTGTATAAGAGACAGTATATATATATATATATAAATATATATATATATATATAGATGTGTATAAGAGACAGTATATATATATATATATAAATATATATATATATATATAGATGTGTATAAGAGACAGTATATATATATATATATAAATATATATATATATATATAGATGTGTATAAGAGACAGTATATATATATATATATAAATATATATATATATATATAGATGTGTATAAGAGACAGTATATATATATATATATAAATATATATATATATATATAGATGTGTATAAGAGACAGTATATATATATATATATAAATATATATATATATATATATATATATATATATATATATGCATATATTTTGTAATAAAATATTCCAAATACGATATTGGTACACGTGTGTGTAAGCGCGTAATCGACATGCGAAAAAATAATGTTAAATTTCGACGAAGCTGAAGTCCTATGTATATAATACTCAGTTTGTAAGTAGCAATACTTTGGATTTCTTTTTTAAAAGCTCGTTCTATTGTATAAAAACACGACGTCGTAAGATACCTTCGTTGTAAAGACGGTTGGACTCTGCTATATCTTATGAGACAATCGGGATGAATTGATTTTTATACGTACGATTTGGAGTTGTGCGTGCGAAAACAGTATTGATCACTATTCAAACGTAATGAAACTTGATATTGTACGTGAGTGTGCTGGTTGAGAGTAAAAGTGAAATGTGATTGTTTAAGTTAGTTAAAAAAAAGAAAAAGGAATTATGTGAGCGTAATCGACGACTGTACATGATGATTGTTCCTTTTACATACAATTCGTACTTGAATGTATGTTGACTTTTTGACTATTTTTATTCAGGATTGAACGATTTTTTGTTTTCATTTACAAAAAAATGATGATTTTATGTTAGAATCATCATTAAAAAGAATAAAAATATGATGTATAAAAACAGAAAAGAAGAACACATACACATTGTTTGTAAATTTTTTTAGACGCACTAATCAATGAAGATGAATAAAGAACGATGCATTACTTAACGTACTTCATCTTGTTTCTATTTCATTATTCTCACACCATCATCAGTCATTATTCAAAATCATTCGTTACATAAAAAGATAAATGTTACCCTGATTAAATCTATTCGCGGCGAAACATATTTTATACATTTTTGCAGCATTTTATTATGCAGTATAACTTCATGATCGATGAGCGTTCTGATCGATGCAACTCGTATTATTTTTCATTACCAAATTCTGCAGACTGAACTCCTTCAATATATCACCCATCTGTTGTTTCTTTTTCTCTTTGACAACCTGACATATGAACATCTTCTTTTGTACTTCAGGGACCAAAAACTGTCCTGAGAGTTTTTCAATGGCGTTCCGAAGCCAATGACCCGTCCACTTTATATACTTCTTGTTCAACGATACCAAGACTTCAGCGTGTGGTTCCAGACTATTCCGTGGTACTCTTCCACCTATTAAGTAATTAATATTCGTTGCTAGTTGTACCTAATAGATTTTTTAATTTTCTTGGTAAACTACTCACCCACGCACTCCATGATCACAAAAACAAGTTCTTGTCCAACTGGTTCGATAAAACTGTCCAATTGCGGACTTTGCATAATGGCCTGGCTCAAGAAGCATCCAGCTGCCTTGACTGTCTCACTTTCTGGTAACGTTAGACAGTCCATTCCTGAAAGATATATTATCCATAATTCTCTTGTGGGGACTCGAGCTCGAGAAATAAAGACTTACCGCACTGTAACATTTCAGGTATTTGATCCGGGACTTGCAGCAACATCTTCGGATTCTTTTTACAGATTTGTGCCAGTAATCGGAGGTACGATTCCATCAATTCCGCCCAATCAGACAGATTACCGGGCACAGATCGACATGTTCTTACTCCACTCAAGGTTACAGAGCTTAGTTCTGCAAAAACTCGACCTATGGCGTTCTCAGGATCTCGTCCGAGCAACAGTACCAGATGCCGGAGTAGATTCAACGCAGCAGGATGAGGCCAATTCTTGTAGGACGTTGCCAGGATCGGGAGAAGCGGTTGCGTGTCTACTTCAGGATGCAACAACGATAACAGAGACTTCTGCGCGCAAACGTACATTTCCTCCAGCGTGGCATTATCTTGGCTCCACTCCGGATGGCCGATTATCTGATTGAAAATCGGCAGAAGCCCGTCCAAGACGGACTTCCCGATGGAGCCTTCCAGCGCGGAGAAGAACATCGTGGCCATCTTGAGCTGATTAGTCACCGCGACGCGGGCTACAAACAACGGTTGCTCCAATAACTCTCTGATCTTTATTATGCATAGACCTAACGTGGCATCCAGGTGGGCTAACTTTTCCTCGACCGTCGACAAAGTGTTTAACAGTTTGCCCGCAGCAGACATCAGTCGCAAACCCTCCGCGCATCCGGGTGTCACGGTTGGCAGCGTTTGCTCGATGATGTTCAGGATAGACGGTGCGAAAGGAGTGAGGTGTTGCCCGCACTCTCTCACCAGGTCCTTCAGAGCCATGCTGGCGAGTGGGGCGGTTATCGAGCCCCTGGTTAAGCCCAACGTTATGACTTGCAACACTCTCTCGAGCCAAGGATCCGGATGCATTTCGATCCACTCGGCATACCTACCCACTGTCGAACAAACACAGGCCAGTACCTAGAAACGTTGAACAGAATGTAATTGTTGCGGATTAGGCACCCTTTGTCTTTTGGTATGCAAAAAAGAATCGGTTGTACCTCTCCGGGATAGAGATCGTATGGAATATGAGTTAGAACTAAATCCATCAGAGCAGGAATGTAATGCGATTCTTGTATTCCGACACTGTCCGCTAGCGCTTCGAAAGCGTGCAATGTTGTTTCGACCTCCGTCCATCGTTCCGTCCCGTCCAATGTTTGACTTAATCTTTGTCCCAGAAGTATCAGTAGATCTTGTCCTAGTACCCTGTAACAGTAGTCCAAGGTATCCGCAACATCTTGCCTGTAGCACCTGAAAAGCTCTCGTTCATTTTCATCCCCGGCTTCACTAGGGGACGAAGGGAGCGTGGATTTCCGCAGCAATGCTTGCGCCAGTCTCGCGTAGACGGGTTTCAGAACCACCAAAGCACGGTTCTCGTACGGCTGATCAAGGGTTTCTATATCGTCTTGCAACGAGAACCAAAATCCAAATGGGATGCAACTGCGGGTCTCGTCGGTGGGATAACGTCCCTCTTGCTCAGAACATTGTAGCAGCAACTCGATCAACCCCTCTGAAGTCGATTTCTGCATCTCGTTTCCTTTTTCCACTAGAGCACGTAAAAAATATCTGCTATGCGCCTCTCCCATAGCAGTTAGAATCTCGCAGAAATACTTTCCGTTGTATTGTCTTGCCATAGTTACTAAGCTGTGCGCCCAGCCCCACAACGTCTGCGGTCTGCTTCTGAGCTCGCAATGATTTACAATCATATTTAAGCATTCGTGAACTACCTCCCAACCTTTGCTGTTTTCATCCTCTGCGTTGTCCCTTTAGTAGAAAACAAGTTATGTTATTTCGAATCTCGAGAAGTTTCAAACATAGATATGTTATATGGACAGGTATACCTGCTTGGCGCATAATAAGCGGCAGCGATTAACAAATGATGATATATTTGCTCCGTTGCTTCCAAGGGCAGTTCACTAACTTTCAGCCAGAATAATGCACATTCCATTGCTAGCAGGTGTAACGCGATATCGCTGCCAGGCGAATTCGGATTGCACATAGCAAATACTTGCTGCAGGAACCATGTCGTTTTGTACCAACCATTGACTAAATTTTCGCGTAATTTGATTCGCTTCGCTTCATACCTCCTTTCAAACTGATGAAATTTATTGCAATTGTTAATATAATAACACGTGACATCATACAAATGTAAGAAGTGTACTTTACCTCTACGGGTAACAGAGAAAGTGTACGCAATAACAATTCCAACATAGGTAGTGAATCAGAGGGCAACATGTCCATGAGCTCGACCACAACATTCTTATTCTCCTCGTCGCTTTCCATAGCACTAATGTTTGCTAGGAATGCAGCTAACTGAAACCAAGAAAGTGCATCGTTATATTATTGGTCGAATGTATGTATGGTTTTGTAATTGATTTCACAGAAAAAAATACAAAACTTTACCGCTTGACAGAGTTTTGATAGAATGAACTTTGGTATATTAGGTTGTTTTATACAATTGAGCAAACGATCTCGTAGGGCAGGGTACTCATTCTTAGGCACTTCGTCCCAATGTTTAGAAATCTTGGCATGCAGTGTGGTGGCTGCAAAGAATTGTACTTCCCATGACTGAAAAGTAAAGAAACATTGTTAATCTTGGTAAGCTTTAATATAGAAAGAAAACATACCTTAGAAGGTGCAAGGAGCTCCCAGACGAAGGTCCAAGCTTCTGGGGAAGTTTGTACCTGTAGGAGCCACAAATGTACTTCATTGTTTCCATCGGCATAGAACTGTTTCACAGCCTGATCAACGACAGCTGTATAATCCATTCTCAGCAAAACCTTCTGTGACTAAATGTTTTAATATATTATTTATCGGTGTGAATTTAGGAGGCTCTCATTGTCAGCAAGAGACCACCTCTGCCAGTACTTTGTACTTAGTTCGTTTCGTTGATAGTATCATCGAGAACTTCCTTATCAACTTCTTCGAAAATCATTTGAACCGTACGCGGCCCTTCAAACCGTTCACACGAATCTTCTTGAATGCCCTATGTTTACACGGTCCTTTTCAGCCGCCTTGGAGACCTTACGAGTTGCGCAAATGACACTTTCTGGCCGCGCTCGTCATCTGTGCAAATTTGATTTTTATCGTAACATTTGAAATTAGTTCTCACAAGAACAACCGTACAGCAGTTCAGAAATTTTAATGGGAAACAATACTACGATATTAAACAATCCCGACACTAGAAAAACACGGGTGTATTTGGTTACGTTTTAACCTGACTTGTATTTGGTTGATTGAGTATTCGCATGACTGAATAAATCTATGCGAACAGGGACTTAACAAAGTAACCTCGACCAAAATGTAACAGCTGATCAGATACATATGTGCTCAAAGATACATGTAAACATATACATTTGTACATACATACATACATGAAAAAGATTGTTACTTTCGAAAGCGTAAGTAGCGCAAATAAAGGATGTTTCCTGTTATCTACCCGCCACTATTTTGGTATTTTGTACCTAACCTGACACTGCCTGACACCCAGACCTAACCTTTTCTGTTATCGGCCCGCCACTATTTGCTAGCTGATTGGATCCATGTATGCATGTATGTATGTATATATGTATTTTTTTATACGATAATGGCGACGTTTGTGGTATAATCAAGAAGCCTTTTCGGCCTCTGTACAGCGCCAATTAGTCAATGACAAAACGCTCAAACTGTTAGTCAAAATCGACTGTCGCTAATTTTGTCTACCAATTTCAGGATTTTACCGCTATGCTAATTGGCGCTGTAAGGACTCTAAACAAAGCTTCGATATATTGTCACTAGATGCGCTACTGTTTAGCTATCAGTTTCAATTTCAACGTTACTACATTTCCTTATGGACTCCGGAAGAAATTAGTCGTCGGCTACGTGCGGTCATAGTGTGTGACTAAGGGCGGTGAACATAAGGGTCTTCCCACGTCACTGATATATAATAAATACGTATTTGTTGTATATAATATATTCATTACCAATTAATATAATTGTTCAAATTCTGATAATTGATGAATAGATAATATATAAATAATATACTCTTTCATTCATGTAAAACTGCTTTAAAGGCAGTTATTAATCAAAATATAATAAAAATGAAGCATACTTTGAACAGAAATAGAAAACTGATCCAATGTTTCAGGGATGGGATTCCTGAGAACCTTTCTAGAGCTACAAATTGCTTACTTTCTAGATTCCTGAACATCTATACAAGAAATAACAATATATACAGAAATACAATATAGCGTTTGTGATAAATAAATTTGTTCATTTCAAGTATACATTTTTTTTCGAACTAGGATTTACGTTACATTCATGTTTTCATTGAGCTAAAATATGCAGACACATGAACAACACAGTTGGAAGCTTAATTACAAGTCAAGCTTGTATAATATACCATTAAAAACCATTAAATTGTAACATCATGTTACTTGAAAATTTAGCCATACAGCTGGTTGATGTATCCAGTAAATGAACACGTTAACGGTTCTCAGGGTTTACACAAACAAGTATGTGCCTATGTCATACATACTACTTTTGTTGGAAGAAATATTTACCGTAATAGACTACAGTGTTATTCATAGCATCGCATTTTAACGACTCCAATCATTTCTTCGAGACGCGCGACGATTCGGGGAAAATACGGTTTAGTGCGAAAAATCTATAACACTGAATGAATCTATTAACAATCTGTCTATCTTCTGAAATACCTAGTGGTTTTTTCAATACATTAATATGCAAAATACTTCTATCAGCTGCTTGTATCTTATTTTTTTCTCGTAATTTTCAACCGACGATGTCTTTTTATTGAACAATTCAATGTAATCATAAAGATTACTTTTAAGATTATACTAATCTATGGGCAGTATTGAAAGTACTTTGGGTATAATTTTGTTGTAATCTTTGTGCAAAAACTTGACATGTTAACATTTAATAGAGCACTATACAGTTTATGTCAAAAGTTCCCGGTAATTGGTTCCGAGCAATTATTGTTATTGAATTCACTATTATCTGTCGTATGCCTCACATACATTTTTTCAATGATAGTAACTCCACTAATCTTTATGCTCGTTTTAAGTATAGTAAAATAATTATTATGCAAAAAGAACGATTCTGGGAACAGTAAACTTATCGTACAAGATACAAATGATATATGAACACTCAATTTCTTTGATACGTTATTTTCAATATTTTAATCTATGAAAGATTTTAGAAAAGAACCTCAGTAATGAAGAATGGTAAAAGCAATTATTGCGTGTCGCGATGATGTTCACTTTGCTTTTTTGTGATGCCGCATACGTCATGTGGTGTTCACTTTGTGTGCTAGAAATGAAAGCAATCATAATTAATATTAGAGTACAATTTCACAGCTTCGAATGTAATACAGAAATTCTTACATTTTATAGGTATTTTGAGTGGTGCATTGTCTTTGATAATGCATTCATGGGTTATAGTGTGAAATAGGTATTGTACTAATAATTGCTTTTCCTCTCCGACGCATGGATCATAAAAACCAGGCAGTTGACTCTGTTGAATATCATTGAGTTAAGCAACCAACGCAACCTATGTTTAAATGAACAAATCTGATCTGTACCTTCGATGCGTTGTGTAGGACTAACGTTGAATCCTTCACTAAACACTGCAACGGGATTGTTACGTCTATAACCTCATCTCTATGCAGGTGTTCTTCCGACGAGGATCTATTTTGTTGGGGATATACGAATCGCCCGTACAATGCCTTTGTAATAATAAGTCCTCTCTTCGCTTCCTCTTCTGCCCTTATTCTGCTGACAGTGGCCTTCATCAATTCGGTAGCGATCTTTGCTTCTTTCTGCTTTTCCACCATCCTTGATTTATTCATCTCCCTCTGTTTCTCTTTTTCGCGTTCTTCTCGCTCCTTCACCACCGGGTCAATGACGATTTTTTTCACAACAATCCAAGTCACTATGGGGACCACGGTGGCATAAAATATGGGAGCAGGAAGAATCTCGTCGCTTAAGTGCATAGAAAACGTGTACGACTGAGAAGCTCTGCTCAACTTCACTCTCAAAGTGACGCCTGTTGGTACACCGACCCGCACTGCAGCCGAGAGACTACTATGTCGTGAAACTTTCTTCTCTGCCCCGTACTCCAGTAGCATTCCAAAAGTACCAGCCCTGCGAATCGGGAAATATTAACGTTAAGCGGTTAATTGTTAATAAACGAATACAAAACTACCAGGGGCTACTAACTTAATACTTCCACGTAGTTTTAGTTGTTTCTCTTCCAGTTTATATGTATAATTTAGACTCACAAAGGTCTGTAGAATACCTAAGTGAATTGAAAATGCAGTATAAGTTCTGGATGTGTCCCTTACAATCATTGTACTCATATCGTTTTGTATTCCTGCTCTATACGTGAGATAGCCTACTGTGTGCTTGTCCAGTTGCATTGCAAGCGCTGTAACAATATTATTATAATATGCCTGATCTCACAGTGCTTTTCTATTCTCTCGCATTTTACCAAGAAAACATACTTCCTACAAGGCCGGGTCTAATTCCTCGTGCCGTAAATTGCAATATGGTTGCACCATCGCAGAATAGTCTTCTTGTTAATGTACGAAAGCCTTTTAAAGACAATGTGGGTCCATTCCCAACACCCACGTCCAATTCTACCCACCCTTTCGACGATACCAATCGTCTAGTAGAGACGTTTATAGAACCAGTACCTGTTCCATTTTGTGTACCTAATTCACCGTACATGGTTACCGTGTCTCTTAATGTAAGAGGTGCTTCAATGGATTGTGTAAATGACATTCCACTGACTTCTAGGCACGAAAGTATTCCCTTGCTAGATTTGAAAAAACAATTTGTAGTGAAACAAACCCATCCAGTGTTCGATAAGATTGTATATTACCTATCTTCATAGTCTTCGTCATATTTGTTAAAAAGATCCGTAGCATTGATGTTTACTGTGATGCTACCTTTAGGATTTGTGTGTTGTTGAAGTCTTCTTTCTTCTCTGTCTCTTGCTAAACGTTCGTATTCCTCTCTGATCTCTTCAGGGGTTTTAGTACGCTGTACAATCTCCCATCCTTCCGTTTCCAGCCCTCGGACACCCACAGAATCATAGATGGCTCTTTGATGCGGATCCCTTAAAACTTACATAAAAAAACATTTTATTTGAAAATAATTAAATATTAAAATAACCATGCTATATCACAAACAAACCTTCGTAAGCTTTTTTCATTCGATTAAATAAAACCTCTGCCTCTTTCTTAAGCATAGGATCTGTATGCTTGTCTGGGTGAAAGAGTTTACTTTGTCTACGATATGCATTGTTAATTTCTTCGATGGTTGCCTGAAAACAATGATATACATTAACTCGAATAACTATGAACTTCAATGTAAAATTTTCGAACAAAAATGGTTAAAAAGTGAACAAGGCAAGCTTACATATTAGAAAGTCTGTAAAGAAGCAGATTGAACATCAGAGTTGGCAAACTTATAAGCTATGTTTTGTTGTTATTAGAAACAATTTTAAGTAAAAAGGTTTTCACAAAATATGTTGAAACGAACAAGAGGAGGTTCGTTCGACACTCGATAATTTAAAAAATGATTATAAAGGGCTTGATTACATCAGCCTCTAGGTCGCAACAGTCACGTGGAGGGCTGTGAATTGATCGCTATCCTTGGCCAGAGAGAAATAAGAAATATCTGTAGAAAATGAATTTGGCAGGCTGACTCACAATTTTGGGAATATTTAAGAGCGTGTAGTAGTCGTCCTCAATTGGGTTCTCCTGATCATTATCGTCATCCATGTTAGTTGTAGAAATTTGTGGTCAGCGATTCGATCTTTTAACACAAGAACCAATATTTTCCTTGACTTGGTCTTCTGCTTCCATAGGTTACGAAAGACTCGGTCGAGAACCGGCATCCTTTAGTATCGCTGGTAATTGTTAGATAGCGCACTATTACACAAATCTTTTGCCACGACGTTGGTTATCGACAGTCGTTATCGTCTGCATTATCGGCGTTCACACTTTTTCAATTTCATTTAGCGCCATAAGATTCTCGACGACACTTTTTCATTTAACGCTGTAACACTTATATTGGCAATAAGTACATTTCACATTAAATTCGTTGAAAACTGTTATACGACAATACGTCACAGTTTATGTTAATTTGTTTACTATACTATCCAAATGAATATGCCAGAATTTATTTCTACGATGACTTTATGGGTTCATTTTACATTGCAGTACTTACATCGATTATTAAGAATGTAAATTAGTATCCGGATATTGAACAATTATTAAATATAGTTGCCAACGTATTTTCTGGCTGCATTGCGCAATCAATTAAACAGAAAATAAACACGAAAAGGCATTTTTGAATTAACGAGAGCACGAAAACAATGAACTCACAGGAATATGCGCAAAAACGTTGCGTAGAAACCTGCGTAGAAGAAATTGCGCACAAATCTGCGTCGAAAAATTGCGCGTAAATCTGCGCAATGAAGTTACGCAAGTTTAAAAATACGAATTAAAATCGTCAAATAACAGTTATGAAACATTGTCGATCATCTATAACTCATAATCATCGCTAATTTATAAAGGTTTTGCTTCGGTAGATAAACGAATGTACTTATTGTAACGTAATTGTAATTTGTTGAGACGATAAAAGACACTGTTCGTCTTGCAACAGGGAATCAATTGGTGTGGCGGCAATATTTTTTAGCAATCCGGACTTATTCTCCTCTTTCATTAGTCAAGTTAAAGGCAGAAGTATGACACATACCCTGCGTTGCCTTGTCAGGGAACGTGACCGTGTGTTAGCCGACTCTGTCTCGGTTGACCGCGACAAACCAACTGCTATAAAATGGTAATAAAACCCGGGGACCTTTAGCCGAGGTGTACCTCGAAAGAAAGAGCACCTCAGTGCCCCGGAGGCCCGTTTTGCTTTGACATTCCCTAATCATAACAAGAGCTCCCCTATTTCTCCTTCTCTTTCTCGGAGCTCGTTTGCCGAGTCGTAGCTCTTTTTTTTCTATTTTATAGGCCTTTGAAGTATTTTGTTTCCGCGCACGGATCACCCTTTAGGACCATATTGATTTATCGTATTTATGCGACCTGTGTATGCGATCTGGACCGAATCAGGACGGAAAATTTCGAACGCGTCCGTTTTGAAAATTTTCATTCGAAACTGAATAATCCACGCTGAACGATCGAATGTGCGTACATAAGTATAATACATCTGTTATCACGCAAGCGATAATAATCAAAGAAATAAAGCGTACGATATTTTAGTAGCGAACGAGCCTCGCATGCGACCGCTAATGGCAACGATAATGTTAACAGGCGAAGAAACAATCGACTGGATCGGCCTGCCGTATTGTTAAACACGCTCATTGTGTGCTGGCCTAACAATACACTGTTACAGTGACAACATCCAGGGCCTCGAGTCTGCTTGGTATCCATCAACAATCCGTTATCACCCGTTGAAAAATATCCGGCCGCGTGGCAAATTTCAAACGGCAATTTAATCATTTAATCATCTTATTACCGGACAATCATCCGTTCGAGTCCAGCCTGCGAACAATAATATTTGAAATATGTATAAGTACATTCATTGTTCATAAAAATTGTAACCGTTATCCGTGGGGATAAAGAACCCGAGGCTTCGATACGCCCGATATCAGTATCCTGCCTAAATCACGTAGTCTCGTGTTACATAATCGGCTACACGTATCGCGGACCATTTCTCTGAATCGCTCCTATATCGTGTAGGAAATATTTGTTCACGATCAATGGCTCGAATATCGGGCCCTGTTTATACATATGTCTCGATCTCGGTTCCGATTACGATTCTTATGCTGAACAATTTTCTCGTTAGCCTCACGTTTTTTCTACGTCCTATAGTATTTGTTCGAGCTCTACCATCTTTTCCTAGTTTCGCTATTTCTTTCCGGTCCTACCATCTTTCCTACCAACTTTCTTCACAAATTCTTCGTACATCGTACAATTTTCTCTCAGGCCTCGCAATTATTTTCTTGAACCTGAAACTACCGATGGATCAAAAGCATCTCGCAGACGAATTTTCTTAGCGCTTTATTCCAAAAGGCGAATAACCAGAGCACAGCTATCGTCCTGCAATTGAATACACAGTTATTTCTTACGGAACAATTCATTGGCAATCAATTTTACAGATATCGTACAAGGTTTGACATGGCTAAGTGAAGGACATCCAGCGCCCAGGACAACAACTTGTAAGCGTCGCGGTCGGCCGCAAGTCACGAGTGTTGCGACGCCAGGCAAGGATACGGGAAAGGAAGCGCCGACTGGGCCGGAGCATAGTGGTGCAAGTTGATGCATCAAGTCGGTTCTTCGTCCAATGAACGAGCTTAATGTCCCGCAGACTCCGCCCAAAGCATGGCGACTGCTTTTCCTTCCCCTCTGCTCCACCATGTGTGGAACACGTCTCTCCCGCTACTGTTCTCTACGCGCCTGACACACATACACTCGACGGATCAATTAGCCGAATACGTTCTCCTCTCGTGAATTCTAAAAAAACAAACTCCGCTTTCATATAGATAGAAACAAAACAGCTCGAAATTCCAGAGCTTGCAGAGCTTCCGCTCACGCTGTTTCATGAATTCGGCAGAAATGTGTCAGAATATGGTTCGGGTTTGGAAGAAGATGAAACTGTTCGGCGTTTGCTGCATGTAGAATGTTAAGCGAATAATCCGCTTGGAGTTGTTAAATGCTTCATTACGGTCCCGACAGCTGCAGCATGGTCTGTCCCGCTGTATTGATCCCGATGGACACGTGCGCGTCGATTAAAAATCGCGGTTGCGCGTTACAGAGGCAACGCAGGGGACTCGGTCCGACCTGTGTACAGACAAGGTGCAATTCAGGGCACCCGATGGCGAAACGAGGCTCATCCGAATTCGCCGAAGTTGCTCGCCGTTTCGCTTCGACCGGTGACCTTAATTCCCGCTCGGTTATTCCAGCTAATGATTATCGCGCAGAATAATCGTTGCCTAATGATTTCTCAATGGTCACCTGAGCCCGCTTACATAATCCCGACGCTTACGGCAGTCATTTTATGCTGGCACGACGCGCGACGATCGACTGACCCACAAAACAAGCTCTCGCAGTCCCAGATTTTTCTGCTCTGTCCTGGCCATGTCCTGCAAAATTCGGAGTCTGTAGAAATCTACGGAATACTTGACTCTAACATTCTACTGTTCATGTTGAAATCTACAGACCTATGTTCGCATCAATTCCGATCACCTTGAATTCTAGTATCCTAGGTTCTCATCGCCTATTGTAAGGCTTCCCTGATGAACCAAAAGTGTTTCGATCATGATCCCTAAATCCTAGTAAAGGGTTGTAAGTTCCCGATGAGTCAGAAATGTTCTGACTTTTCAGAAGCCAAGACTCTTGGTCCAGGCTTCTAAATCTGCTTGGATCGGATCTGGCAAGAGCAGGTCCACGCTGGTCGCTGGCTCGGGGACATGATCGAGAGGATTCGGTCGGGCAGCTTTCGGTCGAGAGGTAGAAGAGGCGGAGAGCCAGTGGAGAGCGCGAACCAGAAGAGTAGGAGGGCGTCGATAAGTTGGCCGGCTCTCTCGAGCAGCGTAACTCCGCCTCCGCGCGCCTCCACCCGTTTCGAATCCGCTCGCTAGCTGACTCGGAACAGTCTCAATCAGTCTCAATCTTGGCTGGCTTTCCTCTGCCGACGCGTGTACCCGAAGTCACTGCTCGTTCTTCGCGAAAACCGAATCGATCACCGATCACCGATGTCCTAGAGTCAAAGATAAAGCCGTTACTGTGATATACAGACCCCCGAGTGATTCTGATACCCTCTCTCTACGTTCTTTCGTGACTCGAGTTCCAAGTTGCTGAGAGCCTCTGTTGATTCGAGTGGAGGAATCGAAGAGATCGGTGGATCTTGAAGAGCGACGGTTTTCTTATGTTCTGCGAGGAAAGTGCTGTTTTACGATTCATCCTGCTGGGACCGAGGGAAGATCCTCCTAGGAACCAACTTTAAACAGGTATGTTCTTCGGAGCTTTCAGACTTGGAAGGTCTCTTCTTTGTCTGTAGAAACAAAGTCGAGTAATTAGTATTCTCTCACCAAAGTAACAGCAATTGAATGTGCTTTCTATGGAAAGAGAGAGAGAAAGAGAGAGCTACCGTGGGTTTGCGATTCTTGATATCCAACATTGTGGTCCAATAAGGGTAGCTGCTCGATGTTCTTTGCGAAAACTAGTTCGACGATTCCTCGGCCGAGAACAAAACAAGATTTTGTTAGTTCGATGTAATTGTACCGGTTCTGTCGGCAGTACGTCCCACAGTTTGCCATTAAACTTCCCCATACGAATTTTCCATAAAGGAATTCATCATTGAAAGAATAGTTGTCACAGTTGGAAAATAAGATAGTTATTTTATCGAATGTAATATTGTATGTAATATTGTATGTAATCTACGCCCGCTCATGAATGAAGATGGTTTACTATGGTTTACTATGCCTGAACGAAACAAAAATAAAAAAAGAGAGGCACGCAGTGATTTTGTGTATTTATTTAAATATCTAGAAGACTGGGTCGCTGGCGAGTTTGTAAACTTCGTTCGACGATTCTATGAACCCGAGACACGGTGTTTAGTAAACAACGAGATAAATGGCTCTTCCTCCTACCACGAACAAGATAACGAGTTTTCTTAATTACGTCAAAAGAACGGCCGGGTTGCCGATTTCAGTGGCAGCGATTAATTAATTACAACTGTGCCGTTGCTAATAGATCATTGGAATCGCTAATTATATCGAATTCCAATCTAAACTCAGATTCGTTTCCTGATCTACTTTATTCTAACTACACTCTAGATCAGAGTTCCTCGGTCCGTGGGCCCGTTCAATTTTTGTAACAAAACTTTTTGTAATTAAATAAAATAGTTGTCTATATATATATATATATATATATATATATATATATATATACTCTACAGTTGAGTTTGTGCAGTGGCTCTAGATATTACCGAGTCTTTAAAACTTACAAATTATAAACATTTGAACCGTATAAAGCACAGAGGAAGGATCGAAGAATGCTGCTCTAGAATTTAGAGTCTAGATCGAGTTGGCTCTTGAGAGCGGAGAATCGTAGTCAACTTAAATAATTTCTCGTTAATAGGCTAGGCCCCCGATCACCTAACATTAGCAGCGGCTAATGTGCAGCAGGCCCAAAAATAGCTGTGTTTGAAGAGCCGCTTACGCGTGCTCACCCTCGCAATTGTTGAAATTTACGAGAGATATTCTCTGGAGGATTCTCTGTCGGCGGCCGCCGGAAGTCTGAACGGCTCCGCCGGGATCGGGTCCCTTTTTCCTCGTTCTTTCGAACAGCTAAAGCGTTCAGCTGTTGCTCGCTCGTCATCGATCTCTCCCGTTGGCTGCTGCCGATGTCAAACTTCTTGTCCCGGTGAATCTTTTTCTTTCGAGATCGGTTCGTCAACATTCAGAATCGAGTTGCTTCCTAAAAGATCCATCCACGTTTGTCTTCGGTTTTCTAACCAGTTCAGAAAAGCAAACGTGTAAAGTCATTGCGCCACTAGATTTCAAAACTTGTCTGCCAACTTAGACCTTGATCAGATTGTACATAGATGAACCAGAGTATCTCTTAATCCAGGCATTTGATACAGTTTTTCTGGCAACTCGGGATCCTACGAGCAAATTCACAAAATCATTAAACGATCTCGATGAACTTATTTGATAGCTTAGTGAAATAAGAATTTTTGCTTAGATTTTAATACTACTCGCTTTTCTGTTATAGATCATCCTGAGTGATAGTCGAACAAAAAGCCAGCTTTCTCGTTCCCCATTGTTCCGTGCGACGACATTCATTCCTGAAGATGTAAGACCAATCGACGCAGGTGCGAGTTACCCGACGGCAGTGCCGAACAGTGAATCGGATCGATTCTAATCAATTAGTTATAGTAATCGCAAAGTGTGAGTGTTCTGTAAGCGACTGGACCATCGAACACGGGCCGAGAAAGCCAAGGGATCGATCAGTGTTGTGTAAATGCGACTTCGAGCGACGGTTTTATGAATCACGAAGACCTGGAGAAGACGGGGATGGCGTCGCACGTTATTCCAGTTGCGGGGGTGAGTTTGATTCCAAACCTGAGACATATTACGTATCGATTAGGTTCGCAACAGAGCTTTTCTGAATTTTCCCAGTTTTTCGTCTTCGGCTCTCTCGTTCGTCGGCTGATAAAACGTGACTCGCTTATCGTCGCGCGGAGCGGAGAAGAAAAAGAACCGAGAAAAAGCGTGGGTCGCGACCTCGAAAATTTCGCAATATAAATCCGATTCTGCGTCTTCTCCGTCACGGCCGATTCGATGTGTTCTCGTAGCGATTCTCTCTGTCTCCCGAGCGAATCGCCCGGCCGATCGATGCGTGTATCGGTGGTTTGTTCAGCTTATGAATGAATGAACGCGTCAAGAGAGTTTCAGTGTCGAAGGTGTTCGATTGCCCGCTAAAAAAATCGATAGGAACTCGCGTTGCGTTCATGCATTACCAGCCGAATCAGCGTCGCGACACAAGTGGCTAGACTACCTCTAGGTTCGCTATAAAAACATTCTAATCGCTGTAAATTGATTAAGCTCGCGCCAGCCGTGGAATGGATTCGCTGTACATAATCGCTATGGTCGCTGTAAAATCGTTTTGGCCGTTCTACATCAACCAAGCCGACTTTAACCGTAGAACTAATTCGCTATAAAATGACCCTTCTCGCCGAAGAATGAAAGTCCAGAACGAGTTTGCTATGAAATGGCTTTAGTTGATAAGACACGCGTCGTCGATCCACTCTGGCTCTTGCACGTCGGTGTGCAACGTCGAATACACTCCGAAAGACTCGGTCGACGTCTTCTTCTTCTTCTTCTTCTTCTTCTTCTTCTGCTTCTTGTTATTCTCGAGGAGAGTTCAAAGCTAGCGTTGAGATAGGATTGGGCTTAATTTAATGGCTGTCCTGTTGAATTAACGAGTCGGCCACGTGTTCCCGAAAGCTCCTGCGAGGACGTTTTTCTGTGTCAGCCTGTTGATGCAGTTCTACGGTCGTGCGAACGGTGGTCCAAGCTTGTTGTATTCTTTGCCGTGCACCGCTGCCTCTGGAATTCAGATTAAAGGTGAATTTCGGATCTCTGGCGGATGCCACGCTCTATCTTGGTTCAGTGACACGTGCCTTTATCTCCCCAGACACCTTTTCAGGGTACCCTGTTTTGTAAAAGAATTTTCTGAATAGTTCAATGCAGCATCAACAGCAATATACAGCACACAACCTTTTGATAATCCTCCTTTTTCGAGCTTCTGCAAGACAAATCATTTCATTAGACTCAGAATCACACAATTGCTATGGACAATGAAATTTTTACAAGTCCTGGAGGTGTTAGATGGCTGGTTCCTCAAGGTTTTTGAGATAATTCGAGTCTCAGAGATATTGCTCGATTCTGTCCCTTCGGAAAGGGAACGGAAGGGATTTCTTCGGTTGTCCGGNTAAAAAAATCGATAGGAACTCGCGTTGCGTTCATGCATTACCAGCCGAATCAGCGTCGCGACACAAGTGGCTAGACTACCTCTAGGTTCGCTATAAAAACATTCTAATCGCTGTAAATTGATTAAGCTCGCGCCAGCCGTGGAATGGATTCGCTGTACATAATCGCTATGGTCGCTGTAAAATCGTTTTGGCCGTTCTACATCAACCAAGCCGACTTTAACCGTAGAACTAATTCGCTATAAAATGACCCTTCTCGCCGAAGAATGAAAGTCCAGAACGAGTTTGCTATGAAATGGCTTTAGTTGATAAGACACGCGTCGTCGATCCACTCTGGCTCTTGCACGTCGGTGTGCAACGTCGAATACACTCCGAAAGACTCGGTCGACGTCTTCTTCTTCTTCTTCTTCTTCTTCTTCTTCTGCTTCTTGTTATTCTCGAGGAGAGTTCAAAGCTAGCGTTGAGATAGGATTGGGCTTAATTTAATGGCTGTCCTGTTGAATTAACGAGTCGGCCACGTGTTCCCGAAAGCTCCTGCGAGGACGTTTTTCTGTGTCAGCCTGTTGATGCAGTTCTACGGTCGTGCGAACGGTGGTCCAAGCTTGTTGTATTCTTTGCCGTGCACCGCTGCCTCTGGAATTCAGATTAAAGGTGAATTTCGGATCTCTGGCGGATGCCACGCTCTATCTTGGTTCAGTGACACGTGCCTTTATCTCCCCAGACACCTTTTCAGGGTACCCTGTTTTGTAAAAGAATTTTCTGAATAGTTCAATGCAGCATCAACAGCAATATACAGCACACAACCTTTTGATAATCCTCCTTTTTCGAGCTTCTGCAAGACAAATCATTTCATTAGACTCAGAATCACACAATTGCTATGGACAATGAAATTTTTACAAGTCCTGGAGGTGTTAGATGGCTGGTTCCTCAAGGTTTTTGAGATAATTCGAGTCTCAGAGATATTGCTCGATTCTGTCCCTTCGGAAAGGGAACGGAAGGGATTTCTTCGGTTGTCCGGTTGTTTCGGACAAAGTACACAAGCGTAAACTAGACGTCGTAAAGCCGGATCGCGAATTAACGATCTAGAGAGATCGTAAGTTTCGCCTGGCATAATACGATGTCACAACACCGGCCCGGTGTTTGTAAGCTTCCGGCGACGGCACTTCAAACATCGCGAGCTCCGAGCCAGAAGACTCTTTGGCTTGGTCCACCAACCACTTTGGATGGTTCTGCTGGTTCGTTCACCTTTGTTTATCAGCCTTCTTCTTCGGCAAGGTTAACGGATCTCGTCGACGGTCGATCCTACTGGAAACGCCGATTATAACCGGGTTTACAAAACGTTCGACTATAAATTTCGATAAAAAATTTCTTGAAGGAGAACCTTTGCCATGCGAAGCTAACGACGATGATTCTTCCAGGAGCCACAGCAGGGTAATGGGAGCCTGGGGATGGTGGGTCTGGGTAGCATTCAGGACTCTCTGCATTCACTGAAGATCAAACAGGAGCCGTTCCAGGTGTCTCCTTCGTCGCCTCTGCCGTCTCTTCATCAAGGTAAGACGCATGCATCTTCTACTTCCAAAGGAGACTCTGTAAAGCAGAGAGCAGCACCGTTCAATTCTGGCAGAAGATACGGAACTTAGAAAATTCGTTTGACGTCACGCGATCAGGATCTCACCACGGACCAATGATTCCTTGGTCTTTTCGTGATGGCTGAATACCCGCGTTCTAATAATACAAAACTGCTCTCTCGCGTGACAGGGTGGCGAGGGGAAACGCGGTCGAACAGATGAAAAGAGACTGAAACGCGCGCGAGGGGCGGCGGGGGCGTTCTCCGCTAGAGAAAAACGAAGCAGCAGAAGAGGGAAAGAAAGTGGCGTCCGACACGGGGGAGAAGAGGCAGAGAATGATATACCGCGGGAGGCTGCGTCCTGATCTTTCCACGCGTCGTTTAGTTACATTCTCTGCCGCGATTACGGTCCTCCAGGGGTTGTCACTGCCTCGTCTTCCACGGCGCACGCCGGCCGATGAAAGCACCCGGCTCGAATGTCGCTCGCTGCCAAACGCTGATCAGTTCTTTGTAATTTTAGAATCGACGATACGTCTTTTATCAGCTACACTGTACGGAGCTGATCGATTTCGCTTACAGTTAATAATTACAAGCCAAACCTCTCTGAACTCCATTCTTTGTAATTTTAAAATCCTATCGTCTGTTAGTCTTCTACGATTCATTGTATTTAGTTTATCGGTTTCGCTTTCCACCGACGATTATAAGAGGCTTGTCGCGCTCGCATACCAATCGTGGTCCACCAAGAGATCGATCAGAGGGAAGGTTATTATAGCGTTATCGGAACTGTACACATCAGCCAGGGAGTAACATTCGCGGAGCATAGAGATAAAGAAAAGGAAGCGGTCGCTCGCCAGCACGGTCTCGTATTACCAGATTTTCTTATTCGCTAATCGCTGAACGGCCGTTGAATCGCAGATACCGACCGGACACAATTAATCCGCGGTGTAACTCTAGAAGATTCGATATCTGCCTTCGCAGTCCTGTCGCAAAAATCTTCGGGAGAGTGCACCGACGCGACGTGTTTCCGAACGGGATAAACTGCATAAAACTACGCATGCCGAGGGCATAGTGGACGCGACAGAAGGACTCCAGCATGGTCGGTGTGGCCCGGAATTCATCTTAGGAGCAACAAGAAGCCGAGGTTTCACTCGTGTTTTCGAAATCGGCGGTTCGGAGTGCTCCCGGCGAGAATTATGGTCGCTAATCCGGGAAGGCTCGCTGGGATTCAGTCAACCGGGGCTCTGATATATCGGCCAACGACAACGCTATCCTCCTAGCTAGGAGTCTCCTTTTTAAAACGAATCTAAGCGAATCGTATTTATATTATACAAGTGCTTGTCCGGGGACTTTAAAGGCTTCGCCGATGGTTTCCACGGGTCCCGTATTTGCGTCTAGGTTCACAGGCAGCCGCGATTTATCGGCCGAGTAAACCGCATCACGATAAGCCTGACACGAAATATAGTCTAATTATAGACCCAGGATTATCAAGCGAAATGCTGTCCTAATCGCGTCTATTCCACGGTGGCCTAATCTAGGGGCTGAGCTGGCTCTTTGGCGCCTGTGACTTCCTCGCTGATCCTCCTCGGTTCTGATATTAATTGTCATTCCAAAGCGAATACAACCTCCTCGTGGACCTTGGGGAAGGAGCCGACGATATTCTCGAAGAGACAGCGATCGTAGGTCCTGCAAAGACACTTTTGTTAGCGACCATACGAAGGGGATGACGGAGTGGTTCGCGAGTCATTCTATCCGAGATAATCGTGAATCGTGACCCTGCTTATTTATGCTGAAATCAGGCCGTGGATGTAATCGTCGCGTTAAAATAGATTTCTAGTAAACAAGGGCACCGCTTGAGACTAATCTCTAGCTGGCGAGATAAAGCAATCGTGGACCGAAATCATTGAGAACATGTCCGTGGGCCCCTAAAGTTCGCAACCGTACATATTCGAAAGACCGGAGAGAGATCTCTCTACCTATCTTCCGAGACATGCAACAACCTTAAAAAATTCTAAAAATTGACTTCAGCGTGCATCGCGGTAGAGTGAAAATATTTTTGGAAGGCAGATTTTCTTGACCCCGGTCTCACGAGGTCCCCCCGACTAATTACGTTGCAGCGGCCCGATAAACGTGACGATAAGGGACCGAGAGGCGGGAACTGAGGAGATTTGCGATAAAATGCGTGGCGACGAACCAAGCGTCGACAAAACGGTCGGGCCCCCGTTCCGATTATCGCTGTTTCTCGTTAGGTAATGCTCGCGATTTCTGTTTTTGGATCGTTCTCTCCGTTTGCAAAACATCGCCGGCTATAGTAAACACGATAACGCATTCGCCACGATAAGGAGCAAACACGATGCTTCGACAAATCTGTTACATCGTCTTCACTCAACGATAGAACCGGCAAAATCTATTCTTTACAATTACTCAAGTTGTAAATACATATACCTATGGAGAAAACAGACCAGAGATATCGAGCAGCGAAGCTTGTCTAAGCACCCTGTAAATCTTTGCTGCATCGAATAGTTGCAAAATAAGATATTCGAGAATGCTGTCCCAGTGGAAAAGCGCAATTGCATCCGCACTTCCGGTGTCGGCGACGAACGAGGAGAAGAAGACGACGTGATGGCGACGTTGACGAGAGAGGTCGAGATACCAGCCGACGATTGGCTCACAAGGAAGATACCAATGAGCTATCGTCGCTCGGATGACCCTCTGTGCCCCTTGCTTCGAGTTTCTCTTTTATCCTCGTACCTTCCTCTCGCCTCCTCCTTGTCATCTTATTCCTCGCGTGTTCTAGGGACGCGATTCGCTTCTTTTTCTTCTTCACGTCCTGATACGCAGTATCTTCGCTGCTCCAGTCGTTGCAAACGAGCTTGTTTCTTCAAACAGTTTTACCTACGGTTCAAAAACGAGACGATTAGTATCTTCCTTCGTAATTACACGCACAGAATTTGATCCTTTGACCTGCAGACTCCAGCTTTGTTGCAACGTTAACGACGCTCCACACGTTACATGGAAATAGTATACTCTTCTATGGGGAGGCACGCGTTCTTTCTCTGCTGGCCAGGGTGAGTTCTTTCTCCCCAACCGGAGTCGCTGATTAACCCACGGATCATTAAGTCCACACGTGTCTTCTGCTGCCCTTCTGACCTGTTCTGCATAACATTGAATTAGTGGCTACCTTTAATGCAAGTTATATTTTGTAGGAAACTTCCATTGTAGTTATAATCGTTCTGGCAATGGGACGTATCGTAAAACCAGGTTAAATCGTCAAACTTTATGGATAAATTTAGGACTCTGAAACAAACAAATTTTTCCTCATCAGGGGAACATCGTGTCCTACACCGTGCAGCTGACATGCAGCAATTATTTCATCGTATACATATATTTTGGCGATGAGTGTACAGTGTTGCAGTTCTCCATTGCTATAACATCAACGACGCACCTTATACGAGAGATGCCGAACAATTTATAAACACGTACCAGGTGGTTCGCGTTTAGTAGATCAACCATAGAATAAAGTGTGCAAGGATGAAGTGTGCGGCATCGACGGAGCAAAGCCGACCTCTTCCATTCGAAGGCCGTTGTCTCCACGGTTATTGTCGTTGTCGCTATGAAACCGTAGCATTCGCATTCCTGAAATGCTGCGAGGAGAATCGGCATCCGTCGCCGATCAGCGAAATCCTATACGTCAATGACATCACGCTGCAAATCTACTCCTACGTCCTGGCGTAAACACGCTCTTTCCCCTGTTGATCTATCATCGACAACGTCTTCAGCCCTAGAAGTGGTTGTGCATCAGTGACAACCTCGTGACCTCGTCGAACCCAATGTTCGGTATTGCGAAGTCAGACGATCCGCGAGTTTTGCGAGAGTTTGCAATCGGCGAAGGCCAATTTTCGCAAGCCTAATTATGTCACTCGCGTCAGCCGATTGCCACATATTTTATATCATTGCGAAACTCTGAGTTACACCTTTGAATTTCCATCGACTCGGCAATCCCGCTGCATATACATACATTTATTTTATAGGCTGTAAGTCCTACAATTTGTCCCGTAAGCTCTGCAATGTATCTCATAGACCCTAAAATTCGCATTTAGTGTCCGAGCTTCTTCGGTGGGCCGTGCCTACTTTATCTTCGTGGTTAAATTTATTTCCGGATAATGAAAAGTGGACGGACGTTCCGCATCCCCACATCCTCGAACAATAGGTGTTTTTCACCTTCGGTAATCCATCGAATCGAAACAAAGGATCCAGTGACGAGAGCAGATGCGACCTCGTTAGGTGTCGCGTAGCAAGGATCTCCAGTTGCAGTCAGGTGTGTTCGCAAGGCACGACATTTGACGTTATCGTGATCTCGCGTTGCTTGTTTTAGCACCGTGGATCCACGTACCGAGGACGTGCGTGTACGACACGTTGGTCTATCGTGACTCTGTTCGTGGGTCGATACGGAGCCTCGCATGATCTGCAAATGTACCCATCGTTAGCGATAGTTTCAAACCATTCTCTGGCATTAGTTTAAGAGACCCTGCGGTTCAAACTCTATTTACAACTCTCTATTATCTTGTAATAAATAGAACTGTCTCTGACCAGTAGCAATGTAATATCGTGTTCTCGTTTAGGAAACAGTTCCTCCAGAAAACCATACAGCCCGGAGGTTTGCGGTAGCACGATACATTATGCCTGTTCTCAAATTCGCGTTCGATATACAGTGCCTGGAGGAAACTGAATCGAGTCCCCGGTTTAATGGTCTGTAAGTATTCGAGGAAAGCGGAAATGATTTTTCTAAAAATGGCCGTACAGCCTACGTGAATAGAAAAGCTCTCCCCGAATTTCTGATACACACCACGGGTCTCTCTGTCCGCTTCCCTTTTGTTTCGCCCTCGCTCCGTTTCGCAGAGCTCTCTACCCTCTGTTCGGTGCTTGCACGAGTTATCGGTGTCCGGTTACGTTCAGTTCCAGTTACACGTGCCGTGGGGCACACTCAGAGTCATGCACGCACGCATGATACTCCTTTCCGAGTACGTGCTTCCTTGTTTCACGACGACTGCAACTGTGTTCGCCAAGAGCCGCTAACTAGAACCTGCCGTCGAAGGCGCGCGCGCGCGCGCGCGCACGGGGAATCTGAAAATCAATCAAATTATCAATCCCAATGCATTTAGGAACATTTACTGGAGGACGGATCCATTTACCTCTATTGTTCCAGCACAATTGATCCGAAGCTCACGGTAGCAGCAAGTTCAATGACTGGACCAAAATGCTTAAACTCTGATAGGGTGCTTGGCGCTTATGTAGGAGCCCTTGAAGGAACTTGTAGCTGCAGAATGATATCATCTTGAACCGTAGCTTTTCCAAGCCGACAGACACGGCCACCTTATCGCGTCTCGGGTGTCCGAAGGGGGGTCTAGGGGGCCGGATTCCTTTCAAAGATCCGATTGTTTCACGGTGCGCAGGGGTTTCTCGGAACCTGGTGTGCGGTGGTGTCGATCGGCAGCCATTGTCCAGCCATTGTTCTTAGAGCTTGCCGTGAATTCGAATCACCTTGTTGTACACAGAAAGACCCTCCAGCGTTTACGGCCTGGTGATCAGGAGGCTTTCGAACGGTTTTCAGTGAGCAGTTTCGTGTCGGAGATGCAGAATGGGTGCATGGTTCCGTCAGCGAAGGACCTGGACAACTCGGTAAGCCTGGCCAGAAGTCTGACGTCTCATCACCCCTCTCTGAGCCACCATCACTCCCATCACAGCCTGCACAGTCCCTCGGGTGTGTCGATACACTCCTCCGGCTCTGCTCATCATCACCTGGACGAGAAAGGTTCCTCCCCTACCGGGGCCTTGCACAGCACCACTAACAGCAACCCCTCGACCCCGTCGGCCCCGTCTACGCCGACCACGGTGGCCAATGGATCTGCCACGGGGTTAGAGACCGGGGCTGGAAACGGTAGCAGCAATTCTGCTAATAAGAAACCGCCGTACAGCTACGTGGCTCTGATCACGATGGCGATACAACATAGCGTCGCAAAAAGGGCGACCCTCAGCGAGATTTACGCGTACATCACAGGAAGATTCCCGTACTACCAAATGGACAAGAAGGGGTGGCAGAACTCTATTAGGCACAACCTGTCCCTCAACGAATGCTTCCTCAAGGTACCGCGCGACGGGGCCAGCGGGAGCAAGGGCAACTTCTGGGTCCTAGGTCAGCCCTGAGCCCTAAAAGACCATACATATCTATATGTATATAGTGGACGATATAAACGGTATAACATAATGTTCCCAAATATATGCACACAGACCCTAAGTTCGCTGACATGTTCGAGCACGGTAACTACAGGCGGCGCAGACGCATGAAGAGACCTTACAAGGATACTTCTTATCGCAAACCCTTGTACGGGGATCCCTACTCCGCCACGCATGTTCATCTAGGGCCTAGGGGCTTCTTCGGCCACTCGTCGCCATCGTATGCGCCGTCCACCTACACTAGATACGACACTGGGTATGGTGTTTCGATCGATTCTTTGGTATACTTACACTGCCTACGGTGTCCGACTTAACCTAAACTCGATGGACCGTTTTAGCGCCTGGAGTCTGCAGCAGTCCCAGCTCTCCTACAGCCACTGTCAGTCGGTAAGTTCCTGAAAGATGGCATTCTTGTGAGGGATCATAAAGTCGAAGGTCTATTGCAGCTGCAGCCTCAGTTGCAGCCGATTCAGTCGATGCAGATACCAACCATAAACGGCTACGGTCAATTGGGCACCTCTCTAAGTGAGTCTCTCCTCTAACCAGACCCAATCCTGTCCCTTTTCCTCGTTGAAATGCTGGACGACGAAGCAAAGCGTTTCAAGGCAATTACCTGGATGTTCCAGGTGCAACAGCGAGTTCACCGGGTTCAATGGGCAACGGCTCTTTCGGCAGCAGCTTCACCACCTGTGCCAGGAGACACGAAGCTGCCATGTCCACGGAGACCATGTCTGCCCGGTGTTATTGGCCTGAAAGTAGTTATTTCAAATCGATTAATTTGCACAGACAGACAGAGCGTTGGGTTTTCTAACTGAAAAATTGTTCTCGCCTATCTCAGTGGTGAACGTCAAGGAAGAACCTGGTAGCGTAGCAGTGTCCAGCACAGGTGTGACCGGTGTTGGAGTACCATCCGCTATGATGGGATCCAGCCCAACAACCGGGGTCTCCACGACAAGCTTCGCTCCCATGGAGTTCCAATCGCGGTCAAAGTGCTTCATGTGAACAGATTACAGCTCAGAGTCCTGTCAAGGTCGCGAGGACTCGATCCATGGCTAACAGTAAGCGGTGGACTCTAAACGGGGAGACAGCCTCTGGAAAAATAGAGAGAAGAAAATTTGTAGATCCGTTTAAAGTTTGCCGACGATCCTTCAACCGATGCTGAAGAGATCAAAATGTGACGCGGTCCCTGCCACTAAGTAGACCTCTCTGTCTTCAGTGTTTCCGACTGCTACACAGTATTCGATATTTAATGGACAATGTTCGTTCGTTCTGCGAGAACTAGCTATACGTTAATTGTTAATGACTATAATCTAAACGCGGTTAAGAGGCAGCAACATTTCTACATATACGCATATCGAGTAGAAGAAGCGAACACCGATTGGTAGACTGCGCAGGTCTTTGTGCGTTCATGGCATTTGTTAATTTATAATCCATTGCAGGCGTTTTTAATCCGATTTCTATTACTCCGCAATCCTCTCTCGAAATTTTCCTTTGCACGAAGCTCCGCGCGCTGTCTATTTATCAGCGTGTCTCTTAAAATACTATACTACAGAAGTCCTCGAGAACTCGATGTACATAATCTATCCAACAGTTTCCTGAGTGTATACGCGATACGAGTTCTATTTCTAAGATGACTGCCTCTATCCCCGATTCCTTCAGATTGTAAGAGCCTGTGCAATAATCCGGCAGCTAACGATCCTGTAATTACAACAGAATAAGGAAATAAATCGGAATTATTTATCGTCTATTGTAAAACGTGCGTTGGTCATTTTTACCTATTCGGTATTATTATCGACAACTTTCCGAGTCGCTTTCCGAACGATCTGAAAAGGAAATGGACAAACCGGGAACGACCCAGTTCCTGCCTGGCAAAGGGCTCCTGACTCAGAGTATCCGGTGCATAAGAATGAAAAGTAGCCATTGGTCCGTGGACGGTAAGCAAAGCCAGTCGATGTTTGCGCAAACCTGGATGTTTTGCAAACATGGCTCGCAGTAGCGGGCTTTAATATTCCCCGTAAAAGAGAGGCTGGACGTGTTGCCCGTCAACACCGTGCGTGCATCAGAGCGCCGGAATAGCACGTGCACTTTATTTTTCGTTCTGGAAATCGATCGGGGGACACGTCGCTCGCTGCACGGTGCTCGAAATAAATCTTGCGTCGTCGATGGGGCTGAAAACGACGGTAGATAATCGGCAGTCCTTCTCTCTATCGAGTTATCAGATACAGCTCGAGCTACAGCGAACATAAAGCTGCCTTGAAAAAATAACCATCGAGGCTTTCTTGGCCCAATTGTCTCTCTTCCACTTCCTTTGCCACTATGGCAAAGGGAGCCATGTTTTATCGATGCGTACGTATATAGATGTTCAGAGACCTAATCCAAAAGGGAGGGTCCGCAGTTGTCCGAAGTGGGAGCAGATCATTGGCTGCAGCAGAGACAGGTAAAAACGATGGTTTCCCCTTCAAGATGAGCACAGGTGGATCGGGATTGGTCGAGCCAGCCAGGTGAGAGACCGCCGTGGATGAGAAGGGAGGATCCGGCTGTCCAATAGGACAGTCCTTGCAACCTTTTTTGCTCCTGTTGACGCCATTAGCTGTAGCTCGTAGCGAACCTTTTTCTATGAGCTCCGGCAAAAGGATTGCCACGAGTGTTTGATGACAGAAAACACTGTAGTTTCAGCGGATCAATAAGTGAGACGAGCGAGAGGGGGATTAGCGATGGCGGTGCAGGTATTGTTAATTACAAAATCAATATTTCCTAATGATAAACTCTTCCGATCGCCATCTTAGTCTCGAGAGCTTGGAATGCCTTTTTTCCTAGGTCCTATGCTATCGGCTCGAAAGGAAAGTGCTACCGCGGGCTGCTGTATTTCCTTCGGTTTGATTATTTTCTTCGGAGACCTGTTCCGCCGATACTCCAAACATAAATGTCAGATACCGATCGGTTTACGCAAACAGTCCCGATAAGCAAACAAGGGCGTTAATCATCGGGCTCCTCCCTGCGGAACGAATCCACTGAAAGTCAGGTAAATCACTCGACGTGTTTCAGCCGGCCTGGCGTTCCTTGGCTCGAGTTACAAAGATGTGGGTGCAATATTTTATAGCGCAACGTGACCACCATTCAGCTATTACTGCCTCGGCTCCCTCGGTAAATAAACTAGTCGTAGCTCACCCTTGAGGACAATCCACGATTCTCCCGATGATCGGTGACGGGAAGTTTGTCTACACCTAAAAAGATATACAAACCTATTAACGTCTAGGCTTTTAAGATTCTTAGAAACGTTAAAGGATTTACCTAGCTTGAAAATCATTATTTGTGTTGGCAAATAAGCGCATCAAATTTCGAATTTTATAATACTTGGTGGCTTCGCGTTGGAAAAAGCATAACGCTTTTGCTTCAACGATAACGCAATGTACAGAAATTGGAATAGCTAAGTGAGACCGTCCGATCAATTGATTACCCTTTTTGAAGTCTCGAAGCGAAAGCAAAGACTGAAGAGACTGAGGAAGCAGGGGGAATTCCTCAGCTTCCGTCGCGACGAGATTCTCATGCACGTGCATCGTGGCGTGTAAATAGAGGGCGGAGGTGACATATAGCGACAGCCAGGGCAAGCGTGTCGACCGTTTAGGCGACTATTAGCAGCTTCACAGGCTCTTCCTAGCATGTGTCTTGGTGCGCGCCTTGTTGGCCCCTGATATTAACTCTCCGAGTCTTCGAGATATCCTTCATCTATTAAAAACATACATAACGAGTCCTTGGAATGGCCAGCTTTTCCTTTTTCACATTGTTTCATGTTGCAAACGCAAACATTTTCAAGAATGTTACTATTATTGTACATTCTTCCGATGACAAAGATGAACAGTTTTCGGCATTGCTTCTTTGACATTGCAAAGACAATATTGAAAAATATTGCTACCATCGTTTGAAACCAATTTGAGTACATTTTTCTGACGTTATCGAATCCTATTATCTTTTGGAACTCTAACGAACAGTATTCTTGAAAAGAAAAATCGGCATAGGTTGCCTTTGACTGCGAAGCTTTCTTAACTATGGTCTCTTTTTCAAAATTACTCGACTCGTTTACGCGGTCGTTAGAGTGGATTTAACTGGACGAGATGGGGGGGAGTGTGTCAGATATCGTTCGACCGAGTTCTGGTAATCCCCGCGTGCGGAACAGACGGCAATAAATTCTCTGGGACGACACCGTGCCGAGAGGAACTGATGTTACGGTATCCCGCCCCGGTCCATTTACTCTCCGGGATGCGTCACCTAAAATCAGTTAATTATATTCCACGGCCGACCTAGCCGGAGTCTATTACAAAAAAAAAAAATAGTGCACGCTGCGAGACGTCTCCCTTTGAAAACCAAGCTATATACAAATCGTTGCCGTTTCAAAGAAAAATTATATTGCAACTATTACTACCGCTAGGCTAATTACAGGAATAACGGAATTTAAAGTTTAAGAACAACTTCTCAATTAGCATTCTAATATTGCGGTACCCTGCGGTAACCGAATAATTCGCAGGAAAGATTTTGCCGACGCCGACAGTGGGAAAACTGGCGAAGAATCCGAGGCGGTCGAAGAAAGAACGTTGGCTTTTACAAAGAGCATAACGACACGGACAATTTGTAGCGGAGTGTCAACGAAGCCGTTTCTATTTTCGAGGCGAGACACGCACGGCTATCTTTTCGCCTCGCTTCTCCTCTCGTCGTTCCTGCTTCTCCACCTACTCCTCCGTGCTCCCTGCTCTCACGTCGTTTTTCACCAAGCGACGGTTGCACCGATTCATCCCTCCCCCCAGACCCCAGGGTTCCAGCGTAAATTTACACGCGATTAATCCGTCCTCGTCCCCCGTGTCTCTTGTTATCATGACACGAGCGATTCGTCAATCTGTTCTAAACCTCCTCTTTCCCGCCCACCCTGATGGACGATGAAAATAACGGGGTGTACACGCGTGTGAGAGAGAAAAATAGCGAATTCTATGGATATAAATATATGTATATAAGCGAATGAACGGCAGGAGAATCCGTTCACATGTAATCATCTTGATCATTCTTTCAGGGTACGTGATCTGTATCATCGCGGTATTTTATGCCAAACCACCTACGCTCCCTCCAGTTGCTTTCTGCAGTACCGACACGTTTCTTTTATGCGTTTCTCGTATGCGGAATACTGTCGTATGAAGGACGTTCAGGAATTCAAAGAAACAGTCAAGTTATAACAATGAAAGTGAGAACTTTTGTCCAGATTTTCTATAACAGAGTGGATGTAATAATACTGCTGATGCTTCGGATCAGTGAACGACTGCCATTGAAAACAAAGCAGAAAATTCGATAGTACCGATCACGTACCCCACGTGAGCAGAATATCTTTCTCTCTCTTTCAAGCTCGCGTTAAGATCACGTACAGGGAAATCGAGGATTCCAGCGAGAGCGAGAGAGGGGAAAAGAGAGAGAGAGAGAGAGAGAGAGAGAGAGAGTGAGGAAAACGTGTTAGCTGATTATATGTTCGGATTATTTTTGGATCCCTCGGAGGAAAGCTTGCTTGATTTTGCAGCATGATTTTCTGCGACAATAGAAAAAATTGATATTATACACAGTTGTATAGAAGGTTTCGTGTAGAGCATAGTAAATGATTTTACCTGATGAAGAGATAGCAGAAGGGTATGGAAGATAGCGTGTAAGCATAGTAAATATAAAGACAAAGGCAGAAGACAGCGGTGAAACGGGAACAAACATTGGTTGAAGAATAAACTTCTGTAGATTCATGCATGGACGTACTCTGTTATACAAATAAGTATATTTAATACGACTGTACAGTGTTGTTTTACGTAGAGAGTCTCCTCGCAAGAGGCAGTATACCTACAACTATGTTTAACATTGGGTAGAAATCAGATAAATGCCGGTATCTAATCCTGTTACATTCCTAGATGTGTGCTATCTCGTGCAGGTCCTCGGGACAGAGAACAGGAAGTAGTGGCTAAGGTTCCGACGCACTGCTTTTCTCTCTTATCCTAATAATCTATCTAATTCTTCGGCAAATACATTAGTTGTTTGTGCACACGGTTCTCCATTTACCTTCCCAGAGTGACGCCCGCGCGCGCTCGTGCGCGCGCGTGTGTGTGTATGTGGGGGATTTTCTTAGGCGTCTTCCGAAGGATCGGGCTGCGAAAGGAAGTGAGACAAGAGAGATATTAAAAACGTGCCGCAGACGGTTTTTTCTGTGTTATATTAATAATATATTTAATCTCCGGCACACGGGGACAAACTCCGACGTGTGCAGACTGCGTTTATATATTCTGAATCGGATGATGCGTTGATAAAAACACTCGCGCACAAAAATGTCCTCCAACAGTAATACTTGATTTTCTAAACGACTCTGATCGGCGACGCGGGGAATGACTGACGGAAGGAGAATGGAAATCACGCGACAACCGCGCTGCTCGCCTTCCAATCGAACGGCTAATCTTCCTCGAGAAGGTCGTCGTCGAGAGTCACACCCTGAAACAATAAACATATCCTTGGTCAATATAACGATACGTCGTACAAATCATTTTGCTTAGCTAGAATCGCGTTGCCGACTTCTATTCTACTATACAGACTGGCCCGGAAAGCAAAGTACATGTTCCGATTAACTATTACCGCTTTCCAGGCTGCATAGTTTGCTACGCTACGTTGTGCTACCATGAAGAGAGAGTGTTCGTGGTCCAAAGAGGGAAAGCAGGAGGCGAAATGCAGCGGTGGGTCTCTGTTATGGCAATAAGGCCGTAAAGAAAATGAACCGTGACCGGAGCGAGAAGTCAACAAGCCTTAATGGTCCTCTGTCTTCCCTCCGGCTGCGATAGGTTCATTGGCAACGGTTTGTGCTCCTCGAGGGCTTTCAAAATGACAAAGAAAATTCTCCAAAAAATTTCCGAGATCCGTCCATCGGCTAACATCTTTCTATCTCGATCGTGTTTTAACTATTGTTTCAAACTTTCCTAGTTTACTTAACAGGAAGTTGGTTCTGCTGGATAAGAACATGTTCGCACACATCAACCGGGATCAATACCTGATATACAGCCCACCTCAGACTGCTTCGGTAATATAATACCCTTCTAGAGTTACCCGGGTTCACATTCGAAGACGCCTTAAGCTATAATTGCGCCCCTCTGTTTCTACCCTTTCCCCCTCACCGCCCTGCTCGCCGCTTGACCCCGATTCGCTTATTTCACGAAGCTGACGTTACCCTAACCGAACCTCGGACCTTGAAACGATACTCTTCGTTCTCCTCCGGTTATTGCTGTACCTTTTAACGTTTCGATACCTTATTCTCAATGTATCAACGAATCTAGCATCAACTAAATAGTCGTTACATCGGTCAGAGTTCCCAGTATAGAAGGATGGCTGTGCTGAGTGGGCGTTGCCGTACACTTACTTTGTCTTTCAGAAGCACTTAGGTGTCAGCATGCACAGTAAAAATGGTTGTGTTAAGACCGAGAAACAATCGAAGAAACGGGGCCAGAGAGTTACGCGCATAAAGCTCGATGAACATAGAGACGAGGACCGCGATTAGGAAGTAGGAATGCTGGTGTAACAGGCTTACAGTCGTGTCGATGGTATCATCGATCTCGAGATCTAGGTCCAGATCATCGTCGTCCACCGTCAGCGGCCTCGAGCTGCTGGTGGTTCTCGTCTTCTCCGGAACGGCCGGCATCTCGGTGGACGGAGTTGCTACCTTACCGATATCCAGATCCAGTAACCTGTCGGTCAAAACTTCGGTAGATGGCACTTCCGGTTCGCTGGCGCCGATGTTACCGGATTTGTAAGTGAATCGATTCGTCTGCTCTGCCGCCAACATGTCCTCCACGGGTTTTCGCTCCACGTTCGGCTACAACGTTGAAGAGATTCAGTTGCAACCGACCGGGCCTTCGACGAGAATTATGCCTAGCACCCCTACCTGGACCATGGGGAACGCGGAGGCTGGGATCTTCTTCCGACTCTCCTCCCTTAAAAACTGTTCTACCTTGAGCGCTTCGCTGTACCCTGGAAACAGGTTCTCGTACTGTTCTGGATCGGCCAGGCTCTGCCCAGCCTTTTCGTTCACTGCCGACAGCTTCTCCTTCCAGAGTTTCACGATACACGAGATCCTGCTGGGCACGTACGTTCTCGCGAAGAACGCGGCCTCTGGTATTCTGTCTGTCTTGATGAGGATTTCTAAGCATTTGTCAAAATCTCCTAAAATAAAGTACGACAGGAACGAGATATTGTTCTTCCCCATGTCGTCCGAGTCATTGCCGAGTTTCTGTATCATGTCCGCGTTTCCGGTGCTGGTCGCCAGCAACAGAAGTCCCCCGAAATCTTGTGCTTGATGCAGACACTCCTGCGCTAAGCACAGTTTGCCTTTCTGAGTAGCCAGGGACGCTAATTGTCGCCATTTTTGCTGACTGTTAGCTTCTTTGGCAAGCGTGTGGGCTGTCGTGAGATCTCCTAACGCCAGAGCCAACTCAAACCTGTGCTCTGGGTCTGTCGACACAGCTAATGCCTGCTCCTTGAATCCCTGTTTCTCCAAGAAGTGTGCGACCCTGGTGCGGTGTTCTTTCGGTACCGTCGGTAGCACTCTATCGGCGGTCTCGAAGTCTTTTCGCATCACCGCCGTTTGATACTCGAGCACGGACAGCAACAGAGAATAGGAGACGACGGATAGCTCTTTGTCGCACAGGTACAATCTGTTGTCTCTGGGCACGTAACCGAGCAGGTACATGGGTCTATCTAAATGCGAGATGGTCACCACTTCTCCGCCGACGAAGTAGTTCACCCGGTTCACGCTGTTCGTGTAAATGAAGCAATCACCGACCCAGAGACCCGTCTTCACCACTTCGCTCATTTCAGCGACCATCTGAGAGACGATAGGAAATGTTTCAAATGTCTCGAACAAGACGAAATGATCGAAGACTTACCTCGAATGCGTCCTCGATGTCTTCTGAATTCTCTGGTGCGTCTGCAACGGTATCCGCATGATACTTAAGGATAAAATATTGATCGGATGTGGCTAGTGCTACCAGTGAAGCGTTTTCTGCCCAGTAAACGTGCGTCGGTTGAATGTCTATACGGCGAATCAATTTCAGCGTGTCCCAGTCGAAGAAGGATAGGCCTGATCCTGAAGATACTCCCAACAAAAATCCACCAAAAATGCCTGCAAAAAAAATCTAATGTAAAATGGGAAGAAGAATTTATATCATTAGTAATTATTGTGTGCGACCGTCAGCCCCGAAGTCGGGTTTGAAGCTTTTCTTTTCCTTGAAGGTCTTGAAGACTTTAACAGTGGTGTTGCTCTCTCTGACAGCGTACTGACTCGAGTCTGCGGCCCATACGAATTCCGATGCTTGACCGAACGCTTTGTTTCTTAGTGCCATGGACGTGTAAATAATGTATTCTCCATCGCCGCAGACCACCAGGAATCTCCCATTAGGGTTGTGTTGGATGGTTTGCGGATAAATTTCACAAGCACCCATGTCTTTCACCACCAACGGCAACCGTTCCCCGTCCGGCGCTTCCTCCCCTAAGGCCTTGAGATTGACTTGTTGTACTTCACTGTGTTTGGCCCAGACGATTTTACCACCCAACGAGTCCATGGAGACTGCTGGCTCTTCTCTGCCAACCTTCACCATAACGCTGCCCTCGTCGTAACCGATTGCAACATTGTTGGAGCCTCGCATGCAGGCTATCGTCCACACTCGCTCGAAGCCATAGTTCAGGGAGGATTCTAATCTGTAGGTTCCCGAGTGCCATATCCTCACTGTTCCATCTTCCGAGCCGGTAAGAATGATCGGCAATTCTGGATGGAAACAAACAGCTGAAATATTCTGCGTATGTCCCTCCAGTGTCTGTACACAAGTCTTGTTCTGGTAATCCCAAATCTTAACATATTTATCGTCGGCTCCCGATATTAAGTACGGTTTGTCACCGCCGTGATAATAATCCACGCAGTTGACACCTTTCTCGTGACCTTCTAACGTAAAATTAGCTGTGGAGGAACCTAGTTGCCATACTTTCACTGTTCTGTCTAAGGAGGCGCTGGCAAACGTATTGTTGTCTTTCGGATTGAACACAATTTGCATTACGTAATGGGTGTGCCCCTCGAAAACTTGTTGCCCTATCCACGCCTTCTCCCAGTTCCATAATTTGATCAACATGTCATCTAGAAAACAAAGGCGATCGAAGTTTGTTTTATCAAAGGATTACAGATATATCTTTAACAGGCACGTACCGCTACTAGTTAATATAAATGGTTGCGTCGGATGCACTGCTATGCACCTAATGTAGTCGCTGTGCGCTTCGAAGGAGTGTACCCTCTCCAATGTGTTGTAATTGAAAACTTTAATTAACATGTCGTCTGCTCCGGTAACAACCCAATTCTTCCTAGGTACGAATTTGGCTGTTCTGACTGGGACTTCGCAGACTTCGAAGGTTTTAACCAGCGTTTGCGTCTCATGGTTCCAAATATTAACATTTCCTTGGTACAAGGAACAGAGCATCCAGGGCTCTGTCGGATGAAGATCTATGCTCTTCACTCTGTCCGAGCGGGCAGTGAGCTTCCGCTTGATATCTAACCTGAGTGGCTGATGAAAGAAATAAAGAGAGTTCACAGTCATGACAGACCAAACACCGTTGTACGATCGTTTCTACGTGAAATCTTATGTTTATGAACTCGCTAAGAGGAACGTGTGAAATTTTACGGCTGTCTCATTGGACAAAAGTGATACGACGAAAAAATTATATAGATATCTTGGAAGCAAATTTCAGAGTAGGATTTCGGAGGAAGCGAAAGTAATGTTTCATATGTCGAACGCAGGGAAAGGTTGTCACGTTGCGGAAACATTGTTTTTCCTTCATGAATCGAAGTGGATATTTTGACGTGTCAAACCAAGCAGGCTGAGCTGCAGTGTCAATATACATGAGGGTCCACAGGTGTTTACCGGTGCGATACGGATTTTTCGGGCGTGTTCAATGAATTTTTCGATTACGTACCATGTTTAAATATGCGAAACTCGCTTTTTATGCGCAGAAGATTCAACAACACGGTCCTCGACGATGGAAACACATTAACGAATCCGAATCTCTTGCCATCAAGTTAGGACGTGGCCGATGCTCGCAGCGAAAATGGCGTCCGCTGGCACGACAAATTCCCCTCGTACAAGTATTTCATTCAGTGGAATCAAATACCTTTCTATGGTTCACCGATGATAGGATTCTGAACCGTGATCCGGCCTGATCGCAATTTCCAACACACCTTTAACAGGAAATTAGAAAATGTCTACGTGGATAGGAAATTGGTTAGAATTAATTCTATCGGTAACGTAACAAGATGCAGCAGATACTACAGGATTCTTTCGAAAGAGTTATTCTAACACCATAAACGAAGTATGGTGTCTCTTTCTTAGTAAATCTCAAAACTTTTGCCACAGACGAGATATCCCATACCTCTACTGTGCTTACGTTTGTACGTTTACTTCTAAAATTCTTTGAATTATTTTTATCCGTACGTATTTTAAGTTTGTGGCCGTACCATCGATCGATACAGTAAAATTCTAACATTCCGATCGGTACAGTAGAAATTTTGGAAGTATCTCTCGACCAGTATAGTAGAATTCTGACAGTACCACAGACTTAGGATCCGTACAGATGCAATGGATTTTAACGTTAATAACTCCAATCGAAGTTTTATGTCATTCCGAAGACCACTTACTATCTCCTAAATTGAGTTTGCCAGTTTCGTTTGCTGGAAGCGTTGGGGGATAGCAAGTACATGCAACGAATTCCAAGATGCACGTCCATACGAATTAAAGTTGGCAAATTGTGATTCGCAGCGTTGAATTGTCAGTCTGGCAATTTAGATGGCAGGGATCTCCGAATTTATAATCTGCAGTTTGCAAGTTTGATGTTAGAAGCTAATGTTCGAGAGTTCTGTTGCTTACGTTTCGTATAATTGTGCAATATTATGTGAGAAATAGCTTCAATTTCTAATTACGCGTAGTTCACGGCAAAATAATTGAGATTTCGCAAACGAATGGACCTAAGATAAAGTGGAATACCGGGTTTAACAGCGTGGCTTGAACAGCGCGAATTAAATGGCTCGGAGCTGCGCAGACTCTACGAATCGATACTGCGCATGGATAAATCGGAACTGCGCAAGCGGACGAACCGAACTTGCGCGGACTGGATGAACCGGAAAATGCGTAGATCAGTTGTTCAAATACCGCGCAGACAGCGCGAAATTTAAGTAAACGCGTTTCGCACCAATGTTACACAATGGAAATTTCTGCCGGTCAGAGTCGCGCCAACAACTCCCGTTGAGTCGGGGTTCTCGGATTACATATTTTTGTATCCACAAGTCATTCGGAGCCAACGATATCGCGTGACTTATTAGGTAATTACTTATTTCTAATATATGGGTGGTTGTTACGGCTCCATCGAAGCGTCCGCACTAGCGCAACAGAGGATTCACGGTTGCAGGAAAACTTATGTAAATCCTAATGGCAGCTCTTCGTTACCGCACGCGGTCCGTTCTTCAACTTTCGAGCGGCGGCACGTGATCCAACGTTGCGCAAGCAACAAAGTCGCTTGTTAGGGAAGAAAGCGACTTTCGTGCACCATAAATCTTCTCCGTGGGTCCTGCAATTTCTCTACGAATTCTACGATTACTCTATAAATCTTATAATTCCGCTATAAGCTCTGTAGTATTTTCTATATGTTGTACAATTTTATTACAAGTTCCACAATTTTTTTTAGAAGTTTTACGATGTTTTTATGGACCGTATAATTTTTCTATAGACTCAAGAACCACCTAACTCGAATCCTTGACAATTTTCACGGTCTAAGTCACAGCCGACAGGTGTTAACGCGATTGAATCGAAGCATAGGGTCCAATTGTCCGAAGTGCATCGTCAATTAACTCGTTCTTCGCGCCTCGTTGACTTTAGCAAGCTTACCGTGCGACCGAGGGTCTGGCCAGCTTCCGACACCCTTCGTGCCTTTCTTCTCAATTCCAAAGTTAGTCGATTCATGGATCCGCGAACTTTGCAGCGGACCTCGTACTCCGCCATCTAACGTAAAGGAGAATAAAATCAGAATAGAATTGTTATGGTTCTCGCGTTATCAATTACGAATCAGACATTTACCGACAGCATGATCGTTCTTCGCCAGAGGCTAAAGTGTGTTCCCGCACGTTTAAATCGTCTTTTCAAGCCGGGTTTCGGCCCTCGTCCGACGTCATCGCGAACAAACGACTCGCCGGGAATTTCCTTGAGAAAACAATTCCACTTCCTCCCGCGGACTCGTCGCCTTCTTCTTTTTAGTTTTCAGCATTCGCACGTTCTTCCAGCAATCCGTCGAAGGATCGAATGACCAACCACAGAACGCCGTGTTTTTATTTCGAACGAATATCCACGATAGGCCGAGCGAGCCGGCTCTCATCAACGACTTTGATAAACGATAGCCGCGTACGGTCACTCGTCCGATCCTAATATTTCATTCTTCGTGGTCGTCGTTGCCATTTTCATTTCGTCCCGCTTTTCTCTAGGCCTTTTACGTCCGCCCTCCTTTTACGTAAACCCGTGCGCGACGACCGTGAATTTCCAAAGCAGACTATTTTCAAAGCGAACACCGTCGCGATATTCGACAGCAATTCGTGCAATTCGTGTCGATTACTCGGGCCAGAGTTTTGACTCGAACGATAACGAAGCGATAACGGCAACTGCCAAACGCAGAGAAAACGAACGCAGAAAACCAGGGAAAACGGGTCAAGATCAGCGGAAATCTGAGCTGTCTCCGTAAAATTCCTAATCGAGCGAGCCGGATCGCGGACAATTAATTGTCCGGCGCGTTAATCGACCGACCCGGGAAAGGGCAGCTGGTGATAATTCGATGCGGACAATCCAGATTCGTAGATTAATCTCGGGGGATATGGTCCGGGTAATTATCGTGTCAGCGGCGTCGCTACGGCGTCGTTAATCCATCAGGGATCCGTCCTCCGTGGAAAGATAATCCACTCGGCAGATAGTCGAGATCTCGTCGTCGATAGTCGTGCGAACTTCGGGATGTTGATCGACGTCGATCGCCGTCGAGCTTCGCCTGAGAATTTCGAAATCACTTTTAGAGCGAGCGTAGTATGTACATCGTGTGAAGAAAATTTAGAGCGTGGTCAGAACCGTGATTGGCGTGTAAAAAATATTGTAGAACCTATAGAAAAACTGTCGAGCCCGCAGAAAAACGATAAAACAATTCTAGAGTTCGAAAACATTTGATCCAAGCCCGTAAACAAATTCTAATATCCGCAGAAACAATCGCAGAATCCAGAGAAACTGCAGCAGGTTCTACAAACGAATTACAGACTATAATAGCCAGTCCTGAACCGCAGAAGGCGTCGCAGGAGACACTTTTGGTCGCGACGCGGTGCATCCTCGTCGTTGAGGCATCGAAAGCCGAGAAGGGCGAAACCGAAAGAGGATAGATCGTGATCGTATTTTTCTAGATTGGAAGAGGATTCCGGAGCGACCTGGTTCTCCTCGCCGTCAAGGCCTCGAGGCTGCAGCTCGCGCATCGTGCGGTCGGCCCGTCATTTTCGCAAAAAGGAAGACGCCTTTAAAGAGAAAGGAGGCGGGGTTCGATTCGCGGATAATAACTAAGCCAGGAAGCGAGGAGGACCATGGACACGGGATTATCGAGCAGCAGGTGTTGCGCAACAACGAGGCGTTCCGTTGGACGGAACCTGCAAGCTCTCGAAACGGGCAAAAGCCGAAGACAGCGAGCAGAAACTTTTCGCATTCTTTCTTCGGGAAATCAGCGGAACTCTTGCCAACGTTTATCGAGAATCCACCGAGAAATGCGCAGAAAATATATTTCGCTTGATCTACGGCGATTGTTTTATCGGCGATGAAACAGAGTCTCGCGACCGCATTCGATCACTTTGAAACAAACATTGTGCTCGCGGTGTCGATTCCGCAAACGTTTCCGTATCTTTCGATGATCGATCGAAATTCGTTTCGGTCGGTTCCTCGAAGCATCGATGAAACGGTTCGGTCTGTTCACTGCGAGCAAGTGAAACGACTCGATCATACATCCGGCGCGCGTTCATGCGCGATTACAGCGAACGCGAGCGTGGATTCTTGTAAACGAATTCGCGTTTTACGACCGCGCCAGAAGGCAATTAGCCGACCGATAAAGATGTAGGCGCGTAATCTATGATTGCGACCGGTTGTTGTTACTATGTTACGACTGGAACGGCAATCTTGATCTTTTGAAAACCGTAGAAAAAACCCCAGTAATTAACGGAAGATCGCTGGATCCGCCACGACGCAGATGGCAAGAGGTCGTGGCTTGTTCTCTGCTACACCATTCGGCTCCAGCAGCGAGATAAACGTCCACGGATCGACCTACTGCTCCTTTCTCGGCGATGCGGGAGCACTTTTGCTCCTCCTCCCTTGCGCGATCTTGCTCCTCGAAGAGTTCCACTCTCTCGAACCAGTAATTGCTGCGAAAGAATTCGATTCGGTTGTAATCGAAAAATTACTACAGCGTTTACACCGAGATCATCGCCGCTATTACTTCCCTAGGTCTCTTCTTCGCCGGTTATCCTTCCCCGTTATCGTTCACCTTTATTCCCGACTCCATCGATCACAGGACTCTTTTTCTTCCGCAGGAACAAAGAGGCCGGGCATCGATCACGCGTGATCGATCGACGAACGCCGGCTGTCGTCGATCGCTTCCTCCTCCTCGTCCAGGATCGAGTTCCAAGCTGCTCCCAAGCCCTGCTATTCAGCGCGATGCCAATGATACAGATTTGCTCGGACATGTTGGCGCAACTGGAAATTAAGCGGAGGCGCTTTCCATTAGAACAACCTGATTCATACGTTGAAAACTGTTTAATCGGTTCCAACTTCCGACTGTAACAGTCACGAACAACCAAATAAATCTCATAATCGCCCAATTAGAACAGTTATGACTTACGAGACTCTTTACGTTCTCAACAATTGTTTTCAAACCTTGTTTTAATCGGTTGCAATTTTCGGTAGCGTTAAGTCGGTCCGGTCTCTGTCAGATTCCAGAAAGACACGACCGAATTAGCTCGGTATCGGAGACAGACATAGCCACGAGTAAACAGAGGCGCAATAGCTGGCGACAGAGAATGAGATAGATAGATAGATAAATAGATTGATGGATAGATGGATAGATATATAATATATGTATATATATAAATAGATAGATGGATAGCTGGATAGCTGGATAGGTAGAGAGACGGAGAGATAGATAGATAGATAGATAGATAGATAGATAGATAGAGAGAGAGAGAGGGAGAGAGAGAGAGTGATAGAGGGAGGAGAGGGAAGATAGGAGGAGAGAGTTAGGCGTGTTGCTGACAGATTCCCGACGCAGGCGATTAGGCTAATCGGCCGGGCAAATATGTGCGATGGTATTAGCGTGGGCGGCCGCGATAAAGTCGGGCAAATTGCCGCGATGCGATTCAACGGATCATTATCCATCTGGCACGTTCGACGATCCGCGATTTCGACGGATGATTTCAGGCGTTCGCGGCTCGAATCTCGTTTTCGGGAGCGGCGCGGATCTTGCGGAAAAGGAAAAGCAAAACGACGAGAAAGAGAAGAACAATTAAAACGGATGGCACAATCCTTGTCACGCGACGCGGTCGCTTTTAATCGCTTCCTCCTGCTCGGCGAAACGCTTCGACGTCGCCTCGTTGCCCAATTATTTCTGCAACGACAACCGCCGTTACAATTTCGCGGGCGCCACCGTTCTATTAGCGAGCAATCCACCGTTCTTCCGACTCGTTGGAATTTTCTTTCCGCGCGTTCACAGTGTTCGAAACGAACATTCACGAAATTAGTAACTCCCGAACCAATTGATTTTCGATCTAGGACAGTTTTGACGCTAAAAGTATCGTTCCGGTCGAAATGACCGGTTTCACATTTTTTCATTTCGAGTTGTTCGAATCGTATACTTTTGTCCCGTGGATCGAACACACCGCGTCTCGAACACACCGCGTCTCGCAGGAAACATCTATCTTATAATTGCTCGCGACTGGCTTGCACCTTTGCACCGCCGTTTATCAACGTTCGCGGAACATTCCTAACGCGACCGTCGCATTCGATCCAGAAGGAACGCACTCGAAAATATCGGTATCGATCACGACCCGTGGTCGAATCGCTACCCGCGATTTTGCAGTTTGAATGGCAAAGCGACGGAGGCGGTATTCCGCGTGGAAGCCCGAGTCGGAAACGTGGTGTAAATCATCCAATTCTAACACTTATTGTTAACGAGGCTAGCTCTGCTGTCTCGCCGTGACAGATCGTTTCCACTCGTCGCTGCAACGTATCGACAAGCGACGCAGAGTATTATAATCAAACGTTAGTCGACAACGGAGTGCCCGACCGTTGATCGTTTCGCTCTTCGTCGAAGAATAAACACGTTAAGCTCGATAAAATCTGGAGGATCGAGGCTCGAGTGTTCGACATGCAGCGAAAGCGTCGTTAACAGAGAATCTCTCGACGGCCAAAGTGACGTGTTATCGCTCGCAGAAGATGCTACTGTCCGTTGTGACGTTGATAACAAATTGATCGAGTCGTGGACACTCGAGGGCAGGTCCCTCTCGGTCGAGTAGTAATCGCGTGAATTATGTAATGGCCTCGAAATAACGTGGAACAATTTGCCAAGGAACATCCTATTTTCGCGGTCGTTTCTATTTCGAACGTGTTTCGATACGCTGAAAGCAGAGAAACCGTGCCGCGTCCAGCGTCGTCGGGTCAAGTGCCGCTAGCAGCGATAAATAATTACAACTGCCGGACGGTGACGCTGGAAATTCGAACGATCGAATGTGCCAACTGATTCGGGACAGGCAAAATTATCGATCCGACTACTCGCGTGCTTGTCCGCGTTAACGTTTCCCATCTTAACGCCAAAAGCTAAACTCGCCTAAAGCTACCGAATGTGTGTTGAAAGCGTGACCTGTGCGCTTGAAATTTTTGTCTCTCCGATGATCGACGTTTGCAACGTTAACGCACCACAGGGCCTTGGGCCTTGGGCCTTGGGTATTCGCAATGCTGTCTCGAAGCTATTCGAATTAGCTTTTTACTCGACGGCTTCGCAATGGTACTACAGCCACCGGTGTCGGCCCCTCGCAAGATACAGCGGTGCGATCCGGTTCGGATGAAAGGGTGCANGATAGCTGGATAGCTGGATAGGTAGAGAGACGGAGAGATAGATAGATAGATAGATAGATAGATAGATAGATAGAGAGAGAGAGAGGGAGAGAGAGAGAGTGATAGAGGGAGGAGAGGGAAGATAGGAGGAGAGAGTTAGGCGTGTTGCTGACAGATTCCCGACGCAGGCGATTAGGCTAATCGGCCGGGCAAATATGTGCGATGGTATTAGCGTGGGCGGCCGCGATAAAGTCGGGCAAATTGCCGCGATGCGATTCAACGGATCATTATCCATCTGGCACGTTCGACGATCCGCGATTTCGACGGATGATTTCAGGCGTTCGCGGCTCGAATCTCGTTTTCGGGAGCGGCGCGGATCTTGCGGAAAAGGAAAAGCAAAACGACGAGAAAGAGAAGAACAATTAAAACGGATGGCACAATCCTTGTCACGCGACGCGGTCGCTTTTAATCGCTTCCTCCTGCTCGGCGAAACGCTTCGACGTCGCCTCGTTGCCCAATTATTTCTGCAACGACAACCGCCGTTACAATTTCGCGGGCGCCACCGTTCTATTAGCGAGCAATCCACCGTTCTTCCGACTCGTTGGAATTTTCTTTCCGCGCGTTCACAGTGTTCGAAACGAACATTCACGAAATTAGTAACTCCCGAACCAATTGATTTTCGATCTAGGACAGTTTTGACGCTAAAAGTATCGTTCCGGTCGAAATGACCGGTTTCACATTTTTTCATTTCGAGTTGTTCGAATCGTATACTTTTGTCCCGTGGATCGAACACACCGCGTCTCGAACACACCGCGTCTCGCAGGAAACATCTATCTTATAATTGCTCGCGACTGGCTTGCACCTTTGCACCGCCGTTTATCAACGTTCGCGGAACATTCCTAACGCGACCGTCGCATTCGATCCAGAAGGAACGCACTCGAAAATATCGGTATCGATCACGACCCGTGGTCGAATCGCTACCCGCGATTTTGCAGTTTGAATGGCAAAGCGACGGAGGCGGTATTCCGCGTGGAAGCCCGAGTCGGAAACGTGGTGTAAATCATCCAATTCTAACACTTATTGTTAACGAGGCTAGCTCTGCTGTCTCGCCGTGACAGATCGTTTCCACTCGTCGCTGCAACGTATCGACAAGCGACGCAGAGTATTATAATCAAACGTTAGTCGACAACGGAGTGCCCGACCGTTGATCGTTTCGCTCTTCGTCGAAGAATAAACACGTTAAGCTCGATAAAATCTGGAGGATCGAGGCTCGAGTGTTCGACATGCAGCGAAAGCGTCGTTAACAGAGAATCTCTCGACGGCCAAAGTGACGTGTTATCGCTCGCAGAAGATGCTACTGTCCGTTGTGACGTTGATAACAAATTGATCGAGTCGTGGACACTCGAGGGCAGGTCCCTCTCGGTCGAGTAGTAATCGCGTGAATTATGTAATGGCCTCGAAATAACGTGGAACAATTTGCCAAGGAACATCCTATTTTCGCGGTCGTTTCTATTTCGAACGTGTTTCGATACGCTGAAAGCAGAGAAACCGTGCCGCGTCCAGCGTCGTCGGGTCAAGTGCCGCTAGCAGCGATAAATAATTACAACTGCCGGACGGTGACGCTGGAAATTCGAACGATCGAATGTGCCAACTGATTCGGGACAGGCAAAATTATCGATCCGACTACTCGCGTGCTTGTCCGCGTTAACGTTTCCCATCTTAACGCCAAAAGCTAAACTCGCCTAAAGCTACCGAATGTGTGTTGAAAGCGTGACCTGTGCGCTTGAAATTTTTGTCTCTCCGATGATCGACGTTTGCAACGTTAACGCACCACAGGGCCTTGGGCCTTGGGCCTTGGGTATTCGCAATGCTGTCTCGAAGCTATTCGAATTAGCTTTTTACTCGACGGCTTCGCAATGGTACTACAGCCACCGGTGTCGGCCCCTCGCAAGATACAGCGGTGCGATCCGGTTCGGATGAAAGGGTGCAGCGCAGTCATGGTCTCCCTATCGATCCGCGGAGAGATGGGAAAACGCTACGAGGAGGAATTTGGCAGAAGAGACTGTGCTCGCAGAGCGTTGTCGTATAACGGGAGCCCGTCGGTCTGGCAGAGGAGGAGCGTGTCTACATATAGAGGTGGCCGCGACTCGCGAAACGATTCAGTCTCGTCGAAGCCACGCGACGAGAATTCGACGGTCGAACCGCGTCCTCCCGATATCCTCCTGTCGATCAGAAGTTGATCCAGAAGCCGATCTAGACTCCGATCATCCGCCGGTGACGCGTGCTCCTCGGTGTGATCTCTTCTGTCGGTATCGCGGCGGATCGCTTCTCTCGGTGAGTTTGCTGAAACGACATTCGCAATTTTAGAGAACAGCTTGCTAATTCTGCGATCGACGATCGCGCGCGATATTTTTCCGGATAAGATTTCTCATTCGTTTGCTGTTTATCGATGCAGCGCGTCGCGTATCGAGCGAACCTTGGCCGCGGATTAAAGCTAAACCTGCCACGGTCGAAATCAGCAGTTTCTTTTGCAGGAAATTTCACAAAATCCAAACGAATTCGATCGAACGATCCACGCTATTATTACTCGATGGGTTTAGCGTTAATCCGAATTATTGCGTCGTGCTCGCGTTGGAAGACTGCGTCTTAATGATGTGTCACACACGTCGGTGACGGATCTTGTAAATAAAAGTTCTCGTAAATAATAGCGCAACGACTAATTATTCTATAAAAGTCGCGGCAGCCAGAAGCTGACAGATTTCGCGATATCGGAGACGAATCCCGTAGGATTAGCGAGGCTCACGTTGTCCGAGCGAATCGGAACGACTCGAGACAACGATTTACGACCGGTTAGACTCGATTTACGATCGCTATTCGCGCGACAGGCCCACGAATCCGCGATACACCGTGTTTACGAACTGTAATTCGCCAGTGTTTGCAATCGGCCCGTTGTATTTCAACGGATTCTAAGACGGTTGTCGCGGAAGATACGCTCGTTTGCTCAGGGCTACGCGATTCGAAGCGACGTCGATACCACCGAAACGAACGCCGACTCCTTGTCTAACGATCGATCGGAAGCTTCGACGTCGATTCGTCGAAACCATCGTATTCTCGAGATAATAAGTGATCGAGTTTAGGCACGTGGCTTCCGGGTCGGCGGATAATTCGCTTACTTTTGACTTTGAATCTCGATATTGAATCGCAAACGTTCGCGCGCAAACATCGCGGAATTAAAAATTCATTTTTATTTTTCATCGTTAACACGATTCAGAAACCTCTGCTGTTTTATCCCAGAACATTCGAATTTTTCCGCGATTGCGCTCGATGCCGTCTACATATACGTAACCGGCGTAAATTTTCAGCGGACAGGCGAACTCGTTCGATAAATCACTGGCCGATATGGAGCAAGGTGGCGTCTCGATAATAACGCCGACCGGGATCACGGAAAATTCTGTAGGGAAATCGAAGAGCATCGGGATCACGTTCAGCTCCAGACCAAGTCTGCAGGCCGCCAAGGAGAAGCTCAAGACCCCTTGTGAGTACGAATTATATTCTATAGCGTGTGCAAATCTTGTTTGCGTTCGAGTCCTCTTTGCTACCTTTTGCATCCTGTCGACGATTCCACCAGCAGATCCAACGGGGTTGCGAGAGTTCTCCGTGAAGGAAAACAGAGTTAGCTTTGCTCTTGTTTTTCGAGTAGCGCGACTCTGCGTCCCCTTCGTTCTCTACTTCGAGCATCGGCAAAAATTCTCCAGCCTATCCGTCGGGGTTGCAAGGTCTCTCTTGCGAGAAGATTAAATTGCAATCGATGCATAGGATATTTTTGTACTATAGAGAACGTAACAGGTTGCAGGTGAAATGCCGGCGACGGAGGAATGCGAACGGCGCGAAACAATGTCTTTCGTTTCGTGGCCTGGAAATAGCGATTCCGTTCGCTCGTGATATCGAACGGGACGGGCACGAGACAGGCGGCCACGTGATCCACGTTTCTCTCGCGTTTTCCACGTTCTAGATACTTTCGCGAGGAACTTTCTTTCCGCCGGTGCTCGCCGCGGGAAACGCTCTCTCCCCTCGATCATTGGTCAATTTTCGTGCCGAGCCGCGATTAGGATTGCCGAGAGGATGGATAGCCTCTCGCGATTACGAGACGCACGAGCGACCTACGATCTTCATGATCCATGGTTGCCACACGATCATTCCGGATCACGGGCTATTTCTCCATCGAGATCGTCGACCCCTCTAATTTTCAACTTTGAACATTTTTCCTGCCTCGATCGTTGAAGCTATGCGATCGACGCTTACGTAGGATGTTTCTTTAGCCTCTCTCGAATGCAACAGCATTCGTTTTTTCTTTTAAATTCGCGAATGTTTAAATAATATTAAACGTCGATGACGTATGCAGACGGCTCGTTCAAATTCGTTCCAAGCGGCTCTGTAGCATCCTTTGCGGTTTCAAGAGAAAGGAGGCACAAAAACCATGATCGAACTTAGGGTTTCCAAGTATCAAAGGCAAACGCGATATCTAGATCGCCTTTCTCCATTCCTGTTTCGTTTCCCCCGACGGAAATCGCCAGCATTTTGAAACCTGCGGAGCAAAGCCTCGAATAAGATCACGGTACGTTGGCCAACGATCCTCTAATCGCGCTAATTATCGGTCCCGTAACACTTATCGGTCAACTAATTGGAGAATCGGAAGTGTACACAGCGATTCCTCTCCATCCGCCTGCTACGCTAACCGCAAATAATATTTTTCAAGATAATCGTTCCAGATGATAATTACGACGGAGAATTAGATAACGCTGCTCCACTTTGGTTGTGTCGAAAAGAGAAACGTTTAATTTGTTTGTGCAATTATGACTGTTTCCAACGCGAAGTAGATCAGCTACAGTAACCCGTTGGATCCGTGTAAACATAAATGGAACGGGTACGCGAACGGTAACGCTGACAAGTGAGACAGTGGGTCAAGTTCTCGGCAACCGGTGTGGGTCAACGAAACCTCTCAAGGTCCCACCTTTACCGTGTCATCGTCTCGTTGACGATCCCTAACGGTGTCTCGTCTATCAGGAATTCTCATTTTACCTTTCAACTTCGGTCGACTCTCCTGAGAAAAATCATCCGTGTTTCCATTCCTTGGATTCTCTTCGGGAACATCGATCTCTCCATCTGCATAGAAATTGTGTCCATCGATTGCCCGATACATCGAAGGTTCTTACACATTTTGTAACACGTATCTCTTGTTCGTACAAAAGTCTCCCGATCGTTCGAATTAATTTTTGTTGCACGGGAAATGTTCTTCGTCTCCCTGATAAATCATTCTCTTGTTACTGAAAAATTACATAGTACTGGTAAACGAACTTCTTCGAATTAGAATCGAGTAAAAACAAGTTCTTCCTTATCGATCAAGGGTAACCGAAAGAAAGGAAGCGCGAGAAAAAACGGGGAAAAAAGTTCGGCTTCGAAAGAAGAGATGGCGTTCGGATGGCCGTGAGAGGATCGTTAATTAAGAACGAGGCTCCTGGCGCAGCGGGCTTTCCAGCCCGGAGCCTTTCACTATTTTCTAAATCCAGCCGCGCGTTACTTTCTCGATCTACAATTACTTGTGGAGTAACTTTCATTGTAATTACCGGCACCACCCTCCGAATGCTTCGCAATTCACAATTAACACGCAGAGATGTTCCTTTCCCCTTGAAAGAAACTTTCGCTCGTTTCCTCTTTTCTGAAACAGAAGAAACAATATAAAATAGATTTACGCCTCGTACAATTTGAAAGTGGAACAAGTTATTTGAAAGAAAACAATGAATACGTTAAAAAATATTTTAATAAAAGAAAGATCATCGAACGATTCGTTCGCGTTCGATGGGAATAAAAAGAAAACGAAAATTAGTTTCCTCTAATCGTCCAAGAAAATATCCGCGCCGCGATAGATGAAGACGTTTGCTAACAATTTCTTTGACCGATGTAATCACCGCGAGTTGCGTCACGATTTTATGTAATCGTTCAAGTAATTCGTTGCATATGGATTACGATGGAAATTATAAATTCGGTGCGCGCCTCTTTCTGCTCGATTTTATCGAGTGACCGAAATCAAAGAATTTGCAGGACAGTTCATCGAACGGTATATTAAATCGTCGAATAGGAATTCGATAAACTTTTCGCGGCATAATTTGACCCGGCTCGATCTTTGGGTAAAACGGTAGCTCGTTAAGGAAACGACCAGTTTCGAGGGAGGTCAGCGAGTTAGAAGTCCGGAAGCGGTTTGACCCAATGATAATCGAACGGCAACCGGATGGAATTTTTAACCGAGTTTTGGGGCAGAAGCGAAAAGCTGCAATTGACATTATTCTCTGGTCGTGTAAATGACTCAAGTTTTTAACTATCATCCGAGAGATAGATATTAGCGCAACGTTTCAAATTGAAACTTTCAATAGTTTCAGCAAATAGCAGATTAGTCGGCACTTTTCTCGAAAGTACCTGATTCATCACCGATCCGTATACAAGGCCGAGCCTGCTAAATATTATTACGCAATTGTAAATAACAGTATTAACATAATTATCATCGACAATGAGTTGTCCGGCAAGGCAGAGGCTCTCCATTGTAAGAAAAATGATTCCGGTACAGAACCGAGTCCAAAAAATAATAAACGATCGTTGTCCTCGATTCTGTGCGTATCTGCAGACGTCTCGGTGATCCAGGAAGCCAATTCCAATCATCGTGGATGATCGCTGTCGTTCCAGACACAAGCCGGACAGATCCGCCTAATGGAAATTGCGCGGGACACGTGTTGCCTTCTAATCGCCATGTGGTTGACACACGGTTAATCACGGGAACTCGGTGGCAATTCGATATTCCGGAACGAGCCTAGGGTGCACGAACTCTGGCACCGAGTTCCTCGGAGAATCTATCATAAAGTTGGGAGAATTTTCCGAGCGATCCGGTCCCGGATTCCCGATGAATTGCTGCAGTCTTTAGAACTCTATATCTGCCTTTGTGCCTCCGTTCCAATAGAACTCTCGAGTCTCTGGGACACAGCTTTTAATCGATCAGGCTCTTGTCTGAAAGATAATAGTTTTAAGTTCAAGGTGAAAATATAGAAGAGTGTAGAGTATAGTAGTTGTGTATAGTAGAGGCCGCAGAAGTTTGCAGACACCCTGTTTTAAGATTAGAACTAAACGGTGGAAACAATTATGTCGGAACGTTGCCTAACGCAGCCTCGGTTTCCCGTCGAGGTTGCACCCGAGGCAGTCCGGAGCCCTGGAACTTCCACGCAGATTCTCGCTTGACCCTTAACACCGTTAGTTTACGGGGTAATCACGTTTCAGCAACTTCCTTGGGCCGAAAGTTCAAAAGTGCGGCTGCTTCGACTAGCAGGGTCTCTGCAACTCTTCCCCCCCTCTCTCTCTCTCTCTCTCTCTCTCCCACCTTCCTGGCCCGAGACCCTTATTATTATCGCGTCGTCTCCGCGACGTGGTTCTTAATTTACATGATAAACAGCAATTTAGTTTACCTGAAAACGATCCTCGCTTAATCGTCTAAGAAATTGACGACTCTGTACAGAATCTCTTCGGTAGTACAGTGTCCTTGGGCTTATCGGCACGCCAACACGGGAAGTGTATGTTTAGAGAAACGGATAGACTATCCAACGCTACCCCGGCTGTAGCTACCTGTTTGATTTACAGGGTTGAGCGTCCTGATGAAGGAAGATGCCACCCGCTGGGAGATGTTACTGGCGGCTCTAGCAGAGATGGTTGGCACCGCGCTGCTGGTGTTTATAGGATGCACCGGCTGCATAGGGAGCCTGGGCGTCTCGCCCAGCGTCCTGCAGCTGTCATTAACCTTTGGCATAGCCGTGCTGATCGCCATACAGGTAAACATGCTCGACGATTTTCCGATAACGCAACTTTCAAACTTCTCCATCTCCTGGCTCCATTTCCTACCTAATCTTTGTCTTCAGTGCGTGGGACACATCAGCGGCGCGCACATCAATCCCTCTATCACGATAGCAGCGATGATCCTAGGTACGAAATCGCTTCCAATGACAGCAGTGTACATCTTGTCGCAGTGCATAGGATCTCTGGTCGGCTACGGCTTCCTCAGGGTACGCGAGCCTTCTCTCCTAGAGCATCTTTGGAGACCTAAACAATTGAGATTATTAAGAATCTTTCGTTTTCCTTTTCGCGATAGCTTATTACTCCAGCGGAGATGGTCTACTCTACGACACCAGAGTCGGCAGCCTCCTTTTGCGTGACCGACGTCAACGCGAACCTGACGATCATACAGGGTTTCGGTGCAGAGGCCTTCGCCACCGGGATCCTCGTGCTATTCGCCTGCGGGCTCTGGGATCATAGGAACTCCGCGAACTCTGACTCGGTGCCCATCAGGTTCGGCCTTTGCGTCGCTGTGCTCTGCATCGTCTTCATCCCCTATACCGGATGCAGCTTGAACCCTGCTAGGACTCTGGGTCCTGCCGTCTGGAACGGCTACTGGAGGGACCACTGGCTCTTCTGGCTGGGACCTTTTACCGGATCCGTGGTCGCTTCGTCGATGTACCGGTTTCTTTTCCGGGACAATAGGCACGAGTTCGAGACCTAAGGAACGAAGGTAGATAGATGCTCGGACTTGGTTGTCCATTTGTTGCGCCTAGCAGGTCGAGGAACCATTTGTTGCGTCTGCCAGAGCCGCATGCGGGTCTCAGCAGACTCGGAAAATTGCTTTCGAACGCGTAGCAGGTCTCCACGGACTGCATCCGACCCCTTTCTTTCAGCCAGCAATTGCATTTCGGTGGTTCACGGTACGCAACTCGGAATCCTGATCGAGGTCTCTCCGTCTCCGCCTCTTCCTCTCCTGGATCTAGAAGCTCGAAACGTAGCTGGCTCTTCGGCGGCGGCGATCTGGAAGAGAAATGCGAGGATAGTCTCCGGAGAAAGTGAAGATTGCGCCACGAGTGGAGGACTTCTCGGTCATCGATCGACCTTGGACGATTCGTTCGTGTACAAAGTATTCGATAAGGGTCTTCGCTCGCTCCAAGCGCCGTCCAACTCTTGCCAACTCCACGTATGCCTACCAGGCTTCTAGAATAAGTTGGAGCGACGAAAGTTATGTAAGATACGCTGTGGGTCTAGACCTTGGCTGGTTGGCTGGTTTATAGGCCTATTATGTGGGACTAACCCGCGTGCGTTCGGATCGCCGATGCCGAAAAGATGGACGAGAAATATTCGCGGGAGACGGTATTTCAGCGGAACGAAGCGCCGGACCACGAATTCGCCGCTCGTTAGGGCGGTTGTCCTTTCCGGGAGACAACGGAGCCGAGCGGAACAGGGCAGTGCAGGGCAGAGCAGAGCGGAGCCGGTGCATTCCGTGTGGAAATTCGAAATAACGGAATTAGTGGCGCGCGTCCCGGAAATTACCCGCGGCGGTGTCGCTCGCGGAAACTTTTAATTGTGGCCCGGTTTGTGCTGCGAGCATGCTCGCCGCTCCAGCTACATCGACCTCTTGTTCGCAGCGTGCACAGTCGCAGTCGGCGTCCTCCCGAGCGAGTGTCAGAGGTGGCAAGCAGAGAAATAAATTTGATACGTTTTATCAAGCCTCCTTCTCTTCGTTTTCTTCATCCCCATCTCGAATCCTTCCGTCTGAAACAGAGCATCGATTGGAACAAGACGTTATCGGGCAGCTAGGATTAACTGTTCAACCTTTGGAAGACGCTGGTTCAAGGTATAGACTTCTCGTCTCTTCTTTCTAGTTCTTCGTCGCTCTTTTCGAATCGTACTATCTAAAATAGAGCATCGATTAGTCAAGATTCCCAGCAAGAAGAAAAGTGATTATCGGGTTCCTCCGATCATTGCTTCGACCTTTGGAAGACAGTCTCTCTCTCTCTCTCTCTCTCTCTCTCTTCATCACCTTCCCGGTACGTTAATTCGTCGTAAGGTACAGTCTTCCAGCAATTAATCAATCGGCGCTCGTTCCTCGAATTTCCCAGTGGCACGCGCTCTCGTTTCTGAATCATTCCGTCTTCGCGTTCCTCGTCTGGATCATCAACGAGTATTCTCTGCAACCAGGAAGATAGCATTTCACCATTGTACTTGGTTAAATTGGATGTTTGAACTGCTCCAATTTGACTCGTTTATTTACGAAGAGCCCGATACTGCCACGCATCGATACCCTGACTCTGAACTTCCACCTTACGATAATACGATTAGGCGTTTCATGTGTTTTTATCTGCAGTTGGGGAAGACCCATTGCAGATTAAGCTACCTCCGCCATTGAATGTTCGCTCTGTCGAACGTTGAATCCAGTTAACGTTAAATGGAATGCTAAATCAAATTTGGAGCTTTTAGAGCGTAAACTTGATCGGATCCGCTGGAGGACGAGTTCGCTAAGATCTAGAGGATTTACCGAGCTAGATCCTAGCTAGAGCGAGAGCCTCGATGACCCAGAATCGCGTTACTCGTTGCAGCGACGTTGTTTGCGAGAACAATTGCAGCGGGTGAAGAGAGAGAGAGAGAGAGAGAGAGAGAGAGAGAGTTTGTCGAACGAGGCGAAAATAAACGCACGATTCGGTTTGGGAAAATCGAAAATAAACTCGGAGAACGAGAAGAGAGCCGGGAGCGGAAGGTGGAGGTGGCGGAGTAGAAGGAAGAGGTGGTGCACGTTGATTCGACGGCGGGCCACGTGCCGCATGCCGTAGCGATAAATTGCGTACGATCGTCCCCGGCGTATAGAGACGCGTTCAGTCGCGCGCGCCGCCTTCGCCACGATCTATACCCTCGATCCACCTCGATCCCCGTGCGAACATAGAGAGACACACCGGGTCAGTGTAGTGAGTGTCTTCGACAATATCGTTGATCATGTCCTCGAACGATCTACGGTCAGGTAAGCCGATCGATCTTCGATCGCTTTTTATATGTATAGCTCCGTTTCAACCCAGATTTACAAACACGAGCCATTCAAGACCTCTCCGCTACTTATGCCGAGTCCGATAAGAGTGCACCGTTGTTTGCGTTAAATTCGATGAAAGCGAATGGAAGGAAAGAGCAACAGACTCTCGATAGACTCTTGACCCTAATTCTCTAGGATCCTGTTTACACGTTTAGCTATTTACCAAGTTCAACGAGGATAGATCGAAGAAAAGAACCGCGGGAAGAATTTAATTTTGAATTTACGTTAGCGCGAAGTGCACGGTATAGGAAGAAAGAATTTCAGACCAGAAATAAAAAGATTGAAGGGGTAGATCGTGATCGAGGGCTCGTCCGTAGGGAGAGCGAGGAAGGGCGGCAGAGAGAGGAAGCGAAAGAGAGAGAGAGAGAGAGAGAGAGAGAGAGAAAGAGATGTCCGTAGGCTCGTTAAGCCGGTATCAGCAATTAGAGCAACGCGGACGAAGTTCTTGGCGGGAAATCGGTCGCGGAGTCAGAGGTTCGTCGTGGACGATGAATATTTCAAAAGGAGCAGACCTCGCGAATGCTTGTTTCCTGTAGAGCTTTAATTATTCATCGGTTCCCTTCTTATCGTCGCCCAGCTTTTCTTCGTTTGTTTACTCCTCGGTCGCTTTCTCCGTTCCACGATAACGCCTCGACGGTGGATCACGCTGATTTGGCTCCTGAAAATACGCGAAATTAACACAGTGGTCATAAAATGGGCCAAGCATCGGATCGATATCGCAGATGCCGGCCCTTTTCGGTTTTAGAAATGAAAGAAATTGGATACAGACGGAGCATACGAACGTACAGTGGCTTGAATGTTCCAGATGCGAGGCAACGATCGCCTCGATATCGAAAACAAGCCCTACGAAACGATCGGAGTCATTGCCACCAGTTCCGGTTTAACAAGAGACGTTTAACGGTGTTAATCGTCTCGTTAACTTTTCTTGCGTATCGATTCTAAACGTGCATAAGTAGTAAACACGTGTCGCTTATCGGGGTTCCCATTATCGCGACAAAAGTGCTCGACTATTCGAAGAGACGTTTTACTTTAGTTCGAATTATTGCCCGATTGCCAGGCGGACGATAGCCGGCTGATTACGGGACAGTTTCGGATAAATCGCGGCGGATCGATCGGCGTTTGCGAAATCGCCGCGGGATCGGCTGGAGGGCAAATGTTATCAATGTTAACCCCGCGCCCGACGGCGCGTCTTCTCGCCTTCTTTCGCGTTCAGACGATAACTCGTACAATTTGTCCCGTTCGCCTTTGAACATCCCGTCGTCGCGTCGCCCTTATCGGCCGCTCGTATTTCATCGCGGAAGCTTCTCGGATTACCTGCCATCAACCGATAAACGGAATTTTCTCGACGGAATCTCCCTAGCGAGCTGCTACGCGATTATGTCAATTCCAGAAGAGTACAGTGGAAGAAGAGCTTCCAGCCCAAAGATCCAAGCAACAGAGGAATCGAAAGCCCTTCGCCGATCGATCGTTCCAGCAAAGCTCGGGAATCTCGGAAAACTAAAATAAAAAGATTTACCGAACGTTTAGTGAAACGTCTGGCATGAATGAGAAACGAAGGCTGAGTCGTTACGACCGATCGCGTGTGACGTTGCTCGCATATTTAGTGGAAACACGCTTTTTATCAACGACGATGACACAGCTGCGAGAGATACGACTGTTGAAACAGGCCGGCGTTCGAACGTTTCACCGTACGAAGAAAAGTCACGTCGGGTCAAGATTTTCTGTGGAGTCGATCGGGCCCGGTCGCGTTACCTTGATCTCGGATAAAAGGGATCAGAGTTCGCGCGAACACAGAAAGAGCGTCGAGGAGAGAGGGTTCCCAGGCCAGCGACCTCTTAGCGATCCGTGGCTAACAACCGAGCAGGATACCGACGAACAATTTATCTGTTAATTCTTGGCCTAAAGAGACGCGCGGAGTCCATCGCGCAAACTTTAAAGTAGACTCTACGGCTCGTTGTCAGCGTACACAGTTCCCGACAAACAGGAACCGAATGGAATCTCGAGACGATCAATATTGACTCGCCGTTGACTGGCCGATCGTTAGCGATTCGAAAAGCACTCGCGACTTCGCTGTTGTCTTAATACGGTTGGCGTTTCGGAAATATTCGATGGTTTCGCCCGGTGATCGACGAACCTCGCTCGCGTGGACGCGTCGTCCTCGATATATCGACGAAACAGTTACAGAGATACGGCTAACAGATTTTTAGTAACTCTCAAGGATTCGATTTTCAAGCAGGTGCGAAAGGACTCGACGCGTCTCCGAATTTATTACGATCGGTGTGTCCGCGAGTCGACGATCCGAAAAAATTCCAAAACGCGCACCGTGGAGTGTGCGCGGAATTCACAGATTTTTTTCGGCATTTTGGTTCCCTGAAATCTGGCCGCAAGAAATTTCGAAAAAATCCGGAATACGCAACGCGTCGCAGCTTCCGCGCTGAATACGAGGTAACGTTTAGAATGCGAATGAATTTTTTGGAAATTTTCCAGCGGCTCGGGAGATTTTGAGCGGCCTGTAGAGACGCAGCTACCGCGTTGCATCGAATCGATCCGAAGGATTAATCGGTTCCCGTTATCAACGGCAACAAATGGCCCACTTGGATACGAATACCAGATCCAGTCCTTTCTTCTCCCTCCAGCTTTATTTTCTTTCCCGATCCGGAACGCCCATTGTAATGAGAAACGTTGTTGCGCAACGGATCCTGTTAAAGTAATAGAGCGATCGAAGGATCGTCGGCGGCACAAATTTTCCATGCACGAGTAATTAGAAAACGAATGCTACGGGCGTCCGCGTCCGCTTTAGCGCCGCTCTCCGATCATTCTCCCTCTATCTCTTCGTCTCTCCTTCTCTTCCATCCTCGCATGATTTTTTTTCGCTATCGTTTTTGCAACCGCGTCGGTAATATCATGCTGGCCGGCAACTTTGTGGCAATTCCTTTTGTTTATCCGTATCCTGATTACCGGTGTGCACATGTTCGCGCTTTTCATTCGTGCATGGATGTCCGTTTTTCTGCATTTCAGACACGTGTGCGATCTATTTTTAGCCCTCGCGCATACAACGTCGCACCTGTGCCGTCAGGTGCATCGAGCACAATGGTCTTGGCGAATCAGAAATTCCGTAAATACCGATGCTATTATCATTTTCCTAGTGTTTTCCTAGCCACGAAGGATTCCCTGGCGATGCTTATCTTCGCAGTCTTGAAATCCTGCTAATTAGTTGCTTCGGAGGATGATCGGAATCGTTCCGGACACAATGTGCGCGAAGCGATGAAGTTACGATCGGGAAAAATAGCCGCGTAACTAATGGAGAACGAGAAGCTGCGATTTTCAGTTAATTTTCTTTCTTGGTGCACGTAACGTGTTTCAATATTTAATTGAATTTTAATTAGCGTTGCACGAAACGCGGCCTGCACGCGCTATGCGTCGACCGAAATTATCGTTTGTCATCGCAATTACCAATTACTGCCGTGGAAACGAATATAAAAGGCAAAGAAACGTGTAATTCCGTGGTGATTATCATCATAAACAGCATGAAGCGTTAGTTGCAGCTTTTTCCCAGCGCAGCGATTCGCTGAAGAGACATAAAACGCTTCATGTTGCGCTGTAAAGTGCAGCTTCTTTGTTACAATCTCGATCGTGATTGTTTCATTGTGCAAAAAGACGAAGGAATTCGCACCGGACGTATTCCCAGACCGGAAGCGAATCGCATCTCGGGGAATCCTGAAAAATTCCAATTAATTATCATAGTCCTTCAGAAAAATCAGCGTTTTTTTTCGTATAAATAAATTTAACCCCTCTACTCTAATTTTCAAAGTCAAAGAATTCTGGAACATGCAGGCACGCAGCTTCATTATTTTCGGAATTTTCGGGTCCGAGATCGATCCTTGATAATACCGAGCGCATAAAGATCTGGCCGTCCGGTGATCAGCGATGCAACGCTCACCGCTGGAGTGCATCGTGATCGAAGTACCGCGATCCACGCGACTCCTCGCTATCCGGGATTCACCGGTGTGCCAGCGATTTCGTTTAACGCGCCCGCCCCGATATTCCATCGATCGCCTCTCTATAAAACAGGAAAATAGATATTCGCGTAAAGATCCACGGTTTAATAGTAGTTTTGACCTAACTCTACCTCGTATCCCTATTGTTTGGATGAAAACTTGAGCACCCAGGTCCTAGATATCGTCCAGAGTACCCTAGGAAATCAGACTCTAACAACGATCTGGTCCAACTTCGTTCAAAAGTTCTCTAGCTCCATCCGCAGGGGGTATTGGCAGGTTCTAGCATCGATTTAATCTAGATAATCGTAAATCAGGGGCTAACTTCGACAGGCCTGGATAATGTAATCGGTGACCGACCGAGTTATCCCGGTAAACTTGACTATCTCGATAGCTAGAAAAAGTATCCTCTAAGCGACGATTCAAGGCGCCGGTATCCATGCCAAGGCAGTCGATATTCAACGAGTTCCGTGCCGGTTGTAAATTAGTTTGATGCTGGCTTCTCGATGGAATATCGATGCAGGAATTCCTACATGCGCTCCTCAGCATCCGGCGACGGTGCTGCGACGATCCCATGCGCGGAAGTCGATCGTAAATCACTATCATCTCTCCCTTCTCTTCCATTTACAATCTTCCTTGGAACCTCTTAGGCAGATCGGCAATGCTTGTCTCTTGTCTAGACAAGGGTCTCAGGGTCTGACATCATTACTTGGTGGACTTGTTTGTCGACCGATTGGTAAAATTCCTTCAAATTCTGTCGACCATTAGTTGGGACGATAAGATTAGGCGTAGAACCGATCGTGTTTACGAGCGATTATCTGAGACACTTGCGTCAACCGTTGAAAACTTAATCGTTGCCTAGCAGTCAGTGGGATCGACGGTAGTCAACGGAAACGGTGCGCGTCCTTCGTCTGGCCGTTCTCGTCGAGCGCCAGCGCCAAGCCTCTTGCACTTGCAATTCTTACTCGGTCGGTGGAAGTGGTTCCGAGTGCACGTCGACCGCGCCGACTCGTCCAACTAGACATCGCAGGATGCCTTTAGATTTCGGTAAGGATCCGAGCCTTGTTCGCCGTTCGCGTCCTCTTGCTTTTCCTCGTTCTCTTTGGCGACCAAGCAACGCCGGCAAGGATGGCCTGCAGCGCCTATGGCCGCGAGGATTCGCGGAGTCTGCGTCGCGAGTTCCCCAGATCTTCGATCTCCCGTCGCGGCCCGATATAGGACACCGAGGCTACAGGCTTGCTCAAAACTCGCGCGCCAAGCTCCTCCGATTACCATCCGTTTGCTATTGCGTTTTATTGTTTTCGTTGCTTACAAATTACTGTCGCGTCCGATTCCAATCGCTTCGACCGGGGTCCAAATGTTGATACATTCTTTAAACTTTCTTACATCTCGCCATCTTCGAATCATTCTGTAGAATCCAGAGACTGCTTCTTCCTTAGACCCCTGAAAATCGAAGCAAGCGGTGATCTCGTTGAATCTTTTAAACACCTTGGTCTTTCTCGTCAATTTTGAATCATCCTGTAAGAGTTTACCGCGTGCTCCTAGACTTCAGAGAGTCTATTCCCCCTTGGGTCCCTAAAAATCAGAGCAATTAGAATTCGATCGAATCGTTTAAACACCTTGAAACCTCTCACCAATTTGTTATCGCCCTGTAGAACGCATCGAGAACGATCCAGTAATGATTACTCTTTGCTTGTGGTTGCGCAAGGCACAAGTAGGGTAGAACCGACAAAGTGGTTTTTTGGTTGATTAATTTCTTCGTTGTTCGCGACTGGAACAGCGGTTCTGCTTCCTCCGTCTGACCTTCTTCGAATTCTACCGTTTCCCTGGGACGCTGTATTAGGGTCAGGGCAGGCGAGACCATTTTACATATTTTATTTTTCCTGGTCTAGATTGCAAACTATCGATTGATTTGTGGTAACGAGAATGTGGCCTTTCTTTGCAGGCTTCAAGAAGCTGGTGGAGGGTGGCGGGGGCGTGAAGGCCACCCTGTTGACAGGGTTCTCCGAAGTACTCGGAACCGCTATCCTGGTGCTCGTGGGCTGCATGGGCTGCGTGGCCAGTCTAGGGGTGGTACCGTCGCATCTGCAGATCGCGTTGACCTTCGGCCTGGCAGTGATGCTCGTGATTCAGGTGCGCAAAGGGACTTTAAGTTTCTCCGCGTATAGGTTGCGGCTGAAAAATCAGTAAAAACTTCGACGATATCACGCGAGATCTTCGCGCAATTTATCGACCGCTTCTCCACTCGGAATTAAATTTAATCGGCTTCGATAAGATCGAGAGGTTCGTTTGGGATAGTTGATAATCAAATTGATGATTTGGCTCGCGACTCGTCGCGATTCTCGATTCGCGTTGTCTGTGTCTTTTCGCCTTTGATCGTCTTCTTTTGATAACGAGACGGCGCTAATGTCCACGAAAGCCAGCCAGATTAAACAATGATCGATCGCTCCGCGACATTACTCGAGAACTTATTGTTCAATACTATTTACTGGCTGTTTGCAGAGCGTCGGACACATCAGCCATGCTCACGTTAATCCAGCCATCACCGTGGGGTCGATCGTGCTCGGGAAGAAGACAGTTTCCGAAGGCGTCGTCTACCTCGTCTCGCAACTTATGGGAGCAGTCATCGGATACGGAATGCTGAAGGTGGGTTTCGAAGAAGAGCTGCTTCTAAGCTAGAAGGCCGTGTCTCGTGCATTTAGCGGAGGATATTCAACGACTATTCGAGTAGGGAATACATAAAAATCGATAACGGTGGAGGCATCCATGAGAAAGGTATCATCCTAGCAGCCCTCTAGCCGCTGCCGCGAGGAGTGCCGACAGATGTCTCTAGGCTGTCCTCAGCCAGCGATATGTGCTCGGGTCCTAGCTATAAGGCCTCTGATCGAGTAAGAAAGCTGTGCTTTTCTTGGTCTCCCGGGGAATCGAAAGTTGGCGAGCCGGAAGAGGTCGGTCACGGACGGTCAAGTTAGCCAACTGTTTATTCATTCAATGGCAGCCCCGAGGAATTTTCTCATCCTATTAGCTCGAACGCCGAGCGTAATTTTTCCATGCACATCGACACGCTCTCCGACCGCACTGCCCAAGGCTGCGTCGAACGAGAGGAAGTGGGAATAGTTGTTGGCCGATAAGACGGTCTTAATTTAATCGGAACTTTGCCCCCGCCGCATTTTATCGAAGTTCGAGACCCCCGATCGGATAATCGCTGATTCGGTAGCGTCACGCGTTCGTCGTCACGCGAAGAGTTTACGTAACGCTGATCCCTTGGCAAACATCGCGCGTGCTAGATATGCCAGACGAGTTCACCTGGAAATTAACGATCATTTGGTATCTATTCGGATGAAATGCGGCAGAGCCATAGCGTCTATTGGTAAAAATGCACGGCTGCTCTCCGTCCGTAGATTACCTCTTCGACGATGACGAGACTTTGAGTAGCCTACCGATTTCATTGGGTCTCGTCGCTATTCAAATCTATCAAAGAACTGTCCAGTCTGCTCGAGTACTCTATAAGAAAAGGATAAATCATGGTTGCAGATGGTGACGCCAGCAAACCGATTGACCAGCAGCGGACCCGAACAAACAAACTTATTCTGTGTGACCGATTTGCACGCAGAACTGTCGGTGATCCAGGGGCTTCTGTTGGAGGGTATCGCGACAGGCATACTGATGCTGGTCGCGTGCGCCGTTTGGGACCCGAGGAACGAGAAGAACACAGACTCTGTGCCTGTCAGATTCGGTTTGACGGTCTGCGCGTTAGCGTTGGCTTTCGGGCCGTACACCGGCTGCAGCATGAATCCGGCCAGGTCGTTCGCCCCGGCCCTCTGGAACAATCAGTGGTCCCATCACTGGGTATATTGGTTCGGGCCGATCGGCGGCGCCCTGCTGTCGTCCTTCATCTACAAAGTAACCTTCGGCGTCAAGAACGAGCAGGAGGAGGACAACGTGCCCGAAGCTGTTGCGCTCAACATTGTCAACTCCCACAAGTAACCGATCCCGGGTAAGTTCTCCTGGCTTTCCTTAGTGGCTGTAGACTTCTCCGCATACCATGGACCTGGAAACAATTTTCTTGGATTAGTATCGGTTCTAAAGGACGTCGTTACCATTCATCTGATAGCCTCTGAAGGTGTTCGCAATGTATGTACACTTAGAAGTAGCGAGAATCTAGTTGGAGAGAACTTGAATTTTGGTCAAATGCAAGTGCCAACAATTTCATGGAGTATCGGTGAATCTTGCGTCGGTTGTCGCCGTGAACTAACAGATTCGAGTAATTTACGGTCGGTTCGTGGCCAGACGGAATATGCAAAAGTCCCGTGGCGGCGCCTGTCCCGACCTAATAAAAATCTGGATCGGCGCGGGTGCGCGGGAGCGTGCAGAGTGCAAATTGGAACTGGTTCGCAATTTCGCGGGACGACGACGTTCACCGTTAACGGTCGTGCGCCCGTTCGACTTTAAACGAGGCTCTAAAGCAAACGGCCGCCATGTAAACGTCGTGCATCAAGGTTTTTCGTGCGACGTCGGATTATCTTGTAAGGGCGGTCGGAGCCGTAAAGGTCGGCGATAAATCGTTCGACCGGAAAGAAAGTTCGCTGCGAAACTAGTTTTATGGGGGCCCGGGGTTTAACCCTAGATGGGAGCCCTAACTCGCGCGATCATGGCATCCTCGCGCGCGTTCCCCATCGGTCATAAATCGCGCTCGCGGATCCTTCGCTCTCCGTTCCGTTTCCGGCCGAGGAAAAATTCGAGCAAATTCGATGTTCCAATTAATGGAATTCGAGCATTCCGCGTGCGTGGCTATCCAGGCCGCAGACCTTCGAACCTAACAATAAACTCCGACGCGGCGCGCGGAGCTCCCTGCTTTATCGATCCTGTTAAAAGGCACGACCCATTTATCGCAAACAATTATCCGGGAATCGCATTACGCCCCGTTGCGTCCCGGATAATCAGCTGAAAGGACTGCGGCAACGCTTCGTTAATTGTTACGTATCTATACGCAACCGATCGCCGAAGCACTCCTCTAATTATCGAATCTCCTGCAACATTAATCTCCGAACACGGTACGGTCTCGATACTAGTTACCATTCGTTAACGAGCCACGCGGAAATAACACGTTTCTCCGTGTGGAACAAGATTTGCTCCCGTGGACAAGCGGAGAAGCATTACCGTACTAGCCTGAAATTAACGTTAGTCTGCTCGGCGAGATTAACGGATCAGGAATGAACGTAGTCTGCATTGGTAAACGATTTAGCGACCGGACGACTGCCATAGAACCAGTACTATAAATTCATTCGATGCATTCTACGTTCATTTAACAAAGAGATCACGGTTTTCCACGGTTTTGTTTCAGGTTCGCGGGGATCAGAAGCGACCGAGGTGCAGCTCGATCGACGTTTCCTTCGAGAAACCACAGGAGATTAGACGATTAACGGGTGAAACAGGCCAGGCGACCGCTTTCCGAACATCCGTGGATCAAAGTGGATCGTCGCCGTAGCGTCTGGCCGCGTCGGGGAGGAGCTGGAGAGCTCCGGGCTCGTTTGCCGCAGCTCGGAACGAACTTGGCTCGCGCAACACCAATCGCTTGGATCTCTGGTCCACCTCGTAGATCGCGGTCCACGCAAGACTGTCGCTCATCGGAGTCGCCCTCGCCTCGATCGTACTCTTGACGAGCACGTGGCCGAGCCACGAGCATAATCGCGCGCAGTGCTTCTCAAACTGGGCTACAAAGACTGCTTCATGGTTCTACATTTGCGAACTGGACTCGGCTAGCAACAAACTTCGCTTAACCAGCCCTCTGTAGCACAGTTTTTGAAGGAAATCTCGCACCCCGGATTTGCGGGAGGATCACGAAGAACGCACCGAGCCTCCTCCGTTTAATGTTCCTCTCCGATCTCACTAGTCCGTGCCTCGCTTGAATCCAGGGTATACCGGTGGCGCATCGGCTCTACGACACGAACAAACAGCCGGATTCTTGTAATGTATAGAGAATTGTTACGTTTTTACATGTCGAATCGCGACGATACATAAAACACAGTCATAAAACCAAATTCCACAGTTGTCCGTTCACTGTCCATTCACAGTTCCGCTCTCTTTGTCCCGGTTGACGTCGTGCTCGCGAAAACAAGAAAAAGGAGAGCCGCAGGGAGTAATTTGCGCGTGTCGATGGAACAATTGGAACGCTGTGTTTTCGTTAACAATTACCGACGGCACAGAGAGAAAGGAGAGAGAGAGAGAGAGAGAGAGAGAGAGAGAGAGAGAGAGAAGAGTGAGCAGCCGGGGAGAATTAATTTCTCGGCTGCAGATCGATCCGCAGAGATAGCCTGATGTACCGTTTTTCATCACGAGCTGAAAATCTCGGCCCGAAGTAATCCTATTTAATTATAGATAAATAAAAACCAGCGACGTGGCTCCATCGCCCCAACACGCACGACGAAAAATGTAGGCGATTTCGCCGGATAATGATTTTTACAATCAGAGAAACTCTCTTTATCATAAATGAAAATACCCTAATTTCCCTTCAAGTTTCATTTCTAGCTGTGAAACAATCTCGCCAGCAACAAGGGTGCTGTTATAGGTTTTTAGCGCCCTTGTTTCTCCGCCGTTCTGTGTGCATTGGATGCGTGAATTTTCCGGCACTGGTTTCGAAAAACACGGCAATGCAGGAGCGGATTAACCAGCGGAATTTTTAAGGGCGATACCGTTGTTTGTGCAAGCACACACAGGCGAGAGTGTTATCGTTTCGAAAAACCGTGTTCCCGTGGCCGAGTGTAATTGTTTTCGTCTAAAACCGGAAATGGAACGAAAGGAACTAGAAAAGGCGAGCAGAGAGGCCGAGGGAGCGAGAGAGAATCGAGCGAGCATTAAGACCAGATTGAAAATTGAATTATTAACGAGCTGACTGGCGCTCGGCATGTAAATCACACGGAGATATTACTTTTCTTTCTGTTGGGAAAATTCTAGCTGCGACAAACCCCTCTCCTACATTCCCCCTCGTATAACTATGCGATTTATGCAAGTATTTCTGTGAAATGTTAACCGGTTGAAGTCACGCAACGTCATTAAGATAACGCAATTTTTAGGGACGTTCAACGTAGTCATATTTCAGCAGATTTTTATGCAGACACAGAATTTTTATCAGCCGACCAAATCGACTTACGTTCTTTCTGTTACCAATTTAATTGTTTAGGCTTTTAAAGAAACGAATAGAACAGAAGATCCGATAAAATTCTGTAAGCATGGATTTTTGTGTAAAATAAAAATTGTCTGCAACGNAGAGAGAGAGAGAGAGAGAGAGAGAGAGAAGAGTGAGCAGCCGGGGAGAATTAATTTCTCGGCTGCAGATCGATCCGCAGAGATAGCCTGATGTACCGTTTTTCATCACGAGCTGAAAATCTCGGCCCGAAGTAATCCTATTTAATTATAGATAAATAAAAACCAGCGACGTGGCTCCATCGCCCCAACACGCACGACGAAAAATGTAGGCGATTTCGCCGGATAATGATTTTTACAATCAGAGAAACTCTCTTTATCATAAATGAAAATACCCTAATTTCCCTTCAAGTTTCATTTCTAGCTGTGAAACAATCTCGCCAGCAACAAGGGTGCTGTTATAGGTTTTTAGCGCCCTTGTTTCTCCGCCGTTCTGTGTGCATTGGATGCGTGAATTTTCCGGCACTGGTTTCGAAAAACACGGCAATGCAGGAGCGGATTAACCAGCGGAATTTTTAAGGGCGATACCGTTGTTTGTGCAAGCACACACAGGCGAGAGTGTTATCGTTTCGAAAAACCGTGTTCCCGTGGCCGAGTGTAATTGTTTTCGTCTAAAACCGGAAATGGAACGAAAGGAACTAGAAAAGGCGAGCAGAGAGGCCGAGGGAGCGAGAGAGAATCGAGCGAGCATTAAGACCAGATTGAAAATTGAATTATTAACGAGCTGACTGGCGCTCGGCATGTAAATCACACGGAGATATTACTTTTCTTTCTGTTGGGAAAATTCTAGCTGCGACAAACCCCTCTCCTACATTCCCCCTCGTATAACTATGCGATTTATGCAAGTATTTCTGTGAAATGTTAACCGGTTGAAGTCACGCAACGTCATTAAGATAACGCAATTTTTAGGGACGTTCAACGTAGTCATATTTCAGCAGATTTTTATGCAGACACAGAATTTTTATCAGCCGACCAAATCGACTTACGTTCTTTCTGTTACCAATTTAATTGTTTAGGCTTTTAAAGAAACGAATAGAACAGAAGATCCGATAAAATTCTGTAAGCATGGATTTTTGTGTAAAATAAAAATTGTCTGCAACGCTTTTAAAAATCTGTATCTGCATAAACGATTGCGACGTTGCTGTTGTAGTGTTTCGAGCAGGTGAACTGGAATACTGGTGTTTTTTTAGGGTGATGTGTGTGACGGCGGGCGGTTTGAAATTCGAAGAAACATCCTGATTTACCTTGGGTTGTCTAGAAAGCGTGCCGAACGACCCGATATCGGCCAATTACATGGAAAATCTCGCCGCGATGCGTTCTCTCCGATCCACTTTCCCTGCGGCTCTCATAATTGAGTCGCTGAAACAGACAAAGGAAAAAGAGGAAACACAACGAAATATACAACAAACATGAGAGCAAAGAAAATAAAAAGCAGCATCCCGACGCCCGTGTTTACCGTGTCGAGAATTTTATTTGCCCGCGTGACTTCCGTTGTAAACGGGCTATTTATTTTACGGGGAATATTTTTTCCCCGGTTCCGTCCAATTCGGACGTTTAATATTCATTCGGCCGAATGTTTTATTTTTCAACGGAGTGAACACCGCCGTTTTCGGGGGTGAAAAATATTTATAGAGACTCAGTTCTGGCCCCTCGCATTCCCCCGTCCTAGTCAGTTATTCGCATCCTTCGTTATTTATACCGATTAAATACTCGCAATTGCTGAAACATGTGATAGTAGACTAATATAGAAATAATTGGTGGCTACGCTGTAGTTGGTATTTACAATTACAACACGGCCCAGCTAACTCCAGCACGAATTTGCCGAGGTACCCGGTATATACAAAGTGACCAGCCTGTGAGAATTTATGCATTTATTATTTTTGGAAGATTATTTCTTGATTTTTAATACTTTGTTTGTACAGTTGCATAAACCTCCCTAGCCTGGTTGTATAATGGATTATTACGGTTGTTGTACGCGAGATATAACGTATAATGTCCTAATTACAATCAACAGATTTTGTTAATAGTTTTCTAGATTTGTGTACGCGTCATCTGGATCCTGTGTCTATAAAAAAATACACTGAATTGTACAAAAGAATATTACAAATTTTTAAATTGAGTTGGACAAATAAAATGCTTAAATACTGTTTAAAATAATTAAAGGATCCAGTAATCGTTTGTCCTACTATTCCTTTTCACATTAAAAATCAAAACGGATCCTTTGATTATTTGAAACGGTGTATCATTTAAAGAAATCCAAGTGTTTCAATGCACCATTACCCCTTGCACCAAGAATAATGGTAACAATTCGATGGACTGAATTACTATAAAATTAAAGGAAGAATTAGCAGTGCTCGTTAAGAAATCGACACGTTGAATGTAATTAAAAATGACCCAATTAAAACTTACAAACTGCACCGACGTCGTTCGTTCTGCTCGACGCAACGTCCTTCAACGCTTGAACACGCAATGCATTTCGAGCTCTTTGTGTTCGACCGAATTATGGTTGCCGTTGCACCGATGTAAACAAGCTCTGTGTGTGTGTGTGTGTGTGTGTGTGTGTGTGTGTGTGTGTGTGTGTGTGTGTGTGTGTGTGTGTGTGTGTGTGTGTGTGTGTGTGTGTGTGTGTGTGTGTGTGTGTGTGTGTGTGTGTGTGTGTGTGTGTGTGTGTGTGTGTGTGTGTGTGTGTGTGTGTGTGTGTGTGTGTGTGTGTGTGTGTGTGTGTGTGTGTGTGTGTGTGTGTGTGTGTGTGTGTGTGTGTGTGTGTGTGTGTGTGTGTGTGTGTGTGTGTGTGTGTGTGTGTGTGTGTGTGTGTGTGTGTGTGTGTGTGTGTGTGTGTGTGTGTGTGTGTGTGTGTGTGTGTGTGTGTGTGTGTGTGTGTGTGTGTGTGTGTGTGTGTGTGTGTGTGTGTGTGTGTGTGTGTGTGTGTGTGTGTGTGTGTGTGTGTGTGTGTGTGTGTGTGTGTGTGTGTGTGTGTGTGTGTGTGTGTGTGTGTGTGTGTGTGTGTGTGTGTGTGTGTGTGTGTGTGTGTGTGTGTGTGTGTGTGTGTGTGTGTGTGTGTGTGTGTGTGTGTGTGTGTGTGTGTGTGTGTGTGTGTGTGTGTGTGTGTGTGTGTGTGTGTGTGTGTGTGTGTGTGTGTGTGTGTGTGTGTGTGTGTGTGTGTGTGTGTGTGTGTGTGTGTGTGTGTGTGTGTGTGTGTGTGTGTGTGTGTGTGTGTGTGTGTGTGTGTGTGTGTGTGTGTGTGTGTGTGTGTGTGTGTGTGTGTGTGTGTGTGTGTGTGTGTGTGTGTGTGTGTGTGTGTGTGTGTGTGTGTGTGTGTGTGTGTGTGTGTGTGTGTGTGTGTGTGTGTGTGTGTGTGTGTGTGTGTGTGTGTGTGTGTGTGTGTGTGTGTGTGTGTGTGTGTGTGTGTGTGTGTGTGTGTGTGTGTGTGTGTGTGTGTGTGTGTGTGTGTGTGTGTGTGTGTGTGTGTGTGTGTGTGTGTGTGTGTGTGTGTGTGTGTGTGTGTGTGTGTGTGTGTGTGTGTGTGTGTGTGTGTGTGTGTGTGTGTGTGTGTGTGTGTGTGTGTGTGTGTGTGTGTGTGTGTGTGTGTGTGTGTGTGTGTGTGTGTGTGTGTGTGTGTGTGTGNAAAGAGCAGATAGGACGAGAATTCGAACGTAGCGAACAATCCATTGCTGCATCTATCGTAACGTAACCTATCGAGCAAATAATTCGTGATTATCGATACTCGGATACTTTGCCTTCTTATCTTGATACGGAAAAACTGTATCTATCAAATCATAATCTAAATTACCCGATTAAAATCGTATAAAACTCTCTGTGTATTAGCTAATTACGATTGAACAATCTTACCAAGGTAATCGGCGTGACCGTGATAAACAAGTAGTAATTGCAAAGTCGAATGCGAAACTGTGGAACAAATGGAATAAACGGAACAGATCGAGCAGAGATTCGTACAGCAGTTCTCCGGCTTTTTAGCATTTGATATGGAAAAATCGATTTCTGCTCGTAGTCCGTAATGCGACGTTATTTGGCTGACGAAAAAGCGCGGAAAACGTTTTATACTGCGGTTACGGTTTGTCGAATCTGCGCAAACTCGACCGGTCTGTTCGTCTCGGTGCACGTCCCCCTCCCCTCAATGTCCCAACGTTCCTCCTTTCCCGAACATCGTAGAATAACCTAACCGTGAACAACAGACGCTAACTCAAAGACGAAATGTTTATTTGAATTATCTCGTGAACGTTTACTGAAATAGTTAACTGTACTAGAAGGACTTTTTATTGAGAAACTTTGGAGATTATGGCATGTTTGACAACTTTAACCTACATATCCCAGGATCATAATCAATTGGTAACCTCAAATAACAAAACTACACAAACCCTCGAAACGGTTTTTTTCTTCTGGTAATATTTGTTAATTACACCGTTGTCCCATTGTATTAGATTAACAACAGGTAAAATAAATCGATAGAAGTCAAGCGATTCTCGCTGAACGTACGGTCAATGTAAACAGTCTGGATATGAACTTTCGCGTATGTAAGGATTTGGAACATTTTCTAAACAGATCCTTAAAATCTCGTATAACCGTTCCATTAATTGAAAGGCAGATATACGTAAATTCTTTCAGGAACTTTTAACTACGAATAGAAACTAAAAACTGAATCGATCTTGATCCGCAGGCTACTTCCGGTTCTTCGTTCCGTCGTTCCGCCGCGCCGTCTATGACTAACCAGTTCAATTGACGCTTTAATTCGAATAAATTTTGACCACGTAGTGATTCACGTAGTGACTTCCGTTCCGAACAACGTAAGAAATCGACGCTTTGCGGATGGATCGCAGGTTATTTTCTCCAACTCCAACTACCAGAATGAAGAAGATATGGTAAATTAAACATATTCATTCTCATATTTAAATTTATTCAAGACGAGTAACGAAGTTGTGGGATTGCTCGCGAATGTTTTAATTATATGGGAGATAATTTAAACATTGAAAATGATCGAGCAACCCTTTTGCGTGTCTGCAGAGGTTCGTACTGTTTGCTTTTATTTATACCAAGGTTCGAATCTTAGAAGTTTAAGCACCTGTTTCTTACATTGCTTAACAAGTACGGCTGGTTGCAAAGTTGCAAAACCGCCGATTCACATTCTGATGAGGAATCGATTTGCGCGGCACTCGACTTTCGCCATTTCGACGATTCAATTACATTTTTTACGACTTTCATATTTTTTAACATTATTTCCCACAAAAACTATTCATGCTGACTAATTTATTAGTTAAAATGGAGCAGTTTCTTAAAAATTACAATGCTTTTATTTATCCAAACGGAGTTACGTCTTCGATTCAAGTGCAAAAGATAAATGTTCGATAAATTTTACAAACATTTATTTCTCGAAATCCGGTAGATGTACATAGATTTTGACGAGCGACGGATAACATTTACTGGTTTCGAATAATTACGAAAAACGGAGGAAAAATTCATCGGCGCTCGTAGGAGCCCGAAAAGGAAGTTTGCAGGTACGAGCCTGAGCGAACCATCCCCCTCTCATTCCCCGCCACTTTTTCCCGGCAACGGCGCTGAGCGGCGCCTATCTCCTTTCTCCGTCTCACAGATGCGTTTCCCCATGATTTTCCTCTCCATTCCATAGGCTCCTATCTGCCATCTCCCTCTCGCGCATGCGTTCGCTAACGTTTCCCTCTCTCTTTAACAGGCTCTCCCCTCTCCAGCAGTAGACGATGCGCCGTTGCGGGGCGCGGGTGAACGCTGCCGCTGCCGCCGCCGGTACGACAGTCCTTCCGCGGATTGCGGATATTGTGTCGCGATTGTCGCGAAGGCTCCTGTGTCTACGGTGTGTCCTTATATCGTGGTTTCTGCGACGTCGAGAATCCTTTGCGTCCACAGGTTTCGTGTCGGTGATTCGCCGACCGTTTCGCCGGCTGGTTTTACGGACCTGTCCCGTACAAAACCCGTTTCAGGGTCGCGTTTGCCATTTGCCAGTGCTCCCTTGTCCGCCGCTCGAGGCAGCGCTCCTGGCTTGTCGGACGTTTCACCGGTTTGTTTGCAAGGTTAGGTCCGCCGCCGCGTCCCTCTCCGCGTGCATCTCGCGACTCTAATCGGACGTGTCCTCCTTTTCATAGTGCCCTCGAGGACCGACGACCTGTTTGTCGCGTGTGTGTTCACCCCTGAAAGGATACTCGACGGGAGGAGGATGACACGCCTGGAGAAGCTGCCCCAGGACACCAACCACGCCTGAGTCTTCTCGGTGAGTCCCAGCACCTTGAATTTTAGGATTCGGAACAGATGCTCTCCGCTGTTCTGGCACTTTTCTTTACCGTCTGCGCCAACCCGACGGGAGATCCTTTGTCAAGCTCGCTGGCTAGCTCCGTCTGGCTCGGTTGGCCTTGGAACATCGAGTGTAACGGTTGCCCGTTTTCGCGTCCTACGGAAGCTCGAGACAATGTCAAGCCATGGAAGCACGCGATGCTTCGCGGTGTTGGCCACGCGAATATAAATTAATATAAATAATCGACGAGCCGAGTCAGGAAGCATCTGAACCCTTCTATGTCTCGCGGTTCTTTATAATGCAACCTTCTATTTTATTCCGAGCCTAATAGAACTTTCTTTTCGTTCCAGTGTAGAAAAATGTGTAATATTTGGATACAGGCGTTCTATACGTACACGTATTAGCGAGGAATGTAGCAGCGATCAACCCTTAGATAGGAAGCGAGGGAGTTACTATGGATTAGATCAAAGTGTGGAACGGAAATCGGTTCTAAAGAAGCCGGGCGTCGAATCGGTGATAAAAGGGCCGATTCTCCGCTGAAAGCGGAAGTTCATCTCCGGTCCAACCGGAGAAAACGCGTAACGAAGTCAATCATCTTTGCTTGCCGGGCTCTCGCGCCCCTCGGACCTCGGTATTAATTAACTTTTCTGACAAGTTATTAGCGCGACGAGATCAAAGGGGCGCGAGCGCGAACGCCCGAACACCGTATTCCTCTCTCGCCCGCTTTTTCTTTCCCGACTAACGCAACGAGGCTAGATCGCCGAACCGTTACCGCGTATAATTAAGACGACCATCGCGTGCCACCGGTGTATCCCCGTTAATTATCTTGTTTACAAAACTTCGTCGTGAAACGTCTCACGAAAGAGACCTGCATCCAGAAAGGAAGCCGGCTATTAACGTCCGCTGCGCGAATCGCTGATCCGTTTAGATGGAAAGATTCGGTTTCCTTTCAAAAACTTCTCGAAGATGCTAGCTGGTGTCTCAGGTGTTCCAGGTACATACCTGTGCAGACCCGCGGTCCTTCGATCTTGCTTCTAGGCTCCTCGAGTCTTTTATGGCCGCTGTAATATTTTTGAAGGGCTTGTCGAATGGTTTCCAAAGGTTCTACAAGTTTTAGGAGGCGTGGAACGACATCTCTAGCGTTTACTATTTTTGTAGAAGCTGTATACCATGTTCCTGCAGGTTCTAACATTATTTCTACAGACTCTAGAATTTTTCTATAGATCTTACAATTATTCTACAGACCCTGCAGGATTCCTGTAAGCTCTAGAATTTTTCCATTGCCCTTAGAAGGTTTCTAAAAGCCTTACAATGTTTCTGCAACCACTAAAATATTTTCCATCGTTCTCCAACAGGTCAGTCTTTTGCAAACTCAACGTTTCGTCTACGGTACAGGCCCTGTTCCAAGGACTATTATCTCTCTTTCATTGGATTTATTGGACGAAAGGCAGGGTTCCTGGCGGGTCCATTGTGGTCTCGGTACACCACCTGTCCCCTCTAAAGGTGTCCCATAGAAAAGCGAAGTTGCTCTCTCTCTCTCTCTCTCTCTCTCTCTCTCTCTCACTCTCTCTCCCCTAGTCGAGACTCGATCGACGCTCGAACTTGTCGAGGAGAGTTGCGCAACAGTTCGGTCGAGCGACACGTCCGGGTCTTCCGTCGAGGGCCAGTGGAAAGTTCCAACGAGGAAAAGAGGCAACTTTTGCCTGGATCCTTGGGCCATTTGTTTTGGTGCGGGCTGGCCACCACGTGGCTTCGTATCTCGCGCGCGCCTATAAACCGGATTCTCCAGTTTGGGCGCGATCGCGATCGCGATCGTCTTTGGCGGGGCCATTTTTGCGCCCTTGTTCCGCGTTTTCTGTCTCCCAACAGCACACGCTTCTCTAAAACAATTCTTCCGTTTCCAAATTGGCTGTGATTCAACGAATATTATCTTAGCGGCAAGAGGCAGAGATATTTCTCGCGATTCACTCGAATATTCTGCAGTTTCTTGGAAGAACGCAATTTACGCGATCGTAATTGGCCCAAGTCTCATAGGTAGTTTCGGATCGAGCGCCCACTTGCACGGTTAACGAAGTTTCCAGCTAGTCATCTAATTAGCAGGCATCGGGACGGGTTGCGCAACGAAACAGTGGATAAGCGCACGTACTCGGACCCCCATTCTTTCAATCGGTTCTGTTTATGCGATTGTTTAGTACGAGGTACCATCTGGTGCTCCGAAGTATTACATTTCCCCTCTTTATTTCCTGTTGCATCGTTCGCAGACTTTTATTTCGCGCTTAGATTCTCGGGGCAACGTCGATGAGGTTTACTTACCATGTAGCGCGACCAATCATTTTCTCCGCGATATAAGAATAATTGTACGTCCGCGATATTGTATCGTTTCACGGATCTTGTTGCACGGGATTGCGTTCGTGCAATTCGTGCCTGCTCGTTACAGCGGAAGCACGACTTTTGTCCAGACGCCTTTTGTCTTTTGTGTACGCGCTCCTTTTTCCGTTGCGCCCGTCGTGCGAGTACACGCATTCTAATCCAGTCGTGGCCGTATCCAGTGTACATATTTTCTACAGACTCTAGTATTTTCCTGCAGTTATAGTTCTACAGGAAATCATAAGGGAATAACAATTTTTCTAAGCGCTGGTCAGTGCTAATTAATCAAATACGAGTACCATTAGACGAATCCGTGAATTCGAGATAGCAACAAAATCCAGAAGACAGACACTCCGCCGAATGGCACTCGGCGTTCAACGATCATTGTAAACAACGTCGGGTATCGACGATCGATTTTGTCCCGACGAATTGTAATTGACAATTATTGAAAGTAGCTAGCAATCGAACGCGAACATCGGGAATGTTGCCGTCTCTTTTAATTGCGATTATTAATGTGCGATCGAATTACGCGACGAGCCTCGCGCCGCTGCGACGAGCCGCGTCTCGAGAGGACCCCGAGCGTTTTTTCACCGACGCGGTTATTAGGCAATTAGGCGAACCGAGCGGTAACGGGCGGGAACGGGCCGAGCGTGAATAGATAATTACACGCACACAGAGGCGGTTCATTAAATTGGATTACCGCACCGTCCACGCTCGCGGACGCGGAGGCGCACGCGCGCGCGGACTGTCCGACGTGCGCGGACTGCAGTCTTATCTCGCTTCCTTGAACCGGCTGATCGTTGCCAACTATTTTATACCAATCATGGTGGGACTTTCCCAAACATGTTGCCGCGACGAGGAAAAATCGTCGTCCGTCGTTTGCGTCTTCGCGCGATAACTATGTTAGGCCTCGAGCAGAATCGAGCGATCATTTATATGCAAACATCTTCTCGTATCGAGCGTAATACCGTTTATCGGGCAAATTAAATTACTCGTTTAGATTTTCTATCGAAATAATTCGATTTCAAGCGACACGAATTCCGAGGTAAAATTCTGAAAAATTCTGTCGCAACTGCAGGGAGATCCGAGAGATCCAGAGGACTATAGGGAGGTCTCTGGGAACCTCCCAAGCCTCGAAGGTCGATTAAACGCCGTCGTTGCAGAAGTGGACCGCGATTCAGGTGGTTTTTCCCGGGCAGCTTGAAAATTCGATTTCCCAGCGACGATTACTCCTCTCTCTCTCTCTCTCTCTCTTGCTCGCTCGCTCGCTCGCTAGTTGGATTGCTGGACCAGACTTCAGACTGTCGTCGACGGGGGAGTCTGGTTATCGGCGAACCGTAAAATAAATTTCTCCCAGTGGGTCACGCGCGATAGATAACCGAGAGCGCGTTGCAGTCGCGGTTTCGCCGACCAGTCTAGGAGAAAAATTGTTCTTCCTCTCCTATCCGATACCCTGTTTCGCTCTTCGCACTTTTTCTCCCCTAGTCTCGCCCTTCTTGCCGCGGCTATCGTCGAGATATCGCGTGGCAACGAAAGCCGATAGCTCTTCGACGAGGATCGATGGTCGCTGTAACGCCGGTATTTGCGACAAGACCCGACGCATTCGGTATTATATCAGCTCCAACAAGTCCGCTCGTTTAGGATAGAGATCGCGCGCATTCGAACCGTTGTTGTCGTTTCGGTATAGACTTTGATTCTATGCAGCGTCTGCTCTGGTTCAGCCTCCGGGGATGCCGGTTGACCCGCGGATGCACCCTGCGGGTGCATTCCCCCGGGGTAATTCGAACCGTGGAAGGCCTGTTTCGAGAAGAGTCGAAGAAAAAGTTGCGAGATAAAGTCGATCAGCGGCCGAGCAACGCAAAAAGCGGCTGCTCCGGTTAATTGCGATCGGATCGAACGGAAACGCGACGAGGGTTCTGGCCGGAGCCGCGGTTAAATGTCTCGGTCGAACGGCGAGCGGAGCGAAACGCGAGACGGCGCGGCCAGATTTTAATTAAATTTCGCCGGGCCGGGGAACGATAAATATTCAGCAACGTAAGGAATGCCTTTCGGTCATGAGCGGCCTGGAAACGCGCGGCCTCGATAGAGCGCTCAATTTCCCACGCGGTTCCGAGACAACAACGCCTCAAAAGCGGTCGCGGTCGGGAAATATCCGACTCTCTCTCTCTCTCTCTCTCTCTCTCTGTCCCTCTCTCTTTCTCTATACTTGATAGATATTATTAGACATTAACTCTTTGCACTCGAAGCTATTTCAACTGAAAATATAAAATCATTCTTCTAACTTACAGTATTTCTATTTTATATGAGAAAATGTATTTTATGCATGTATGAAAATTGACTATTGGGACTCGCGCAACAGTTACACTTTTAACAATTTTTCAAACGTAAACTTTGTTAATATCAAAATTATCCTAAAAGGTGATATAACAAACATCAGTAGTGCCTCAGAGTCGCCACTCGAGCGCAAAGGGTTAATCGTCGATATTGTCATCGATTTCGTATCACGTATCGAACACAACAGTTTCTATTTAATCCAGACTTTGGTAGACTTCGAGCAGTCTCGCAGGTCTCTGAACAGCTTCTGGTCCATCCTCGCGGCGTAATATTCGATT